TATTCAATATGCCAAACACAGTAACAACAAAGTCTCCAGTGGAGACGTTACTGGGCCCGCTCGAGCAAATCGACGATCAACGGGAGGGCCTTTCCCCTAAACAGGAAATATCTGGGAAGAAGAACATTGGTGGGAATCAATGAGGAAAGAGATAGAGATGGGGGAATAAGGATCATGAGGTTAGATTGTAAAAATAACCATCACTAAAAATTAGGCCCTGCGTAGACAATTGGATACATACGTTGGGAGATCAGGACAGAGACCACAGGTGAAAATAAGACATCTTTTAAAAATCATTAGTATATAAAGGGTAGTATGATCTATAGCTTCTTGAAGTTTTACAGGAAAAGTTTCTAAGAACAGGAGAAATATACGGTGACAGAGAGAAAGGATAGAGGTTAAGGCACATGTCTCTCATGCAACCAACCCTGGTTCAAATCCCTAGCACCACATTTGGTCCCCTGACCCCTGCCAAGGGTCACTCCTGAAAATAGAGCTAGGACTAGCCCTTGAACACTTACAGGTGTGATCCTAAAGCAAACAACAAAGACTCACAAACAAACAACACACAAACAAAGTTAAAGAAAAAAGCAGAAATGTAACGATCTCATGCTTGAAACATCAATATGAACAATTCAAGGAGAGAAAAGGGAGTCTATCTTCAACAGGATGGGGAAGAAACAGTTGGAAAATGATGAAAAAGGGAGAAAAAAGAAACAGGCAAGAGCTGTTTTATGGAAATCACATGAAGATACTGTTTGAAGAAGAAACCCTCAAAGGAATTAGTCTGCTAAAAGGCAATATGAAAAAAAAATCAGATGAGGCAAGAGTACTTTGCAGACCGGAGATTGCTGTCCACCTTGCTGAGCCATGAAAATGGTGCCTTGTGGAACATATTCAGTAGAGAGTTCAATTTGTATAGACATGCAGGACAATGGAGAGGTGTGTGTGTGTGTGTGTGTGTGTGTGTGTGTGTGTGTGTTTGGCATACAAGGCAGAGTAGGGAGAATTAAGTTATGAGATTGGTTGATTTTCACCCGCATCCTGAGAAGTCTCAGTATGTTTGCTCAAACTGGCTCTATTCTGTAGGTAATAAGGATCAAACACACAGGACAGCATTTTTATAACTCTCTCCCTCTCATCCTTTAAACTGAGGTAAATCTTACACACACTGAAAAACTTAGATGATGAAGGCTTAGGGAATTTTTACAGATGTGAATCAATACCCTGATCAAGTTTATTACTTCTACCATCTCCCAAAGTTCATATGGGCATGATTTCAGTCAACCTTCACATCCTACAATTATTAGTATCATTTGTATTTAATAGATTATTTTTGCCGAGTTTTGACTTTTATCTAAATATACTCATGTAGTATATATATTTTGTCTGTGGTTTCTTTAGATACAATGCAATGTTCTGAATATATGGTGTCAGATAAATATGTAAGTTTACATAAAACTCAGTATGCAAAAACTACTTTGAACTATATAAAAATGACTTAAATTCCCGGAAGAGAGCAACATAGAATATCCAGACCCCATGCCAGGCTGTCTTCTAGGGGAAACTTGGTGGTGGGGTCGGGGGGGGGGGTGTTGAGTTTCCCTCCCTGCTCCAACAGAGGTCCGGCAAACGAAAACCTCCAGAACCCAACAACCGCCATGCTCACGGCTGCTCTCCTCAGGCTCAGATGAGCCTTACCCTTCTCTCAGAATATGCAGAAAAACCCAGGTATGTGGGACTGAAATCTCCAAGCTTCCTCAGAGCAGGAAAGGGCCTCCTCCCCCATCTCCCAATTTTTCTAGTAGCTTGGCAGTCACGCCCACAAACTGCCTCTGGTGCCATATAATCTCATCAATGGCCAAGATCCAGAGACTCAGAAATAAAGCTCCTGGAAGAAAGCAACATAGGCCTCATCCATGAGCGAATCTGCTACACAATCATATTCTAAATTTTAGAAGGTCTGGACCTCATACTCTACACCACTAATGTACTAAGCTTCCGAGGGCATGATTTGGGATTTGCAGTAGAAACATTCGAAATATGGTGGTGGGAAGGCTCAGTGGTAGTGGGATTGGTGTAAACAAAACAAAACAAAACACGTGACCCAAAGCATTTATTACCCAATATAATTGTGATCCCCTGGCAAAAATAAACAAATAAAAATGAACTTAAGGGGTGTGGTGATAGCTCTAAGGGCCAAGCACATGCTTTGTGTGCAAGAGTTTGATCCCCTGTACCGCATGGTCCCCTAAGCACTGTATGGATCCCAAATACCTCAAGTACTTATGTGCGTATCTCCTGAACAAAATAATCTTAAGTTGAAAAAATTATACTTTATTTAGGCTGGGCAGATAGTACAGGGGGTTAGGGCACATGGATTTGATCCCAGTACCAGGTTTACCAATCATAGCTGGGAGGTCTCCAGAGCACCACTGGGTGGCCTTGGTTGTGGGAAGCCAAGAGCCCTCTCATAGACCCTGGCCATGGTTCCCATGTTAGGAACTGCTTGGGACAGACATTGGTGACAGTCTCCCAGGACTTCCTGATCTCAGGGGATACCTGATCTATAGCCACACATCAGGCTGACAGCTTATCTGGCCTTGTCTACAGTAACCTCCAGGATGCATCTACTGCCCTAATATCCTTTGATATACAAATGTAAAGCTCAGGATGCACCTACTGCCATTAGACCCTTTGATGTACAAATGTCTACCTTGAATGTTAGGTAAAGCTCTTGTTGCTGACCTTACCATATATGGTTATACTGCTTCTGCTCCTGACTGAGCTGCCCAGACTCTATATAAACAGCCTGTATCCCTCAATAAAGTGCTGTCCCTTTTTCTATTTCTAAACTATACTCTGTCTCTTGTGTCTTGTGTTCATTTGGTTGGTCCTTCCCTGCACCTACGGATCCTAGGGCCACCTCCGCGGGTTGGAGAGTGGTTACGGGGGCTCCCTGCACTTGGTGGTTCCTTCCAACACAGGACTGAGCAGTAGCACATCTTCCAGTCCTACACTGAACCTTTGGCCAAGTTGGTCAAGAATCGCAGGGATCCTCTGAGTATGCTTGGGAACCCTCCTCTCTCCCCCTCCCTATTTTATACTTTGTTTCTTTTTTTTTGCTTTTTGGGTCACAACCAGCGATGCACAGGGTTTAGTCCTGGCTCTGCACTCAGGAATTACTCTTGGCAGTGCTCAGGGGACCATTTGGAATGCTAGGAATTGAACCCCAGCTGGTGGCGTGCAAGGCAAATGCCCTACCCACTGTGTTATCGCTCCAGCCCTCATATACCTTATGTTTCTTACATGTCAAACTCTTCCAGGTAATATTGTGTATTCTTTGTTCACTGAGAAGTCTTTTTGGTTAGAAGACCGCTTCTAACTGCTGATTCAGGTTGCCTGGGATTATTTGAGCCAGGAACCAAGCCAGTCCCCTACAAATTAACCCAAGATATTGTTTCTGTATTTAGCAGTAGAGGCTGTTAGAAATACAGAAAATACAGAAATACAGGCTATTTTTGAGCTTGCATGTGGGAGTACAAGCATTGTTTGGGATGATCTGCATACTAGAGTGGGTTTGGCATTTGACAGCAAATGCTGAGTGGACATCTTGTTTTTCTGTCCCATGGCCAAGCACATAGCCATGGCATTTTTCCAGGCCTTTAACAAGTTCTTATATTTTTGTTATGTCTTATTTAGTTTTTGGGCCACCTGGCGGTGTTCAGTACTTACTCCTGGCTCTGTACCCAGGAATCACTCCAGGCAGGAATTAGGGGACCCAAATAGGGTATGGGGATGGAACTCAACTCAGGTTAACTGTGTGCAAGGCAAGTACCCTACTCACTGTACTATGGCTCCACACTTAGTTTTAATTTGGGGGCCACACCCAGAGATGCTCAGGGGTTATTTCTGGCTTTGCATTCAGGAGTTACTCCTGGTCCATGCTCTAGGGACCGTCTGGGATGACAGATATCTAGTCCGGGTTGGGCATGTGCAAAGCAAATGCCCTATCTGTTGTACTATCACTCCTGTCCCCCTTTGGTTATGTTTTAAAATAGGTATCAAAAACCCATTTTATTTTATTTTATTGCTTTTTAGGTCACACTTGGCGATGCTCAGCAGTTACTCCTGGTTTTGCACTCAGGAATCACTCCTGGCAGTGCTCAGGGGACCATATGGGATGCTGGGAATCGAAACTGGGTCGGCCGCGTGCAAGGCAAACACCCTACCTGCTGTGCTATCACTCCAGCCCCCAAGAATCCATTTTAGATTTACTGTGTCAGTCTCTTTCTAGGTGTTGAGAACCTGCATTTTTTTTTTTTTAAATAAGCTAGGTTCAGCCAAAGAGATAGTACCTCTAGCACTTGGAAGGGTTTGACCAAGATCTCTGGTTCTGCTTGTAGCTCCCGGAGCCCTGAGCAATTGCCAGGAAGTAACACGGGGCACTTCTCAGTGTGGTCTAAAACCCAAACCAAAGACACACAAGAATGAACTAGGTCATAGTGATACACACTTCCTATGTGTACCTCAGAGGCATGTTCACAAGTAGGCCTAACTGAAGAAACCTAGGGACAGCTAATTTGCAACTAGAATTGATGGAGTTTGTGCAGGTATATTAAAGACTTATTAATGAGTTGCTTAAAGAGCTATTTAGTGAGTCCCAAGGTAGGTAGGTAGGAAGGAAGGACGGAAGGAAGGAAAGAAGGAAGGAAGGAAGAGAGGGAGGGAGGGATGGAGGGAGGGAAGAAGGAAGGAATTCGAGGGGTGAAAAGGGGAGAGAAGGAAAGGAAGCGAAACGAGAGGAGGGAGGGAGAAAGGGAGTGGAGGGAAAAACAAGTGCAGCGAGAGAGGTTAATTCCCGGCAGGGACAGTGAGTGGAACCTGCTCAAAGCCCAGTTGCAAACCCTCCCAGGCGGCGCGCGCCCGCCTGGCCGTGCACGCGCACGCACGCGAACACGCCGGCGCCTGCCTCGGTGCGCGCGGTGTCGGTGGCGCGCGCGGCAAATGGAGGGGGTGCTCGCAGAAACGCTGCTGTCGCAGGTCCCGGACCCCCGGGTCCTGGTGGGAGCGCTGTGCCGCGGGGAGGCTTCCGTGGAGCGCGTGGAGGCGCTGCGCTTCCTTCTGCAGCGGCTGGAGGACGAGGCGGCGCGAGACGGCGGCGGCGGCGGCGGCGCGGGCGCGCTCCCGGAGGCTGCGCTCGAGGCGGCCGCCGGGTACCTGGTCCCGCTGCTGCGGGGCCCGCGGAGTCAACCGGCGGGGAACCGGGACGCCGGCCCGCGGGCCCGCCAGCGCCGACGGCTGCTGCGGGCGGCGGGCGCGGCGCTGCGCTCGTGCGCCCGCCTGGCCGGGAGCCCGCAGCTGGCGGCCCGCGTGGCGGAGGAGGCGCTGAGCGACCTGCGGGCCGGGCAGCCGCCGGGCGGCGTGGACGGCGGCGGGTGGGAGGCGGCCGTGGAGGTGCTGGCGGCCGTCGTGCCGTGCCTGCGGCCCCTGGAGGACGGGCCGCTGCTCGAGCGCGCGGGGCAGGCCGCCCTCACTCTGGCGCTGGACTGGGACGAGGCCGGGCCCGCCGGGGCCGAGGCGGAGGCGCTAGTGGCCGGGCGGCTGCTGCCCGCGCTGGGCCAGTGCGGCGGCGCTGCGCTGCGGGCCGTGTGGGCCGGCCTGCTGGACCCCGGGGCGCCCGCGGGGTCGGGCCGCGTCGGGCCGCAGCTGCTGGTCCTGAGCGCCCTGGCCGAGATGCTGCTGCCGGAGCCCGGCGCCGAGACGGGCCCGGACGCCCGCAGCAGTGGGCGGTTCTGGAAGACGGTGCAGACCGGGCTGGCCCACGCCCAGGACGCGCTGGCGCGCAAGCGAGCGCGCTACCTGCTGCGGCGCGCGGTGGAGGTGTCGGCCGAGCGGGGCGCCCACTGCGCCTGCGGTCCCCGGGAAAGACACGGTACTTGCTGCTCTCCTCCCCCTCCCAAGCCCCGCCCGACTTGGCTTTCTGGGAAAGGGGCTACCTGCTTCTGCCAAGACCCACTTCTTGCGGGGGCGTCTCCTCTGAAATCCGCACACTGTCCGCTTCTTTCCGTGGTCCCCCTAAAGCCTGAAAGCCTCGAGGGTGTTCTTTTAAGTGACGTGAATCACGACATTGGAGAACAGTTTGCATCTCCCCAACCTTTCGGAGCAGGTTGGTTGACTGCATCCGTGGGTTAATCCAGGAACCTGGTTGATTGAGCCTCTGCGGGATCTAAGCACACTTGCACTCCGTTGCGGTAGGTTTGTTCTAAGAAGGGTTCATGTTCATCACCTAGGAAGGAATTCTTGGCCTGGATTCACCGATAAATTGAGTCCAGATTCTAGATTGTGAGAATTCTGCCACGGAAATCTTCACGTTCTTTTGAAAATTCACTTTTCCCATTCTCAAGGCTCATTTGTGCTCTAGTCTTGGGAGCAGGGTTTCCGGATATTTGTAAAGCATCCTTAGGACGATCACTTGAAGGTATTTTTACCATTGGTTAAATAATGAATCAGGTTTTAGATCATTTCAAAACACCTTTTATTTTTTGCACCTGCGCTTCACGCTTTATCTCAGAACGTCAGTTTGTGAAATATCCAGCACCCCACTGAGGAGTGGGTTTATTACTATTGATAGATTCATAGAGATGTTAAAAGTACACATCAATCATACTCAGTTCATTTTTGAACTATTCAAGTCCAAAATAAAAATGAACTCAATCTTTGGAAATTTCTTCTTTTTTTCAGTAACTGAATGTTCATTTATTCTTAATGGCTTATGGGGGGGCAGATAAGTTGTGAATGGATTAGATTTTCAGAGTTTAAAGTATTAAATGACAAATATGCCAGTTAAGGTCATTATTCCATGAGCATTTTCACGGAAAAATTGCCAAAGTTAAACATTTTTAAAGAGTCACTTATTTGCTGGAGTTTAATAATAAGCAGTAGTCTTTCTCTGCTTTCCCCCTCCCTCCCTTTTTTACACTTTTATCTCTTTAGCCAGTTTTTTCTGGTATTTGCCCCTGTGACTTGAACTAATTTATAGACATATTGCCATAGTTAAAATATTGAATGAATCTGTACAAAATTATGACTTGAAATACTGTTCACAGCTGATAAGTAATTTGTAATTATTTTCTTCCTGTCAGTTTTTTTCTACAATTAAACTCATTATAAAATCTAGCCAGGAGCTACCTGGAGCACCAACGGGTGTGGTCTAAACGTCCCCGATTTGGGGGTAGGGGGACTTGATTCTCTTTCACCCTAATTAGTCCCCAGTTTCTATCCAGTTATCTAAATATTTCTGTTACAAAATAAGATAATGGATCCTGAGCATCCCATATGGTTTCTTGAACACCACCAGGAGTGATATCTGAGTGCAGTAACTCAGGGTGTGGCCAAAAAACAAACAAAAATTTAGAGAATCTGGTATTTTTCTGCACAAGTTTCTCCTAGAGTCCTCTCATGTGCAACTTGGTACACAGCTGACATTCTCAGATTGGCCTTCACCTTCATCCCGAGTTCTTGGATCCCTTTACCTTAAAATCCTGTGCTGGACCTCTACTCCCTGGAGCTACTAGCTTCCTGTTCTATGGTTTACTCTTTTAGGTGTAGTGTGGTGTGTCTCAATCTGATTTTGATTTGTGCCTGCCTTCCAGCCTTGTTTCCTTCCTGTGACTCCCTGCCCTGTGGTTCATCATTTATGTAATTTTTCACCCATGACCCTCTTGGAATGTGTTTAAGAAACATTGGTGTAGTGCATTTTCCAGTAGTTCACTGTCGTTTCCATCTGACACAGTTTCCATCAACTGAAAAGTCCCTTTGCTCTGTATTTTATTTACCTTTACCCGTCAGCTGCTCTAGTCATAGATTTGTAGGGATCCTCTGTGTGAATCATCTCTAAATCTTGTTTTATTTTCTGTGTATCTCTTGGGGCCACTTTTTTTCAGTAGAGACTGAAGTAAATATGCCTAGAGAAACTTAGATGTTTGCAAAAGGAGAAAATAATGCTCTCTTTTAAACCATATCAGGTCCCACTCTGTTTTGGTGGTCTGAGAAGAAAAAAGATGAACTGCTGAAGTTTTGGGAAAACTATATTTTAATCATGGAAACCTTAGAAGGAAATCAGGTAAGTATTTTTGTATTTTAACAAATCCTGTGTAGATGCAGTTTTTAATTTTTTCAAGCGTTCTGTAAAAGCAGTTCAAAGAGACTTAGATATCTCATAATAGAATGCAGGTATGTTATTGCCCTTGACCAGCTGGAGAAGGGGCACAACTTGATGAATGAATCAGGTGATTCATTCTAGTTGTCCTCTGAATTGTGATTGGGCATCTTTGGATTCAACCAACTCATTTCTAAGGTGGTTTGAGTCTGAATGGAAACCAGCAGACAGAAACAGATGTGCGTAAAAGCGGACTTGTACAGTTCTCAAACTCTGCTGAAGGGTCAACTTGCTTTGTTTTCTGGCATTTATTAAAAAAAATGGAGTGAGCTAAGGAAAGTGGAGAATATTTTTAATTGTTATTATCTCTAAAAGAATTTAGTTTTATTTGATCTTTTCATGCGTTGCACGCAGCCAACGTGGTCGACCCGAGTTCGATTCCTCCGCCCCTCTCGGAGAGCCCGGCAAGCTACCAGAGTATCTCGCCCGCACGGCAGAGCCTGGCAAGCTCCCCGTGACGTATTCGATATGCCAGACACAGTAACAACAAAGTCTCCAATGGAGACGTTACTGGGCCCGCTCGAGCAAATCGATGAACAATGGGAGGGCCTTTACCTTTACCTTTACCTTTACCTTGATCTTTTCATGACATTTACTTTTAACGTGTTTTTTTTTGTTTGTTTGTTTAAATGCCACGGATTAACATGAGATAGACCATCACCAAACTGTTCATGATGGGTTTCAGTCATACAGTGTTCCACCAGTACCCATCCCACCACCAGTGTACATTGCTTACCTCTAATGTCCAGTTATCCTCCCCCCACCCCCCCAGCTTGTCTCCATGGCAAGCGCTTTTCCTCTCTCTCTCTCTCTCTCTGTCTCTCTCTCTTTCTCTCTCCACCTCCCTTCCTCTTCCTCTTTCATGCATTAGGTCTTGCTTCCAATACTAAGTGGTCATCGTGTTCGTTCAGAGAGTTCAGTAGTTTTATCGGGAAGGTACAACTGGAGTAGCCTTTTACACTGGGTGGCAGCTTTGGGGTGTGGACTTGACTTCTGGGGCTTCTGGAAGTACAGAGAGGTGGGAGAAGGTAGCCCATTCTTACTCTGAGGAAGCCTGGAGATTTCAGTAACAAAACCTGCATACTCGAATTTTTGGCCGATTAGTATCTTGGTGAGGTTTGTCTCCAGACAGTGGAATCTGGCTGGGGGCATGGTGGCAAGTTTGGGTTGGGGGGGCAAGTGACTGCCAAGGACTCTGCTTGGGTCCCACTGGGCTTACCCACCTGGCTCTTATGTACCCCAGATTATTCATCTATACACAGGTTCAGGAAGACTTTATGAGATTCTGGAGCAAAGCCAGTAAATGAGTTTGCATGGTGGAGCTGGAGGTAGTTTATGGTGTGGCTCTCATATACCTAAATTTTGACAATTTCTTGGGAAACTTGGTCCTAGGTTTTTGGGTCCCTAGGTTTTTGGAATCTGGTCGGAGGCATAGTGGCAGTTTTAGGGCATCGGGAAATAGGAGGACACATCAGGATGCTGGTGTTCTTGCTCCGTAAGTCCAGGTTGTCTGCCAGTTGTGGCATTGCACCCTTTGGGCCCCAGTGGTGGCATTAGCAGCAGCCTTGCAGGGACCAGGCCCAGGGCCAGGGCGGTTACCATATGTGGCTCTGGTGTTCCAGGCAAGCGCCACCACCAGTCCAGCAAAATCTGACCAGTGGGCACTCACCCGCTCTTTGGATCCATCTCCAACTTGTGCAGTTCTCAAACTCTGCTGAACTGCACAAATTGGTGCTCAGGGAGATTTCCCTCCATAATATAATGCGTGGGGCTCTGGCAGCTAGGGCTGGTCTAGGGGCACCACGGCAGCCAGGGTGCCTACTGATAGCCACCATGCTGGGAACCTGGGGTGCCCTCTCAACTCCGGGATCCACTTCGCTCACTGTTCACGCAGAAATTCTGCTGCCACTGCCATGGCCCCTGAGAGCTGTGGTAACTCCATCAGCTTTAGAGCATGCAGGTGCTGTGACCATCTGCGAGGAGCTCCATCACGGTTGCCAGCTTGGTTTCACTTAAGGCCACTCTTTCTTTCTTTCTTTTTTTTTTTTTTTGGCTTTTTGGGTCACACCTGGCGATGTACAGGGGTTACTCCTGGCTCTGCACTCAGGAGTTACTCCTGGTGGCGCTCAGGGGACCATATGGGATGCTGGGAATCGAACATGGGTCGGCCACGTGCAAGGCAAACGCCCTACCTGCTGTGCTATCTCTCCAGCCTCTCAAAATTGTTTTGATGTCAAGCAATTTGGTAGTTTGACATATTTTCCATGGCTGTAATATTTCCTCTGGATTTGTGAAATAACAGTGAGCAATATTCATTATGTTCTGAGTATGAAATAAATTCTTTTTTTCAACAGCAAAAAAGAATAATAGCTTAGAAAATTTGATCATTTTATCCTTTATTTTTATTTCTTCTACCTTTTTTATGGTTGCAATGACCAGTGGTTACACATGCCAGGTTGTATTGTATCAAAGATCAAACTTTTTGTTGTGGTACCAAGATCTTACTTGGCACATGTGAGGCATTGTAGGAGACTGAATTTTTTTCTTCAGGATTACCAGACAGGAACACTTTAGCACTGAACCATCTCATTCCTAACCCCGTTCCTTAAATTTGTGCATACCTGGTCCTGAGAATAAAAACTTGAGATTATTTTCAGTTGACTTTGCATTAGTTTTTTGTAGAATCATAGAATTTTTAAGTTCATAGCAGTCTTTTAAGATTGCCTATTATAGTACAAACTATAGTGTGCATTAGAGTCACCCAGATGGCTGTTAAAATATGAGTTGTTTGCAATAACCCCTGCGGTTTCTGATACATCTTGGATGGGGCCCAAAGAATTTGATCCCTCAAGTATTTTAAGGTAAATTTTTCTTTTTTCTTTTTTGCTCTTGTTTTCAGATACATGTTATAAAGCCGGTTTTACCAAAGCTAAACAATCTGTTTGAATATGCAGTGTCAGAGGAAAATGGTAATGGTTACTTTAATTTTGATATTTTTTTAAAATATAATTTTTAGTTCCCCCTTCTTGGTTTTATAACTGTTGTTTATTTTAGAGAATTTGGAAGGACTGAAAGTGTAAAGAAGAATTTATAAGTCTGTTGTCAGTAAGAAGTATTTTACCTTTAAACACTTTGGATGCATACCTCTGGTAGTTTTTTTCTTATTTTGCAGTGTGTATATACATCCATTTGTTTATCTTTAAATTGTCTTATAATTTTAAATGGCTACAGAATATATAGAAGACAGAATATAATTTTAAATGGCTACAGATTTTTTTTTTTGGCTTTTTGGGTCACACCCGGCGATGCTCAGGGGTTACTCCTGACTCTCTACTCAGGAATTAACCCTGACAGTGCTCAGGGGACCTTATGGGATGCTGGGAATCGAACCCGGATGGGCTGCGTGCAAGGCAAATGCCCTGCTGGAGTGTGCTATCACTCCAGCCCCCAAGATTTTTTTTTTAATAATTTAGAGGCATGTTTAATTTTCTAAATTTTTTATTAGGGAAATTTTCAAACAGTTGTAATAGAAGGAGAATTATATGTACCATCATTGAGCCTCACTAGTGATCAACTTGTGGCCAGCCTGTTTCTTAGATGTAGCTTTTCTCCCTCCCTAGCAAATAGTTTTGAGCATATTCCTAGACAGTATAGCATTTTATCTAAATATTTTAGCATATATCCTTAAGGCTAAGGATCTTGGTAATGTTTAAATGATGGCTCTACATTTTTCGAACAGTATAAATACATAAATATGCATTTTAGTTGCTTTCCATTATTTTTTTCTGATTTGTAATTTTTGGGGGTAGTTGTTCTGTATTTTGGACTGGGTGTAAAGTCGTTAATTAGTACTTTATTATGAGAGCTATTACTAGAGGAGAAATACAATGATGCTGCAGCTTTCTGACATTACTCTATGAAATTATGTTTAAATCAGTAAAATATGCAGGCTGACCTTGTTTCATGTTCATATAAATGATAAAATGATATAGTAGCATTTTTTTTTTTTTTTGCTTTTTGGGTCACACCTGGCAATGTGCAAGGGTTACTCCTGGCTCATGCACTCAGGAATTACTCCTAGTGGTGCTTGGGGGACCATATGGGATGCTGGGAATCAAACCCGGTCAGCCGCGTGCGTGGCAAACGTCCTACCCACTGTGCTATTGCTCCAGCCCGTATAGTAGCATGTTTGCACGTGAAAATTAACCTAGGTAAATGGATTTTAGTGCCTCTTTGAGATAATTATGCTTCAATTGTTTGACCCCTTAGGTATTGAGGTTTATTCAGCTGATTGCTGGAGTTGTTTTCTGATACACTGGGATTTTTCACAGACCTAAGAATCGATAGTCCACCTGGGGCAACAATTAAATTAAATTCTCTTGTGATTTTTCTTTTGCCTTTACTATTAAAAATGATTCCCTTATTATATTTTGCCCACAGCTCTTAGCAAACTAAATAATGGCGACAGATTTTGAAAAAATTACCATTGCTAAAGATTTGAAGACACTTGTGTTTCTGCATATTACAATAATTTATTAATAGAATGCAATCAGTTTTAAATATGGACTCTTTCTAATAGAAATGAAAAGATATTTCAAAATATTTAATAATTAAAGTTTATATGTTTTTTCTTTCCGGCGTGAGGGGGAATAGGTTCGGGCCAAACCTGGCAGTGCTAGAGGTGCTCAGGCTCCCGGTGATGCTCAGGGGACCTTGTTGTGCTGGGGCTCCATTTAGCCCTTTGATATCTACTTGGTATCTCTTTACAATATACACTAAGACTCAGGGATAAAATGGTGAGGCATTTTACTGTTGATTTTGTTTTGGAGCCACCTCTGGTTGTCCTCCCTGACTCTGCTTAGGGATTACTTCTGGTTGATGGATCATTTGTAGTGCTGGGGATTGAAACTGGTTTGACTGCTGTGTAAGACAAGTGTACTTTCTTTTTGGCCCCAGACGTGTAATAATTTTCAGATTCATATTTTTGTGTGTTTTCTACAGAAAAAAAAAGTTTTGATGGTAAGTTTTATGAAAGCAACAAACTGGGGGCTGAAGTGGAGTATGTAGTGATTGGGGCCATGCCTTAGAGCAGGGCTTAAACTTTTTCCACTTGCCACCCCTTTTACCTGAGAGATGCAACATGGTGAGTGCAGCCAGAAATACTTCAGATTCATCATGTGTTTGATTTTTGAGTGTTGCACATGTGGAAAATTTTCACTCTTACCAACTTTTCCATAACCTTTACAGTTTAAGAAGCTATTGCTCAGGAAGGATGTTAGGGAATATCTGCCTTAGGAAAGCTGAGAAATGAGAAGATAGCATCTGAGAAGGGAATAGCAGGGTGGGGGAGAGGATATTAAACAGTGTATTAAACAGCATCATCACCATTGTGGCATTGGGGAATCCTGCCAGTATAGGATAGTGGAGTAGGCTTAGAGAAATCAGAGTTTGTGCCTTGCTTGGAAGACAGAGCAGCTCTGAGAGAATTAATTCGAGGGCTTTTGCAGAGCAGTGAGAGTTTAAGATTTCTGTATGAAAAATGGATTGAAGTAGAGTGAGAGAAAAGTTGGTTTAAACCATCCAAGGTTTCAAGCTATGAATTTAATTTATTTAATTTTTGTACTTTGTGGGAACTATAACATTTTCTTTTTTCTTTTCGTTTTTGGGCAACACTGTTGGTGCTCATACTCCTGGCTCTGTGCTGAGGGCTCACCCTTGGCAGGCTCAGAGGCCTTGATGTATGCAGGGTGTTGAGCTTGGGTTGGCCACATGTAAGGCAAGTGATATTTTATCTCTCTGGCCTGTGCTTGTAGTCTTTCTTAATAAAATGATCTAAATATGGAATGCTGAATACCAGTAATGTTTTGTTTATGCAGTAATTAAATAACCTTAAATATGATTATAAAACACAAAGTTTTGTAATACCATAATAATGTTAGTTTTTGAAAATAAAGTCTTCATGCATGAAGCAATATAATGCAAGAATCAATTGCCAAGATTGCATTTTTATTTCCACAGGATGTTGGCTCTTTCATCCATCCTGGCATTTGTGTATTTATAAAAGAATGTTTGAAAGTGAAAACAAAATCCTGACCAAGGAAGGTGTTACCCACTTTCTAGGGCTGTATGAAACAAAGCTGCTTCCATTTTCACAAGAATTTTCTGAGGTAATGACAGCCTCTTCCTTTCCTCCCTTTATAAAAATGAACTATAAAGGATTTTGTTGTGTCATATGTGACTTTTATTTTTAAAATAAGACTGTAACAGCAAGTAGTATTTAATAGATTTCTATACTACAAAAGCTTTCTAACAAGTTGTCATATTGGAAAAAAGCTTACTGTACTATAGTTGGCAACAAGCTAACTGAATTTTGAAAAGCGTTCTTTCTGTGGTATCAGTATATTAAACAACATAGGACAAGAATATAAAAAGTGTGTTGCAGAAGCTTGTTAGTAAAACCTTTTCCTTAACCTCTGCACTTATTCTCTACCCCTGTAGCTGGTAGTATGTAGTATGTGTTATGTTTGTAGTGCCCAATGTGTCACATGATTATTTTGATAACTTTCCACTAATTTAGAGGTTAACCAAGTAAACGTTCTTGTCTTCTGTTGTGTTTTGATGTACATCATTTTTCAAAATTCTATCTTTGTGATTCTTGTAGGCTTATAATGTCTAGTAATATTTTTGGAGATAATTTTTCCTTTTAGGCATAGAGACTTAAATTTTCTCTTGGATATCTTTTGCTTTTCCTTCGTTACTACCCATATTTTCAACAAGGCTATTTTTTCTTCCTTTGGGTTCTTTCTTGACTTAGCATTAACTCTCTTCTTTGAATCCTATACATTTTTATCAAGTGGGAAAATTATGTTCATTCCAGGGGAACTAAGGTCCCTTTCAGAACCTAAAGTAGTTTATTGTGTAAGATATTAGCTTTACTTATAACAGCTCTTCTGCAACTTTGTGTAGGATGTACAATTAGGGAAAACTGATTTTTCAGTTGTTGTTACAACTTAACATCAGTTATTTATTTATTTTTTAGTTTATTATTGGACCATTAATGGATGCACTTTCTGAAAGCTCACTATATAGCAGGTAAGCAGATATTCTTAAAAGCCATGCGGTAATAACACTTGTTATATAAATTTAACATTCATGAAATATGAGTATACTCAGTATATTTGGTATATATTTTGTGTATAAAAATATGTTGCCTAATGGACATTAAACTTCCTTTTATGCAGTTCCTTCTATGTTTATTAACTTTTTGTTGTATCCAGTGTCCCTTTTTCTCTTGTATGCTTTAAACCCTTCCATTCTTGGACTTTTGGATAATACATCTTACATAACTGCCTTCCTCTTGCTCTTGATTTCTGTCCTTTTGGATACTGTCTTTGACTAGCCAACACTTTAAGATTTTTCTTTTTTAAAACTTTTCATTTTGACTTATATGAAAAGTTGGGAATAACACACATAATTTCCATTTATTTTTAAAACCCCTCCCCCAAAACGCACAAACACAAACCTACACACATCTGTTTTACTACATTTTCTATAGGAACAATTCTCTTTGTAAGTGTATGTTTATATCAATTTCATATCTCAGTTGTTAAGCAGACTTACCTCAGTGATGTTTCATTGTCCGGTTGTGTATCAGTCCATCCATGAATTCATGCTACCGTATCCAGTTTCAGTCCATTGCCATAGGCAATTCATTGCCTTAGAGTTTATTTGACTTCCCCTTTCCATAGATGACTGTGGCAGCTATTAAATGTAATATATTTGCCACTTTCACTCTTCGAGAGGTTGACAGCCAGAAGTTTGTTAGTGTTATGTTGTAGCCCAACATTTAGAGTGTTTACTATACTCTTAAATTATATCTTAAATTTCCTCTGTTTTTGAAATTCTATATATTACATTTTCACTTGCAAATATTCTGCTTCACATCCCCTAGTAAAACTTACCACCAATTAAAAATGTAAAAAAATGGGTGCTGCTGTATTAGTCTCACTTTTTTTAAAATTTATTTTATTTAGGAGTACTGCTATTTATTCAGCCACTGATTAGACTGATTGAATTGTGCATGAACTCCACCTTACTTTTTTTTTCCCCCATTTTTTATAATTTTATTTATTGAATCACCATGAGAGCAGTTACAAAGCTTTTGGGTTTAAGTCTTGGCTATATAACAAAACACCCGTTCCTTCACTACTGCCCATTATCCAACACCAGAATCCCCAGTATACCCGCCATCCTACACTCTCCCCCTACCTGTGGGGCAGATGATTTCCAAATTTCCAAATTACTCTCTCTATACTTTGATTACATTCAACATTTCGACACCATAACCACCATTATTATTTGGGATTTTACCCCAACACTCAGTTCTGCTGCAAAGGCAACAGTAGACAATTTGTTTTCTATTGCTGGTTATGAACAACATATGATGTCGCATGGTTGCAGTAGTGGCTGTGCGATTTTGAAATTCCGAAATTTTAACAATTAAATCTGGAGGGATATCTTGCCAAAAGCCGTTGGGTTTTGAGATTTGTTTCTGAGTCTCTGGGATCATGGCTGTTAAGTAGCTTGATCAAGAGCCAAAGAGGCCGTTCGTGGGCTGCCACCCCGGGTCTCATTGGAACAGGGAGGAAAGGACCGGCTCCACCCCTATCCCATGAGGCCCCACGTGTCTTGTCACAGCAGCCCAAACCTGGACTGTCCAGTGGCCTCTGGAAGATGGCGGCCACTGAACCGCCTAGGGGGAGCAGGCGGAGGGACAACACTCTTTCCCCTCTGGGGTTTCCCGACAACAATAACCTACTGTGTGGTCTGCACACACTTCTGTATTAGTCTCATTTAATATCAAAAGTAATTGCAATGCTTATCAAGAAATATTTTTAATGTACAAATACTCATTACTATTGAAGAGTTTTTGTAAAGCAGTTAGACAGCTGCAGAACAATTAAGCCAACTTGGTGCTTTCTAAAAGAATTGATAAACACATTTATTATAAAATGCTTCTTTTTTCTAACACTAATGTATTCAAGTAACAGATAATATTCCTAGCAGAAGCATGTAGCAGATAAAAGTAGATGTTAACATTGAAAGCCACTGGGAAAAATACCAGTGTGTCTTTGAAGTATTTTATCATTTATTTAATACCAAACATTTTTTTTTTAGGATAAAAGTGTGCTTTAATGTTTGAACGGTCAATAAACAGGCAGCGTGCAGTATCCAGTGCATGGTAGAGGAGTAAAGATATTATATGGGTCATATGAATTAATTGAATACAAAAAGTTGTAGCTCAAGATGCCAAGATCTAAGTGAAAACTCGCCACTGTCTTCACATAGGCTGTTCGTAGGGCCTAGACATGGTCTTACCTGGCTTCTGAGCACTCTTCAGCCTAGACACGGTTGCCTTGAAAAAGCCAGTATTGGCTTCCAAAGTTTCTCAAACCAAGCTCAAGTCGTCATTCCTCTTGTGTGGACTCAAAGCCCTTCTCAGTCTTAATACATTTTCTTGTATTTTTTTTTTTAATTTTTATTAGTGAGACACCATGAGGTACAGTTGTAGACTTACAAATTTTGTGCTTGGGTTTCAATTATATAATGATCAAATACCCATCCCTCCACCAGTGCCCATTTCCCACCACCACGGATCCCAGTATCCCTCCCACCCCTCATCCCCCCCATCCCACCCTGCCTCTGTGGCAGGGCATTCCCTTTTATTCTCTCCTTTTGGGTGTTGTGGTTTGCAAAAGAGGCATTGAGTGGCAATCATGTTTGGTCTATAGTCTACTTTCAGCATGCTTCTCCCATCCTGGGAGGATCCTCCTAATACCAAACAATTTTAAATCATTTAATTATATGTTAGAGATGGTCATTTTTAGATCTTTAAAAATACTATTTAGCAAGATTCATGCATGGGTCAGGGAGAACATCATGAAAGAAGTTCATGTCAACTTAGTGTAGAATGCAGTTAACACACATTAGTTTTCCTACAACACCGTGATAATATTTTAAAATCAGAAAGAAGGCTTTTCGGAATTTCTTCTGAATAATAAAAGATAGATTCAGAAAAGTATTATTTTATTGTTGAAAATTTAAGTATGATTATTTGTCAGTTGATTTTTTTTAATTTAAATTTTATTTTCATAAAGTTTTTCACAGTAATTGATTACCTTCAATATTTCAGCACCAATCTCAACCACCATTACACCTTTCCATCACCATTATTATTTTGTATTGTTATGAATAGTATGAGATGTCTGTAAGGGTCTTTTTCACAGTGATTCGACAACAAAACAAAACAAAACAAATATATAGTATGTGATGTTCCACAGCCACAAAAGCGGCTGCACACTCCTGGAATTATGATATTTTAAATAAATGGGGTCCGGAGCCATCTCTGCCGTGAGCTGCTCTTGTTCCGAGATTCATTTGTGAATCTCCTGTCAATAGGTTTTTAAATGATTTTTTCCTCCTCATTTCTCCTCTTTCTAGGTTTCCGGGCCAACCCATAGGAAGTGGTTCTCCACTAGGATTGAAATTACAGAAGTTTTTAGTCACTTATATTTCTCTTCTTCCAGAAGAAATAAAAAGTATGTATCAGTAGAGTTTTAAAAAGTTAACTTAAAATTTTTAAAAGTTCAGTATTGCCATTATAAACACCATCCTATCATTATTATAATTAGTATTTCAAATGAGTTCCCTTTTTCCAGGATAGACATATATTGTCAAAATTATACAGGTAGGTAGGTGTTCTGTATAATTTAGTACACGCCTTTGCTATTTTATGTAATGCCACACTGGTATTGATTTAAATACTATGGAAATTTATAATATGTGCTATAAATTAATGACTTCTGATTTCTTAATTTTAAGAATTAGTAAAATACCCCATCCAAAAATGGGGCAATGAAATGAACAGAAACTTTCTCAAAGAAGAAATCCGAATGGCAAAAAAGCACATGAGAAAATGCTCTACATCATTAATCATCAGGGAGATGCAGATCAAAACCACAATGAGATACCATCTCACCTCAGAGACTGGCCCACATTCAAAAGAACAAAAGCAACCGATGCTGGCGTGGATGTGGCGAGAAAGGGACACTCCTTCACTGTTGGTGGGAATGTCCACTGGTTCAGCCCTTCTGGAAAACAGTATGGACGATTCTCAAAAAATTAGAAATTGAGCTCCCATTTGATCCAGCAATACCGCTCCTGGGAATATATCCCAGAGAGGCAAAAATGTATAGTCGAAGTGACATCTGCACTTGTTTGTTCATTGCAGCACTCTTTACAATAGCCAGAAACTGGAAGAAACCTGAATGCCCAAGAACAGATGACTGGTTAAAGAAACTTTGGTACATCTACACAATGGAGTACTATATAGCTCTTAGAAAAGATGAAGTCATGAAATTTACATACAAGTGGTACAATATGGAAAGTATCATGCTAAGCGAAATGAGTCAGAAAGAGAGGGATAGACATAGAAAGATTGCATTCATCTGGGGGATATAAAGTAACAAAGTATGAGATAATACCCAAGAATAGCTGAGATCAGCACCAGGAGGATTACTCCATAACTTAGAGGCCAGCCGGGTATCCTAGAGGAAAGGGCAGTTCAGATAGAGAAGGGAGCACCAAATAAAGGATGTTTGGAGGATCCTCCCAGGAGGGGAGATGCATGTCGAAAGTAGACTATGGACTGAACATGTTTGCCACTCAATGCCTCTTTTGCAGACCACAACACCCAAAAGGAGAGAGAGAACACAGGGGATTGCCCTGCCACAGAGACAGGGGGGATGGGGGATGGAGGTGGGAGGGATATTATCCATGGTGGTGGAAAATGGGCACTGGTGGAGGGATGGGTATCTGATCATTGTATAATTGAAACCAAAGCACAAAAAATTGTAAATCTACAACTGTAAAAAACAATAAAATAAAATAAAGGGGAAAAAAAAAGAATTAGTAAAATATTTTAACAAAAGAGAAAATCTGAATTTAGGGGAAGGTTAAAAACAGAATATTTTGGAATTGAAAAGAGAGTGTAGGTGGTCAGGCACTTGCCTGGCACGTGGCCAACCCCTCTTCTTCCTGCTGCTGCATCTGAGCACTGAGCATTGCTAGGAATGACCTCCTGAATAGTGCTGGTTTTAGCCCAGAGACGCATACAAACTCCACTGTAGCAGTTATCTGTTTATAGATAAGAAAGAAAAATACACTTGATTTAACACTTTTTGTCCTTGAAATATCTCACTGCTTAGATAGGGATTTTTTTTTCTTATGTGATAACTTGCTAAGAAACTTGCACAGAAAGTTGGTAATCTTTTGTTTGCTTGAATAGCAAAAGGATTTACTCTTACCTTTTTTCACTCATGGCTTAAAGTGACTGTGGATGTGAAGTATATATTTTTCCTTTTGTGTTTAATCTACAAGAAGGTTGAGATAATTACAAGTGGCAATATCTGTTCACAAATTACGAAAGAGAGGGAAAAGGTGACCTGCTGTAATCACAATCTTAGATTTATAGAAAGTTGTTAAGGTATTTTAAAAATTTGTTAACAGAGCAGACAATTGTCATAGTCATTCTTTGGTTTCCCGGAATTCAGAGGTTTGAGCACTTGGTGACTGCCTTCACCTGTGCCTGTCAGTAGCATGCTGCCAGACAGATGTCACAGCCTTTGTCCCTGTTGAGTTGGAGTGCCTTGCTTGAGGCCTAGAGTCAGACAATTAATAGACCCTTGTAATTGTGTTGAATGAATGTGAAATGGAATTGTGGTTATTGCCATCTTTCTTGTCATGATTTGAAGTAACAGGAAAACATAGGCACTTAATTTTCCAGCAGAAGAGTGGACAAGTATAATATTTAAATTTTTTTTTTTCAGCATAGCACTGTCCTCCTGTTGTTCATCGATTAGCTCGAGCAGGCCCAGTAACATCTTCACTGTGAGACTTGTGTTACTGTGTTTGGCATATCGAATACGTCACGGGTAGCTTGCCAGGCTTTTCTGGTTTTGTGCTACATACTTTGGAATCTATGAAGAATAAGCTTCTATTCAGGCGTTTCCAATGATTTCTTAAAGACAGTTCTATAATGATGATCTGAGTGTTCATTTTGTCACTAACTGAATGCCTTAAGGTGTCTTCAAGCGATGACATACATTAGCAGAGAGGTGGAATGGAGACCAGCCCTTTGTATCTCACTGTAGAAAAATAAAAGTGGTTAGTCCAAGGTAGGTTAAGAAATAGCCTGTGAGAAAGATTGAAATTACATACATAGTAGTTACAAACAATATCTTTAAATCTTACTTTTCTTTAGTTTCCAAAATAATGATTTCTGAAAAATAAAGCCCGTATGGTTGCATAGTTAGCAAAACTTCTGTGTAATGATAGAATGTTTATCTTGGGAAATAGGAATGGAGAGAAAATACAGGGGTTAAGGTTTTGACCTTACATGCAGCTGATATAAGTTCAATCCCTGAACAACTCAGGATTGTTTCCCTGAGTACTACCAGGTACTGCCCTACACCATCCTCTACAAAAACAAAAAAACAAAAAACACACTTTTTTCCCTCAAGGGAATGGAATTGGAGTATAAATGTTTTATGTTCTTACAGTTTTATTAAGATATGATTTGCTTACCAAAAGCATTACCATGTTCAATGCAGTGATTTTTGTATATTCACATATCGGTACATTCATAGTCATTTATTTCGGAAAATTTTCGTCACCCCAAAATGACACCCCAAAACTCGTTCTCCTTTTTTTTTCTAGTTCCTGTCTGCCAGTAGTCTTTGTCTTTATAGGTTTGCCTGCTTTTCTTATAAATAAAATTTATAGGAATATGTCAACAATTTCTCCTTTTATTTTTATGCCTAGCTTCTTTCCCTTAGCCATCTTTATAACTATTAAAATTTTGTTTGATTTTGTGTTTTGGGCCACATCCGGCAATGCTCAGAGCTTATTTATGTATTATTGAATTACTGTGAGATACACAGTTACAAGGCTGTTCATGATTGGGTTTCAGTCATACAATGTTCCTTCACCCATGTATATTTCCCACCACCAATGTGCCCACTATTCCTCCCGCCACCCCCAACCCTAGCCTGCCTCTATGTCAGGCACTCCTCTCTGCCTCTACTCTCTCCCTTCCCTTCTTCCCTCCCTCTCCCTCTCCCTCTGCCTCTGCCTCTCCCTCTCCCTCTCCCTCTCCCTCTCTCTGTCTCTCTCTTTCCCCTCCCCCTTCCCCCCTCTCTTCTCTCTCTCTTCCCCTTTGGGTGTTATAGTTTTCAGTACAAATACTGAGAGGTTATCATGTTCTTTTTCTTTACCTGTTTTCAGTACATGGTTCTTATCCAGAGTGATCATTTCTGACTATCATTGTCATAGTGATCCTTTCTCTGTTCAGTTGCTTTCTCCCCGACCACTTGGGGCAGGCCTCCAACCATGGACCAAACCTCCTGGCTCTTGTTTTCACTATCCTTGGGTATAGTCTCATACTAGTATGAGGCCTTTTAATGCTTATTCCTGGTGGAGCTGAAGGGGGGAGCCATATGAAACGCTGGAGAATCAAACCTGGGTGCTGCATGCAAGCACTGCGTTAGCTCTCTGGACCACTTAGCATTTAAAAAAATATTTACCATGTCTTAGTATTTCTTTTTTGTGGTTAAATGATGCTTGACTTTAAAAATTATTTTATTTACCCATAATTTTTATAGTTGGTAGACATTTATACTGTTTTCTCTCTTTGACTATTTAGATTAATGCTATGGATATTCATGTGCAGCAATAGTACAGTGGGTAGGGCGTTTGCCTTGCATGCAGCCAACCGGCTGACCTGGGTTCGATTCCTCCGCCCTTCTCGGAGAGCCTGGCAAGCTATTGAGAGTATCTCACCCACATGGCAAAGCCTGGCAAGCTACCCATGATGTATTCGATATGCCAAACACAGTAACAAGAAGTCTCATAGTGTTACTGGGTCCGCTCAAGCAAATCGATGAACAACAGGAAGACAGTGCTCAGTGCTCAGTTATGTGCAGTTTTTTTTTTTCATGTGCAGATTTTTGTATGAACATAAGTGTTTAATTCTCTTGTAGTGAAACTGTTGATTCCTCTGGCAATTCTACGTGCACATTTTAGGGCTCTACTGAACTTTTCCACACTGACTACATCATTTAATATTCTCACCAGCAGTACATGAGGATTTTATTTTCTCTACTTTTTGGCCCATGCCTGTTACTGGCTGTTCTTTGAATGATAACCGTTTTCTCTGTCTTTCTCTTTTTTTTTTTTTTCTATCACTATGGTTTTTGGTTTGTATTTATTTAGTGCTAATGATGGTGAGCATTTTTCCTTATGAGTAGTGGCAACAATTTAATTCTTTTCTTTCAGGCAGTTTCCTTTTAAAGTTTATTCAGAAGATGACAAGTAGACATTGGTGTGCAATCCCTATTTTGTTTATATCTAAGGCTTTGGCAGGTATCCCAAGATGTAAAGCTCTGGGTCTTGAAGGGCTTCTTGCACTCAGGTAATTTACTGTGTTCTGTTTATATAGATTTTTTGCTCTTACTTTCTATTGGTAAATTTTGTTCTGCCCTACATTGTAATTTATAGTGAGTGGTTTTAGGTAATATTGGCATTGGAGTTTTGGGATGTTAATCTGATATAAGAAAAAGTAAATAAAAATAATCTATTAGTGTATCTCATGGTGATTCAATGACAAAATAAATTTAAAAAATCTATTCATATAGTTTAGCTTCTTTTCTGTGTTTTTTTTGAATTATTGATTTGAATTGTACTATCTAATATTAGATTTTGAGCATTTTAAAGTAGTGCAAGCTATTATATTTTTACAATGGTATGTAAAAAATAGAGATAAACTATCAAACTGTAATACTGACTAAAGAATTTAAAAACTATTGCTTACAATTATCTTCATTGATTGTCTTATTATTATTTGGGGGAGGGCTGGGGGTCTCCTATGAAGTGTTCGGGGGACCTAGGGCCCTCTCTTAGTAATACTCGATCAGCAGGGCTGGCAGTTCAATGTTAGGGCCTGAGGCTGTGAAACTACCCAAGTCCTGTGGTACTGGAGACCGTATAGTCTCATTTTGAAAAGAAAATGGTTTTAAATTATAATTGAGCTATACTGGAGGTATTAGTGAAAAATAATAGCTTTGACATTCTACTGACAGGGGCTGAAGAGATAGTATAGGATTTCAGGCACTTGTCTTGCATGTGGCCACAACCCTGGTCTGATCCCTGGCACCACATATGGTCTCCTGAGCACACCGCCTGATGTGGAATGTGGCCCATGCACCCTCTCCATTAAAAAAAAACAAGTTCTAATGACAGTGACTGCATGTTAGAAATTATAGTACTGTGTAGATCAACATCAAAGTTATCGGACCTTGGCAACATGGGAATGCTTGTTTTGTCTTCAATATCAGGGATGTTCTTCAGTGTACTATGATCACACATCAGATTCTGCTGAGAGGGGCAGCTCAATGCTATCTTCTTCAGACAGCTATGAATTTGGTTGATGTGGTAAGTTTTTCACTCAAGCTCCTTCATTTGATGTGTCTAACTTGGGAGAGGCAGGTGTGCAAAGAACCCAAAAAGATCCATTAGACCTATAACTCAAAACCCCTGCTTGTAGAGTTGGTGTGGGCTGACTCATGGATGCTGGCCTGACTGAGTCACTCACTGTGAGTGATCACTGTGCCTGACGTATTTTTACAGAAAATGTAGTTTATTGTGAGCACTTTTTTTCCTTGGAGAGTTTGGCATTTTAGTAGATGCTATGCAGTGTCTGTCGGACCAGCTCCCAGTAGAAACCCTGGGCAATGAGTCTGACGACCGTCTCTCACCAATGTTTCACACAGGTTATCTCAGCTCCTTGCTAGAAAAATGAGACACATCTTGAGTGCTAATTTTACTGGGAGGATTCTTGGAAGCGTTTGCTGCATTTCCTCTGTGTTTTGTTGGCAATTTTTTCCTGAAAGTTAATGTTCAAGCAGTATATATTTTTTCAGTAGTTTTTTTTACAAAGTCCAATGATATTATTACTGAGATGTGGTTCTTCACACATTTTCTGTGAAGAGTCCCATACGTGTATATTTTAGACGTTGACCCACTAGGCCACTGTGACAGTGAATGGCTTTGCCTTCCAACTCCCCCACCCCCTTCACCAGCTGTTGGGTTGAAAAATGATACAGCTTTCTTTTAACTGACGACATTCTATTTTAAGTAGCATACTAGATTGCTTTTACAGAGATTTTTTTAAATTTAAAATTAAAAAGTGAATTAAAACTGTTTGCCCCCAGGAGAAAGTGTCACTTTCCGATGTCTCAACTTTTCTCATGTCTCTGAGACAAGAGGAGTCCTTAGCACGAGGAACATCACTGTGGAGAGAGGTGAGATAGAAAGTAGTTTAAGGTCTTTGAAAACCTAACTAAAAGTTGTATCTAGTTGAATATTACTAGTCTTGTAAAAACATAGCAATGACTCTGTTATCTACCAACAGAAATTTTAAATATTGTATATTTGGTATCATTGGACCTAATGAAAAGTGCTAAGATTCTTATGGAGAAATTGGAGATAGGAAAATATTTGGAATAGAGAGAGACGTGTTTAGAAGAGAAGATGGTGCTAGGAGGCAGATCTCGATTCTGGGTGAGATGTATTAGGGTTAATGGTCATGTTAGGTTCAAAACCAATAACACAAACCTCTTTGTCATTTTTCTGTCAGTATTGTCAGTTTTCATCTGCCGAGTGCTCAAATCTTACATTTTATAATTTGTAATTCTGAATGTATGCTTCATCCTGAAATCCTAAATACTTTTTATTGTTCTCATGGAGACTCTTTGTTACTTGTGTTTTCACGTGATGACTTCTTGGTGCTAACTCTGGTCTGCTGTTGCTGGGCATTGGGGTCTTCAAATCCAGTTATAACATGGTTCTGTTCTTCGTGCTGGGCCCTTTATGGTTTGATTCATTCTTCATTTTTTCTTTTTTTTCTGTTGTAAACTCTACTAATCAATACTACTGAGTTTAGGTATTATATATTATAAACTTAGTTGAATTTTAGCCTGTGTTATTTAAATTTTTTTTGGGGGGGGCAGGAACTTTATTAAAAATTTTTTTTTCTGTGGTGGTTAAAGGTCACTAAAACTAGATAAGTGACTATTTCTTTTGAAAAAAGTCTGGCTATGTATGTTTATATGTAGAGAGTGAAATGAGAAATCAGCTAATAGAACTAATTCAAAGCATTAAAATTCTTATTTTATAATATGAAGCTGGTATTTCTTTTAAGCTGGTAGTTTTTGCTTAATGTGTTTTTTTATGAAGATGTTATTTAAAATACCGTATCAAAAATAATTGTTTAAAATTTTGTGCTTGTTAACAGTATAACTTTTTTTTTGATAAAAATGATATCTGTTGCTAATTAGGTGACTGGTTCTTTTAAAATGTTTTTATTCGAGGCACCATGATTTACAGTACTGTTAATGATTGGTTTTCATGTATATCCTGTTCTGATATTACCCCAACACCAGTGTTCCCTTTTCTCTGCCATTATCCATATATCTCATTCTTCCCCTGCTCCAACTGTTGAAGTTTATAAATTCTAGAGAAACATTAGAAAACTTACATTACTTAGGTTTATACACATTCTTTCTTTATTGTCTGCACTGTGGACTAGTCATGTCAATAAATTTTTGTTGTGTTCACTTCAGTTTATTGTAGAAGAAAGAAAATCAGTGTAAGGAAATTAGAAACTCTTTGTCCAGGTAGGCTTTTAAAATAAAGTTGTGATTATTTTCTTTTGCAGCTCTGTGATTGGTTACATGTTAATGAAAGCAGTTTTAGGAGATCTTCATCTGGTAGCTCCATTGAACTACATGAGACATCCTATTTAAATGCTTATGTAAAGAACCTAGTTCAAGAATATATTAAATCACCTACTTGGGAAAGTAAGTGAAATGATTTTGTGCAGTTATTGTGCAAGATATGTCAAAATAACTTCTAACTAGTGTTAAGGGTCAAGGTAAAGACTTAATGCCAATTTATTGATGTTAGACTTGTATTTCAGCCAAGTAGCATGGATAATGATCTAAAAATCTGTTTTCTAACTTGTATGTTATCTGTTTTATGGACTTATTTTAAATTAAAAAAAAATGCCAGAGTAAGAATTAGTCACAAACAGTTTATTTGACAATTCCTGAATCTTGTGGGGTAGATAATAGAGAAGAGTTTATGGATTTCTGTGGTAGGAAATTTGTAGAAAAGTCTATTCTTCTGTTTATTTTCAAATCATTACCTTTAGTGTTAACTGATGAAAAAAAGTAATATGAAAAAATTTCATTTGAAACGATTTATTTTTTGCTTTTTTATCTACTCGATCAGTTTTGCAACTTCTTCAGAGAAATTTAAGATTGCATGAGGAAAAAAAAAAAGATTGCATGAGGGAATTACCAGATTCGTTAATTAGAATTTTTTTACATTTCTAATGCTTAGTTTTCACTAAAGCCATTAGTGATAATTGGGTAAATTGCATCTTTGAATTTAACATTTCTGAAATTTCCTAGCATTTATCTCAGATTAAGTAATTTTTATCATCTGTTCATTTATTTGATTGTGGAATAGGTCTGAAATGATCAGGGGATTATCTTCCCCAAATATGTGATTTTATCTGTTCATCCTTAGAACATTTCTTTTTGTGTTTTATTCTATTATCTAGTACATTGTGCAGTTAGAAGATTTTATTTTATTAAACTTATCTTTAGAGTATAGAACAGCAGCAGATATGGTTAAGTATTTAGATTAAACAAGAATTTGACATTTCACTCTAAAAATATACTAGTGGATGCTATTTTAAGTTTAAAAAAAGATTTCAGGTGCATAGGAGTCATTGGCTGTCTTTTAAAAATGCTTTATTTGACTATTAACTATCTTAGTGCCTTTATTTTAAAGTTTTGATTTCATTACTGATGACTGAGCAGTTTTCAGAACAAGCTTATACAGGGACTGGAGCAATAGATAGTACAGTGGGTAGGGCGTTTGCCTTGCACAGGGCTAACCCGGATTCAATCCCCGGCATCCCATATGGTCCCCCAAGCACTGCCAGGATTAATTCCTGAGTGCATGAGCCAGGAGTAACTCCCGAGCATCGTTCGGTGTGACCCAAAAAAGCAGGGAAAAAAAAAAACGAACAAGCTTATATAGTCCAAAACAAATATTCCTTAGTTTGAGTTTTTAAAGCTTAAAATACATTTAATAATCAAGTTTATTTTAATATAAAGCTGAGTCTGCAAAAATACTATTATCCATTAGAGTCCTTCTCTGCAGTAGATTTTTTGGGTTTTGATATAGATGTGTGTGTTTTTTTTTAAGAGAAATATTTATTTAAGTATTTTCTAAGTGCCAGACAGTGGAGTTATAGAGACAAAAGATATATATCCACTGCTCCCAGAGATAACACAAGTAAGGAAATTGATAAGTAAGTAGATAATCCTAGCACAGAGCCCTGAAAGACATAAGCAGTGGGATGAAGAAGGAAATTTCTATGAGCAGAGTCTTTTCAGAACATATTGACCCACAAGGGAAGAGGGAGTCACCCCAGAGTGTGACATCTGATGAGTGAAAGAAATTAAGATGTAAAGTAAGAAAGTGCATTCAACAAGGCTTGAAACAACTGAAAATAAGTAGGTATACCTCGTCTGTGTCAGGGAGCCCAGACTGTAATGGTCAGTAGATGTTTAGATGTTGGCTGTTTAGCTCACATTTATGATGTATGAAATAACAGGTCAGGAACAAAGACCACATAAAATTGACAGCTACAAATAAATGCTAAAGAGCTTTTAGAGCGGAGCTGTCTGAATGAAAGGATAGTTTGCACAGTGGTAAAGACTTGTCAGAGCTCAGAAGTGCTGAGATTTTAGTCAAGAAATCTGAAGATAGGGGACAATCCCAAAGGGCTTACTCCTGGCGCTAAGTTGAGGATTGACTCCTGGAGGCTAGCAGGGCCATAAGGAATTGCCCTAGGTCAAACCCAGACCAGTCATGTGCAAGGCAGATACCCTACTGTGTAAATGCTATACAGTTACTGTACTACCGCTCTGGCCCCTATACAGCAGATTTTAGAAACAGCTTTATTGGGGCTTAATTGGCATCTATTAAATCATATTTAAACTGTACAATGGGGTGGGCTTTTGGTTTAGGTATGTGCTTATGAGATTATCAACATATATGTATTTCCCTCTTCCTTCCCACCCTTCCCCTGCCAAATGTCTTTATGCGTCTTTTGTAATTTCTATTCCCAACTCTTTTCTGTTACACTTTTGTTCCTGGACAAGCTCCGATATGTTTTCTGATGCTGTAGTTTAATTTGCATTTTCTAAAATTACACTCAGATTTGGTTTCGGGTGGTGTAGCACGTTGGCTGAATACTTGCCTTGCATGTATGAAGCTCTGAGTTTGATTCCAGCACCTGTACACATAAAAATGATATTTAATTTATTTACCTATCTTTTTTGGCCACACCTGGCAATGCTCAGGGATTACTTCTGGCTCTGCACTCAGGAATTACTCGGGCCCCAGGGGACCATATGGGATGCTGGGGATCAAACCCAGGGCAGCTATTCAAGGCAAGCACCTTACCTGCTATCCTATCACTCTAGCCCCATGCTTAGTTTATTTATGATAGAATTTGATGTTTTTGGGTTAACTTGTATTTAGAATGATAGCCAGTGATTCTCTAGTTCCTTTAAAACCATTGTTTCTTACACTTTTTTCTTTAATGAGAAGAAAGGAACAGTTGATAAGGAGTTCTCAACTAATGAGTCACAGAAAATGTTTTCCAAACTAGTAGCAGCATCAACATTACCTGAAGATAGAAAGGCAAATTCTTTTTTTTTTAAAATTGAGTCACCATGAGACACAGTTAGAAAGCTTTCATGTTTGAGTTTCAGTCATACAATGATCTAACACCCATCCCTCTACCAGTGCATATTTTCCACCACCAATGTCCCCAGGATCTCCCCCCCCACCCCCATCTCCTCCATCCCTCTGTCTCTGTGGCAGACAATCTCCCCTGTACTCTCTCTACTATTGGACATTATGGTTTGCAATACAGATAGTGAGAAGTTATCATGTTTGGTCCTTTATCTGCTTTTTGCACACATCTCCCATCCCGAACTATCTCTCCAACCATCATTGACATAGTGGTCCCATCTCTATTCCAGCTGGAAAGGCAAATTCTTGAGCTCTGTCTCAAATCAGTTGAATCAGAAATTCAGGCTATAATACTCACCCTCTATGGTTTAATAAGGCCCACAGGGGATCCTAGTATATAATGAAGTTTGAGAGATCCAGTGTTCTGTAGCATGGATTTACCTATATGGTGTAAAATACGTGTGAAAAAATCTTCAATGAAAATCCTTGCAGGAATGTAACTTTTCCTAGCTGAATGAGGCACTCATCATTGGTCCTACACTGTGATACCATGAAATCCGAAATACTTAAAAATCCACTAAACTTATTTGTGACCTTTCCTTTAAGTATACAAGATAAAAAAATTGCTTACGGTTTAAAAACAGAACTGGGGGGCTAGAGCGATGGTACAGTGGGTAGAGTGTTTGCCTTGCATGCAGCTGACCCGGGTTTGATTCCCAGCGTCTCATATGGTTCCCCAAGCACCACCAGGAGTAGTTCCTGAGTGCAAAGCCAGGAATAACCCCTGTGCATTGCCAGGTGTGACCCAGAAAGCCAGAAACAACCCCCCCAAAATAAAAACAGATCTGGGGTCTTTTAGAACTCTACTATTAATGCTTTGTTAGAGGCTAGTGAGAACTATCTTGTTAGATAATTTGAAAACCCAACAAATGGGGTGGAGTGATAGTACAGCAGGTAGGGTGTTTGCCTTGCACACGGCCAACCCGGGTTCGATTCCCAGCATCCCCTGTGGTCCCCTGAGCACCGCCAGGAGTAACCCTGAGCATCGCCGGGTGTGACCCAAAAAGAAGAAAAGAAAAAAGAAAACCCAACAAGTGTGCTATCATTATCACTGTCACTGTCACTGTCCTGTTGTTCATCGATTTGCTTGAGCAGGCCCAGTAATGTCTCCATTGTGACACTCGTTACTATGTTCAGCATATCGAATATGTCATGGGTAGCTTGCCAGGCTTTGCCGTGAGGGCGAGATACTCAAAATATGTATTTTTTAAATACAGAAGGTTCCAGCTCACATGCTAATAAATGAAGAAATGCATAAGTGCCATGGGGATTAGAAACATTTCATTCTTGAATAGCACTCACAGTTAATCAAAAGGTATCAGATTTTGTGATTGTTAATGAAAATATTGGGAACTAAAGAGTGTATTGGCATTTTATAACATTTTAGTCTTAATTTATGAATAAATTTTAGTATAATTCATGGTAAAAAAATTAATGTTAAAATGCCTCAGATCAAGTTTCAGTAATTCACCTTTATAATGCTCATACATTTTCTGAAGCACAGTATTTAGTTTTTTAAGTTACAAGCATGTGTGGATGGAAATTAAATATTATTTATAACATTTAAAATACTTGTTTATCTACTTGCATTTTAAACCAGCTATCTTACATGAAAGTATTGTCTGCTTTCTGTACTGTCCCAATAGATTTGTATCAAAATATCAAAACTATCTCCAGTATCTGTTGGAATTTTTAAAACAGCTCTTAATTTTTTGTGTGGTGCCATTTTTGTTGTGTTTGTATATCTAATGTAAGTACTCAAACACACAAAATCACTTGCTGTACTGCTGAGCAACATCAGTGATCCTTCAGTTTTTTGGCGGGGGCTGGTGCATATTTGCTGATGCTCAGGATGCACAGAGATCACTCCAGGTGATGCTCAGGGACCATATGGGATGCCAGGAATCAACCTGGGTTTCTGAGTGCAAGTCAAGTGCCCTGTTTACTATAGTATCACTTTCCCCCGCCCCCTCCCCATTCTTTTTCTATTTTTTAAAAATTTTTAAATTTTTTAAAATTTTTAAATGAATCACTGTGAGATACAGTTACAGTCTTTTTTTTTCTTTTTTTTTTTTTTTTAAATGTTTGAACTGTTTAAAAATTTTTTTTAAATGTTTTAAAAATTTGAACTGTTTAGCTGGAAGCTGGATCTTCTAAATTTTTCTTGGAGTTGATATAGTTACTATAGTAATTTACCATGAATGAAAAAAATAAGGCTTATTTTAATCTAGATCATGTTGAGATCAGAAAATACTAATCTTAGCAGTTAATCAACTTTTCCCTTTCAAAAAGTGTTCCATGAGTCTTTTATATCTTTTAATTTTCATAATACTTTTCATAATAAAACTGGAAATATTAAAATTGCTTAGTGTATAGTAGAGCTGGAGCTATAGCAAAGCGGGTAGGGTGTTTGCATTGCACATGGCCTACCTTAGTTTGATTCCTTCATCCCTCTCAGAGAGCCTGGCAGGCTACTGAGAGTATCCTGCCCACATGACAGAGTCTGGCAAGCTCCCTGTGGCGTATTTGAAATGCCCAAAACAGTAACAAGTCTCACAGTGGAGACATTACTGCTGCCTGCTCGAGCAAATCGATGAACAATGGGATGACAGTGGTACAGTGCAGTGCAGTATATATTATATATAATATATATGCTACAGTGCAGTGCAGAATTTATTATATACTATATACTGCATATATGTTATATATACTGCATATATACTGCATATATGTTATATGCAGTATATAGTATATAATAAAAACCGTTATTTTATAAAATAAATTTAAATGAGGAAAATAATTGATTTTATTTTTGGCTTTATTGGTTTTATCCAGTATTTGATTTCATAGAAGATGGTCTAACTTTGCCAAAAGGATAATTGCCCCAAGTTTTCATAAGGAGTAAGATTCTGACACCAAGCACTAGGGTTCAGATACCAGTGTAAAATGCCATAACTGTTGTCTGTAGCCATGCAGATTACATTTTAGTGAACTCTCCGCTCAACTGAAATCTCAGAATTCCTTCTTGACTGTTCTGACCATTCGTTCATGACCTTCTGTCTGTTTTGCTTCCTCTATAATATCTTTTCCATGTTGCATTGAGTTTCAAAGACATACAATATTCCAACATCCATTCCTTCGTCAGTGTCCACTTTCCTCCACTGATGTCCCAGTATTCCCTCCCAACCCCATTCCTGCCTCAGTGGCATGCACATTTATCCTTTTTCTCCTTTTAGGCACTGGTTTGCATACTGTTACTGATAGGTTATCGTGCATATCACTTTATCTCCTTTCAGCACCCAGTCCTTGTCCAGAGTGGCCCTTTCCCTCTGTCATGTGGCTCCTTCCCTTCCCTATCCTCAGTGGAAAACTTCACACTAGGGACCAGTTCTCTTGTTCTTCATGTTTGTTGGGTATTAATTATTCCCGTACTTTGTTTCTTAATATCCTGCATATGAGTGAGGTCATTGTTTGTCTGTTTCTCTTTCTTTGACTCATTTCACTCAATATGGTACTATCCAGATCCATCCATGTGTCAGAAAATTGCATGACTTCATCTTTTCTTACAGCTGAGTAGTATTCCATTGTGTTTATATACCATAGCATTTTTATCCAGTCATCTGTTCTTGGGCACTTGGGTTGTTTCCGGAGTTTGGCTGTTGTGAATAGTATCATCTTAGCTGTATTTCTCTAGTAATTTAATATTTAGCTGTTTTCTTGAAGCGTTAGCTTTGAAGGACTATATTAATGTTTTATAAACCTTTATTATTATTTAAGCAGGAGAAAACTGCTTTGTACCTGATTGGTTTGAAGCTAGGCTCATTGCTATGATGGTCTTATTGGCAGTTGATGTGGATGGAATGAAGACAATTCAGCATAGGTAAGTGTTTCTACATCTGGGAAAAAAACAAATTATGGCTGGTAATATGACTCAGCCATAAAGTGTATGCCTTGTATACTTGAAGCCCTGTGTTCGATCCCTGGTACCATGTGAAAAAATATTCAGATATATAGCCCATGCTCTATTTCAGTGATTGACATGGACTTAGTCACTGTGTATAAAGGAGGGAACTAAAACATTGGTGATACACGAAGTTCACCACCAAGTAAGCATAAATGTACATCACCAATAAAACACTGGTGACATATATTTTCAGATTAGTGATAAGCAGGATTAGGGACTTTCATTAGTCCTTAAATGAGTTAACTTGTTTAGAGAGTAAAAAACAATAAGATACTAATTAATTGGTTTTATGTAATAATACTAGAAGAATGAGTCTTAAGATTTAATGCAGATTGGGTAAAGAAATTTACTAGATTTATATAATGTGTAAGTTAAAGGATAAAGTAAAATAATCTCATTTTTATTTTGGGAATATGAACAAATCAATTGTCAGTAGTTTAGATGTTTCCAGTAGCATTTTTCTTTAAATAGTATATTTTCATATTATACACTTAGAACATCAAATTTCTTGTCTAGAAGCTGATAAATCTCTGCTCTAGACAGTTTTCTAGTACAAAGTTAGTGCTGTGTTTTAATAAAACCTAAAGTTTTTGTTTTTCTTAGTCTCATTTCCTTGACCAGAATGTTTTTATTTTGCTCTTTTGATATTTTTTTTTAAAAATTACAGAAATAGTCTTAGCATCTTAATTTTCAAATATGTTAGATGTAGACTTTCCTTCATATTTGTCACAGAGTTTAGTATAGGATGTTTTTCCCTGTGCTTTCTCTTCTAGTGGGTACTATACTCACTGAGAAAGCACAGACTGAAAAGTTAGTAAGAAGACTGCAGTCTTCGGACCATCCATAAAAGCAGTTTCTAATTAAATGTACTAGCTATTCAGTTCCATAATTTATAAGTAGAAAATTTCTTTATGGTTTTGAAATACTTTATTTGAGCATGTCTTTTAACGTTTAGTGAAAAGCAGCGAACACAAAATGTTTTGAGGATATTCTTAGATCCTCTACTGGATGCCCTTATGAAGTTTGGTACAAATGCCTACATGCCCTTGCTGAAAACCGACAGATGCCTCCAGTTGCTATTGAAGTTATTGCATACTTGCTTGTTGAAAGGTTCCAGAACCCAAGATGGTGAGGAAAAATAATTTTTGTGGGTCTCTTTCTTTCTATATCTTTTGCATTTAGAGTGAGAGGAAATTACTGACCTCTGTGAATAAAAAAACTAATTTGTGTGTTCAGCAGAAATTTACTGAATATCTCCTCGTGTTGCTGGGGATATAGCAGAGAATATAACTATGGAATTTACCTTCTTTAATTACTATTTGTTTAATTTTTTTTTTTTGAATCACTGTGAGATAGACTTTTACAAAGATGTTCAAGATTAGGTTTCCGTCATACAGTAATCCAACAACCATCCTTCTACCAGTGTACATTTCTCCCACCAGTGTCCCCAGGTTCCCTCTCATCCTCCCTGCCCTCTGCCTGCTCTATGGCAGATAGCTCTCTCTCTCTCTCTCTCTCTCTCTCTCTCTCTCTCTCTCTCTCTTTCTCTCTCTCTGACTAAACAGTTTTAAAATACCTATACTCTTTTGCTGTGAACTCACAACTGTTTCATCTCCATAATCTGGAGACTTGCAATGATAGGCCTTGATTTTTTAAATTACATAGCTTATTGTATTTTGATTTGCATTTTCAGAATCAGTGACAGTGAGCACTTTTTCATATGTGTTTTGACTGTGTCTTTGGTAATCTGTTCAACTCTTCCTATTTGATGGGGTTGTTTATTTTTTTATTACTGAATTTTATGAGTAGTTTATATATCTTTGGTTATTCTTTGTTAGATATGTGGTGTGTAAAGATTTCCCCATTAATTAGTAATGTCTTTTGGTTTTAGTTATTTTTCTTTCTCATGGCAAAAGTTCTTTAGTTTGATATAGTCTTATTTATTTTTACCTTTTCTTACCATTGGCTTTTTTTTTTGGCTTTCTTTTTGGGGGGGGTCACACCCAGCAGTGCTCTGGGGTTTCTCCTAGCTCTCTCTGCACTCAAGAATTTTCTCCTGGTGATGCTCTGGGGGCCATATGGAATGCTGGGGATCGAACTCGGGTTTACAGCATGCAAGGCAAATGCCCTACCCACTGTCGTATTGCTACAGCCCCTGGAGTTGATTTGTTGATGGAGCTTCAGAAACCAGTGTCATGAATAGTTTTGCCATATTTTCTTTGTTTGTTGTTACTGTGTTTGGCATATCGAATACGTCACGGGGAGCTTGCCAGGCTCTGCCATGCGGGCGAGATACTCTCGGTAGCTTGCCGGGCTCTCCGAGAGGGGCGGAGGAATCGAACTGGGGTCGGCCATGTTGGCTGCGTGCAAGGCAAACGCCCTACCGCTGTGCTATCGCTCCAGCCCAGTAACAACAAAGTCTCCAATGGAGACGTTACTGGGCCCGCTCGAGCAAATCGATGATCAACGGGAGGGCCTTTACTTTACTTTTACTTATATTTTCTTTGATGTCTTTTGCACTTTTGGGTCTTGCATCTAAATCTTTCATTTAATTTGAGCTAAATTTTGTGTATGGTGTGAGATAGTGGTCACATTTATCTTGCATGCAGCTATCCAGTTTTTCCCCTGCATCATTTGTTGACGAGATATTCCTTTCCTCATTTTATACTCTTGACTTCTTTGTTATAAATTGTCTAAAACTGAAAGGGATTTCTTTTATTTCATTTCTGTTCCATTGGTCTGTGTTTTTGTTGTTGTTTGTTAGATTTTTTTCAGCCTCACCTGACCATGCTCAGGGCTTACCCCCGGCTCTGAACTCAAGGATCACTCCTGGCTAGCTTGGGGACCCATATAGTTTGCCAGGGATCGAACCCAGGCCAGCATGGACAAGATGAATGCCTTACCTGCTGCACTATTGCTCTGGCCCCCAACATTGAAAATTTAAAACGAGAAGTATTAGTATTAGGTTAAATCTTAGTATTTAATAGTGGTAGTTTAGATTTTAGTATATGCTTATAAAATATGAGTTTCTTTTATTTTTATACTAGCAGAACCAAACACTGTATACATAGCCAACTTTTAATAAGATTTTTATCTCCTGAGTCAGAGAGATAGGAGTTACGGCACTTGCTTTACATGAAACCTACTTTGGTTCAAATCTCTACCTTGACATATGGTCCCTTCTCTCCCCTCCCCACTCTTTCCTCCCATCAAGCTTCCTTGTGTGTAATCCCTGAGCTGAGAGCCAAGAGTAAGACTTAAACACTATCCTGCCAAAATGAAAGATTTTAATCTCCTTGAGGGCATAACTTTGTATTTCTTTGGTATATCTCGACTGGTTTTAACAAAGCTTATTTAGTGTTTCCAAGTATAGGACTGGGTTATGGGTATATGGAAAATTGTCATTGTTGTTTCATACACACAAAAGCATGATGGTACATTATACATTATAATGCAGGATAATTAAATACCTGTAAACGCACTCCCTAATCTAACAACTAATTTGATTATTACTTGTCTATTTCCTTTTGGCTCGTTGTTTTGTCCTTATGGCTTCGTAAACTTTAAAAATGTTTCTACAACTACGTAGCTGTTTCTTAATAATATCTAGTTTGCCTGCTTTTTTAACTTTATAGAACTCTTACTTTATTACAAGAAGTCTCATGTAACAATTTGTGCTAATATATACCTAGATGTCATCTAGGAAGAGGAAATGGCAAGGAAGAGGCCTCTGAGGAGGTTGAGAGGTGATGAATAATAGGACATAAATTTTGAGAATAAAGCAGGAAATAGAGACCATGTGAAGGCTTTTGCAGATTATTTTAAGGGATAGACTTTTATTAGATGGTTTTGAGCTGAGTGATAAGATATGAATTAAAAGTTTACTTTGTAGGTTTGAGGATAATTTAGACTGGCTGGGGCCAGAGCTGGAAAATAAGCTACTAGTCTTGTACCAGATATCAATTGTGTTAAGAAATTTGAATATATTTCAGTGTTTTTTCTCCAGGATCTACCATTGGTTTGGATATAGGTTGTGAGAAAAAGCGAGAATATAAAGATTACTTGATTTTTGGAGCAGTTAGATAATTAGAGTTGCCTTTAATTGGTATTAGAAAGATTATAGAGTTAGAAAAGGTTTTGAAATAGTGATAAGAAATTCTGCTTTGGATAAAACTTGTGAGACATGTTTGAAATATCCCAGTGAAGCTGTTGAGTTGTCATTTGAAGGGAGTTCAGAGAACAAAGTATACATTAGGGAAGCTATAGCTGATATTTAAAAACCCATAAAACTGCATGCAAAAGGAACAAGTATAGAATTCCTAGTACTGTGGAGAACAACAAGTGATTGGTGAAGAGGAACCAGCAAAGGATACATAGGACAAATTCTTGGCGTTAATAAGAAAAACAGGAAAACAGGATATCCTGTAATCTAGTGAAGAAAGCATTTCCAAGAGGAAGGAATGAGAACTGCCTCAAATGCTTCTAATAATAAGAACCAAGAATTCACTGTTAGTTTTAGGAACATGGAAACCATTAGTGACCTTAATTGAAGCTATTTTGGGGTGATGGGCCTCCAGTTCATGGAGAGAAATCAAGATTGGAGTACACAAAACTCTTTAAAGCAGGGTTTGTGCATAGGGGAGGAGAAAAACAGGGCAGGTCCTAGTGGAAAAGAAAAATTTTATTTCCATAAGATGGAGCTCACCTGGAGGGAAAATTTGAAGATACAAATTATGAATAGCTTACTGGTGTCCCAAAGATGATTTTATGCAAATGCAATTCATAGTAGAGAATCAGATCTTGATGGGACAACTAACAGGGAGACAAATGCAGGTAGGTGGTAGATCTAGGAGGCTGTATGATTTTATGAGGGCTGGAGCAATAGTATAGCGGGTAGGGCATTTGCCTTGCACCTGGCCGACTCGGGTTCAATTCCTCTGTCCCTCTTGGAGAGCCCAGCAAGCAACCGAGAGTATCCTGCCCGTATGGCAGAGCCTGGCAAGCGCCCCTTGGTGTACTTGATTTGCCAAAAATAATAACAAGTCTCACAATGGAGATGTTACTGGTGCCCGCTCGCGCAAATTGGTGAACAATGGGAGGACAGTGCTATGACTTAATGATTCTTTGATGATTTATCACATTTTCTTAGTGAAAGAATGGAAAGGAGTGATTATTGAGGAAGAAGTATTGAGGAAGATTGATTGGGGTGAGTATTTAGAAAAGAGTATTAGCAAATGAGCGAGGGAAATATAGTCTCATTCGCTAATACTGAAAGTACATTTGAAGCTAGTGATCATGAACTTATTTATTTATCTGGCTTTGGGACCAAACCCTGTGGTGCTCAGGACTTCCTCTTCGCATTGCTCAGGGGAACATATGGGATACTGGTAATTGAACCGCAGTTGTCTGTGTGCTATGCCTCGCATTGTGCTCCCCATTGTACTATTGCTCTGGACCTGTAGTGATCATAATTTAAAGTGAAAACAGCAAGGCTATTTTCCTCTAGTTATGATGTGTAATACTGTCTTAGACAATATTTAATCAGATCAGATTCAGGGACTATAATTCTACTTTTGGTGCATATATATGAAGATATTTTTTAAAAATAATATTACTTATTTTTTAAAAAATTTAAAACAAATGTTTTTATAAAAGTGTTTTTTAAAAGTGTTTAAGCAATTTTTTGATGAAATGTTTTTAGCCTCTTGTAGCTCGCACTGTAGTTAAATCAGATTATGAAGACCAAAGTGACTGGCCTTAATGAAATTCCTTTAACTACTTGCTGAATTTCTTTCATTTGGTTATGTCTTCTGAAGAATGTTTTTTCTGGATATAAAATTCTGGTTTGCTAGATCATTCAGCAATTAAAAATATTTCTTTCTGTATGGTTTCCCATCAGAACACTGTAGTAATTCCAATTGTTCTTTTAAGTAAAGCTATTTTTCTCTGCTGTCAAGATTATCTGTAGTTTTCAACAGTTTGGTTATATGGAATTACATTGCATATTTTTAAAATGTTTTCTAGTTAGTTGACTCTTTCCTTTTGCATCTCCATGGATAACATCTGTGTGTGTGTGTGTGTGTGTGTGTGTGCGCGCGCATGTGCGTGTGTGTGTGTGTGTGTGTATGTGTGCGTTGTTTTTTTGGCATACCCAGCGATGCTGGGAGTTGGCTACTGGTTCTGTGCTCAGGAGTGATCCCTGACTGTCTCAGATACCATATGTAGTACTGGGGATTCAAATCAGGATTAGCCTTACCCTCTGTATGATCAGGTGCCTTACCCTCTGTATGATCTCTCCAGCCCTTGGTATTTTTATTTCAGGCACTTTATTTTTTTATTATAAAATTTCTTTTTGGTGTTTTTTTTTGTTGTTGTTGTTCTTTTTATTTGATGACACTTCCTGCCATTTGTTTTAAGAGTTTCTTGATGTTAAAGAGTGTTAAAACATTTTTGTAATAGCTGTTTTAAAGTTTGGCTAGATATCTCAAACCTCAACATCATTTTAACATTGTTGTTTGTAGCTTATCTCTTTCCGCATGAGGTAGAAATTTTCTGATTCTTTATATGTTTATTTTTTTTAATTGTAGTGTATTTTGGAATCTAGGGGATTCTGGATCTTGTTTACATTGGAGAATATTTTTGTTTACTAGTCAGCCTGGTTTAGACCTCAGTTTAGATACCGCTTTTGCTTTCGTAGTGATGGTTCCATTCAGTATCAGTTTGTTTCCCGTTCCATTTTTAGTGCCATCTGTTTGTTGTTCTCGTTGTTTTGTTTTGTTTTTAAGTTTTGGGGCCATACCTGACAGTCTTCAGGACTTACCTCTGGCTCTACAGTTAGGAATCAATCCTGGTGGTGCTCAAGGTACCATATATGAGATGCTGGGGATTGAACCTAGGTCATTCATGTTAAGGGAAGGGCCTTACCCACTGTGCTATCTCTCAGTTTCCACAAATGCCACTTTATCTATACTGTGTATGTTCCACCCAGTGGCCAGTCTGGGACTTGAGCAGTTGTAGTTCAGTTCTGAAAGTCTTTGTTTTGCTTATCTGTAGCAGCTCTATTTTCAGCAGAGTGGGGGTGAGCCGAGGAGTTCATCAGCCATTTTCTGGGCTACTTTTCCTGATCTTCCCCTCCCTTGAGTCTTAGTAAATACTAGCTGCTTCTTTGGGGTTATTTTCAAATCTCTGAGCTCTGTGCTCAGGAGTACAAACTTACTGCTCTTTAGTATTACATTCTTTCTGTTTTTTTTCCCCCCCAAACCATCTGCTGCTTTTCACCTTTCTGATATTATTTTGTCTAGGTTTTCTGTCATTTAGTGATTGATTATTTAGGTTATTCACTCATCCAGTGACAGCATATGGTGTATCCCTATCTTCACTGTCACTGTCACTGTCCTCCCGTTGTTCATCGATTTGCTCGAACGGGCCTGGTAACGTCTCCATTGGAGACTTTGTTGTTACTGTGTTTGGCATATCAAATACATCACGGGGAGCTTGCCAGACTTTGCAGGCAATACTCTCGGTGTAGCTTGCCGGGCTTTCCAAGAGTGGCGGAGGAATCGAACTCGGGTCGGCCATGTTGGCTGCGTGCAAGGCAAACGCCCTGCTGCTGTGCTATCGCTCTAGCCCATCCCCATCTTACCCTATCCAAAACTAGAACTCCTAAGTGAATTTTCAGAAGCAAATATTTCTTCTTGTTTCGGGCAGTTGAATTATTAAAATTCGTTTTGGTAAATGATTCACCCTTGTGCATAATTACCAGAGTTGTACGGTAATAGAACATCTGGGGTGTGTGTGTGTGTGTGTGTGTGTGTGTGTGTGTGTGTGTGTGTGTTTTATTTCTTTGTTTTGCTTTTTGGGCCACATCTGGCCATGCTCAGGGGTCACTTCTGGCTCTGCATGGAGGGATCACTCCTGGCGCTGCTCTAGGGACCATATAGAATACTGTACTATCTTTCTGGCCTCAAACATCAAGGTTATTTTGTACCAAAGAATATCTTTCATTTATCTGCATATTCTTTTCCCTATACAGATGAAGTATTTACTGTTCTTCAGAACTTTGTCATGTCTACTTCAGAGAGTATTTCTCAGTTTATACTCAGAAGACTTACTATGAATGAACTAACTAGTGTAAGTATTCTTTGCAGTAACTTCACCAAAATTTGAGTAATTGAAGACTGTCAGAATCTGTATTAACTTAAAAATAAAATTACCTTTAACTTTTTTTTTTTTTTGCTTTTTTGAGTCACACCTGGAGATGGGTTACTCCTGGCAGTGCTCAGGGGACCATATGGGATGCTGGGAATCGAACCCGGGTCGGTCGCGTGCAAGGCAAACGCCCTACCTGCTGTGCTATTGCTCCAGCCCCTACCTTTAACTTTTAATGTAATCAATTTTTTATAAGTCTCAGTAAGTAGAAAAAATAATGAACTTTGGAATTTTCTAGTTCTAGTTCCATCTGCGTAATGGGAAAGTTAGCTTTCCTGAAACTCATCTTTATTAGTTTCCTCATCTTCAAAATGGAAATTTTACTTCGAACTCCCAGCATTTGGAAAGTTTCAAATAGTATAACACATTTGAAGTACTTAGCAAATTTGTTATGTATTCTGTCTCAAAGTTTGATTTGGCAGATGTGGGATGGGATCAGATATCAGTACAAATATATTTTTAAGATACCAAAAGTGATTTGAATATCAATTAGTGTTGTAAACAATCTGAGGTAAAGCAGATGCTTTCTGAGTACCTATCTTTGTCACTTTTTTCCCCCATGTAGTTTGTTCTTTATAGGACAGTTGAAATTTAATAAAATTTCCACTCTTCAAGAATATTTTGAAACAACCAATACTTATAGAAATGCCAGTTATTTTTAAATTGTTGAATTGGATTTGGTTGGATTCTCTATGGATACATATTGAAGCTATTAGAACCATTAAATTGGCAGTAAAGTTAAAAGACTGCTCAATTAAATATGTTTGCTAGTTAACTGACAAGTATAAAAGATATAAGAAGACAAATTTTATACTCAAGACTTCATAGCATAGGGAGATAAGGAAATAGAAAGGAAATATCCTCTGGAGATAAGGAATGTTTAGCTTTTAAACAATTAGGTAATTGTTCATAACAATTTTGCTGATAACTAAATTTCTTCTTTTTTCATTTTATTTATTTATTTTATTGAAACACCGTGAGATAGAGGTACAAAGCTTTCATGTCTGAGATTCAGCCATACAGTGTGTGAATACCCATCCCTCCACCAGTGCACATTTTCCACCACCAGTATCTCCAGTCTTCCCCTCCACCCCCCCACCTTTCCTAGTCCTCACCCCACCTCTATAGCAGACAATTTCCCCAATACTCTACTACCCAATTCTCTCTACTTTTGGGCATCATGATTTGATCGAAGTTTCCACCACCGTTCAAGCCTGCCTGCCAGGGGTATATGCTAGATAATTTATTTTCCATTGCTTATTTTGAGTATGAGAGCTTGCGTAGCCGCAAAAGTGTCTGCGTGCTTCTAGATTTCTAGCTTGTAAATGCTTGGGTTCCAGAGATATCTCTGTAGGGCACTAATCCATTTTGGGTTTCATTTGGGAGTCTCTGGACCAGGGCTATTGGTGCGCTAAGATGGCACCCAGAGGCAGATTGTGGGCATGACAGCCAGGCTGCAGAGCACGGGGAGCCAGAGGGTACAACCCAGCTCCTCTGCCGCCATGTGGCTTGGAGATTTAGTCCTGGAACCCACGTACCTGGGCCTTGCTTGTGGAAGTTCTTTGTCGCCAGGACTCCATCTGGAGTAGGCGTACCTAAATTTCTAAGAAACGTTTTTTGTATTTTATTTTTATAAAGAAGTTCACAATATTTGATTACATTTAATATTTCAACACCAATCCCACCATCATTACACCTTCCCACCACCGTATTTCGGATGTTTCCATCCCAAACCACAAACTCTGTCCCAAAGCAGAACTGAAATAATTTATTTTGTGTTGTTTGTTATGAATAAATTGCTGAAAATTCTCCAGAAAATTTTCTTAGAGGAGAGTGTGTGAAGATTGTTGTATTTAAGCCTTTCTATAAGAGATTACTAACATGTTGTTAAAGGTTGAGCCTTGTGTGCTTATATATATATATATATATATATATATATATATATATAAATACATTTTCTTCTAAGATTGGTTGCCTTCTACTTTAAACCCCATCAAATGTGGTGCACTACTCTTGGAGTGTGAGTGGTGTGACGTATGAGATGTTGTGTGGCCGCATTTGTGGTTCAGGAATGGGTTCATGCATGGGTGAGGCTTGTCCCCAGTGTGTGGAGAGTAGCCGTGAATACATGAGCATGGTGGCAATTGAGTTCTGGAGGTTTTTGTCTGCCAGAGCTGGGTCCCTTGGGGTGTGGAGAAGAACTCACCCACTCTCCTGCAGGTTGCCTTGAATAAAACAACCTGGCACAGGGTCCAGTGGCATGGCTATGGCATGTCGTTTTATGCTCTCTTCTGAGAGATTATAATGAGTTTCTGGATCATGGCCGTTGGCGAGATTATATGGGATCAGCCAAAGGTGGTTTGTGGGTATGACTGCCAAGTTGCCGAAGACAGGGGAACATAGGGGGAGGTCACCCATTCCCAGTTCCGTTGAACCTGGAGTTTTCTTTCACAAGTTCCACATTCTAAGAAACATTCAATAGAGAGCTTTTTGCTTTGACTTCATGTAATTTTATTATCATCAGTATTATTTTCAGCCCTTTAAATTTGGATATTTCCAGGCATACATGAAAGTATACTAAATTTCTATATACTCATTATAAAACATAAATGCTTTCATGTTTTATAATGTAACTTAAAAAAGGAAAAGATTATAAAAAATATAAAAATATATAATACGCACAAATAATGGAAAGATTGTTATATAAGTATATTTTAATTTAGTTTTGGATCATACCCAGCTAAGCTCAGACTACTCCTGTCTCTGTAATATTTATTTATAAATAACATATTTATAATACATATTATTATTACAATACATTGTATTATATAATGATTATTATAATACACTATTATATAATACATAATATATGTATTATGCATTATATATATAGCATTGTAGCACTGTCCTCCTGTTCATCCATTTGCTCGAGCGGGCACCAGTAACATCTCCATTGTGAGACTTGTTGTTACTGTTTTTGGCATATCGAATACACCATGGGGAGCTTTCCAGGCTCTGCTGTGTGGGCAGGATACTCTCTGTAGCTTGCCAGGCTCACCGAGAGGGACAGAGGAATCAAACCGGGGTTGGCTGCATGCAAGACAAATGCCCTATCCACTGTACTATATTATATATAATGTAATATATTATATGTTATATATAATATATAATATATTATAATATGTACACGTACTATATATTATATGTTAATAATATATATAATACATATTTAGACTGAAACATTTACTCTTTAATGAGATCAGTATTAGAATTCCCAAGTAAATACCTCTGTTTGGTAGTTCAGAGTTCAATCAGTTTTTTTCTCCACATTTTTTCTCTCCTCAGCAGTGTGATGCTTGTTTAACAACTGGTTCTTAGGGACAAAGAAAGTCGCTCTGATTTGTTATTCATCAGTTTTTCATGGCTAATTTCAGCTGTCAACATGAGGGACATGAACTATCAGCCTTCAGTATGCCGTCGCTGCCTCTCCTTACTTCACAGAGGAAATAACTGCCTATGTGAAATTTCCAGCTGTTAAATGTCTAGGTGCTCACCCACACCTGAGTCCATTCTTCTTGTCTTCTCTCTCTGAGATAAGATGGTCTGGGTTTCATTTTCTTCCATTTGCTGAAGGACTTTTCACTTTCTTGTATTTGCAGCCTTCCCTTTTCTCCTAGATTCTTTTCATGAACAGTAAAATTGCTTTTAAGACCCTATTGTAAAATAGCTCTCTCAATTTTCCTTTCCTTTTAGCACCCAATTTCTTTCTCTTTATAGACAAATCAATAAAGACCTTCAGCTCCATTCTTTTTTTTTAAATTGAATCACTGTGAGATACAGTTTCAAAGCTTTCATGATTGAGTTTCAGTCATAAAATGATCAAACAGCCATCTCTCCAACACCCATCCCTCCAACAGTGTACACTTTCCACCACCAATGTCCCCAGTATCCTTCCTGCCACTCCACCCCACCTCCTGCCTCTGTGGTAGACAATTTCCATCTTTCTCTCTCTACTTTTGAATTCATCCCCATACATACCTGGTTTCTACCTCTATCATTATACAAAGTTGGCTTTCTCTGAAGTTGACAATGACCCCTCTGTTATAAATTTAATGACAAATTGAATGATTTAAACTGAACTTACTTTCTTTCTTTCTTTCTTTCTTTCTTTCTTTCTTTCTTTCTTTCTTTCTTTCTTTCTTCTCTCTCTCTTTCTTTCTCTTTCTCTTTCTCTCTCTCTTTCTCTTTCTCTTTCTTTCTGTCTTTCTCTTCTTTCCTCTTTCCTCTCTTTCTCCCCTCCCTCCCTCCCTCCCTCCCTGCCTTCCTTCCTTCCTTCCTGTACTTTTTCTCAAATCCTCAAATCAGATTTTTCTTGACTCAGCCCCATTTTGTACTGTTGACCATTTAGCTTCTGTGACATTATTTTTTTTGTTTTTCTCTCTTTTCTCTTCATCATTATACCCACTTTTCCTTTGAATGTTCATTCTCTACTATCTAGCCTTCAAAGTGGGAGTTTTTTTCCTTTTACTTTGTTTTGCCACCGGGCTGCATCTCTTGTCCCGCAAAATGTTGTTTGTTTTAATAGCCTGTTTGGCCTTGTTCCCCTTTTATGTTCTGTTCTGCCTCAGTGATTTTATCTGCAGCCTCAGCATCAGTTTTGCCAGGGATCTTCATATCTTTGTCTTTATTGCAGATCACTATTCTGAGCGTAGCGTTCATTCAGCCAGTTGCCTATTGACAACTTGTGTTGGATCTATTACATGTACACTGTTAACATCTTTGCAGAGGTTCTCCTGGTTTCCTTCTCAGTGAATATACCACTATTTAGCCATTTTTTCAAGCTCCAAATTTAGTAATCCTCCCAGGCACTTTTACTTCTCAGTCTCAGGCGCTTATATGTATACCCTTTGTTTAATCTCTGACCAGGCGCTGCAGATGTTAGCTTTTATATTTGGGTTGTACTCTTAACATCTGACAAAGTTCAATACAGTGGTTGCTCAGTAAATATATATTAAATGTATAATTATATGCTTCTTTCTACCAGAAAGACCCTTAAGGTAATTGGTATAGAAATAATAATGACCTGGGTTTGATCCCATATATGGTCCCTGAGCATTACCAGGAGTGATCTCTTGAGTGCAACCACAAGTAAGCCCCTAGTACAGCTGGGCATCTACCCCAAACAAGCAAAATTATTAAGGTCACATGTCATTACTCGTCCACTTAACATACGTTTTCTTTTCTTTAAAAAAGATTTTTTTTATAAAGTTGTATGTTTTCTTAAATCTTTTAGAAACCTTGTGAGGATAGAGAGACACTACTCTCACCATTTTATGGATAACAAACCTGAGGTCTTAGAGGTTAAGTAATTTCCCAAAGGTTACAGAGAAAGTGGTGGGAGACGTGAATGGAAGCACGTTGCACCAGGGTCATTCTGTGAATCAAAAGGACATGTACTTAATTCTCTCTCTCTCTCTCTGCTACTTACTAGTTCTGAGATGCTGGGTAAGTGTTTAACCTTTCTGAAAGATTTTAGGAAGTAGCAGGGGTGGTGATCTCTCTTGTGAGAATCGACTGTTGTAAACTGCCTAAAACGACGGAAGTGGTAACTGCCATAACAGCTATAGCTATTTCTGAGCTGGAGCAATAGTACAGTGGGGAAGGTGCTTGCCTTGCATGCGGCTGACCCCTCTCTATCCCTGGCACTGCATGTCGTCTCTTGAGGTCTGCCAGGAGTGATCCTGAGTGCAGAGCCAGAAGTAAGCCCTGAGTACCTCAGGGTCTCAAACAAAAACAAGAAGAAGAGCTATTGCTATTTCTGATGAGGTCGTCCTGGATTGCAGTGATCGGTGGAACATAGTTGCTCTCTTCCAGCATTTCATAGTCAAAAGATGAGTACATTGTAAAATGTGCGAGAAGTGTGTGGAATACAGACTGTGTAAACAGAAACTATCTCTGCGTGGGAACATTATAAAAGGCTTCTGGGAACAAATTACTTTCTTTCATCAGTATTTTAAAATTTAATTTAATTTAAATAAAATATTTTTACAATATTTGTTTACATTTAATATTTCAACACCAATCCCATAACCATTACACCTTCTCATCTCCATATTTTGGATGTTTCCATCCCAGACCCCAACCCCTGCCCCAAAGCAGAACTGAAATAATTTATTTTATATTGTTTGTTAAGAATAAATTGTTGAAAATGCTCCGAAAAACTTTCCTTAGAGGAGAGTGTGTGAAAGTTGTTTATTTTATCCAGGGGCCATTAAGCCCTTCTATAAGAGATTACTAATATGTTCTTAAGGGTTGAGCTGTGTGTGCATATACATATACACACACACATGTGTGTATGTATATACATACGTGTATGTATATGTATACACATATATGTAGAAATATATTTTCCTCTAAGATTGGTTGCCTTCTGCTTTAAACCCCATCAAATGTGGTGTGCTGCTCTTGGAATATGAGTGGTGTGAGGTATGAGATGTCGTGGCTGCGTGGTCCAGGAATAGGGTTATGTGTGTGAGGCTTGGCCCGACGTGTAGAGAGCAGCTGTGGGCATGATGGTAGTTGGGTTCTGGAGGTTTTTGACTGCCTGCTGGGGCTGGGTCCCTTGGGGCGGGGAGGGGTCTCCCCTGACCCCCTCTGGGCATGGGGTCTGGTGGCATTTGTCAGTGTTTTTTTAGTGCTCTTAAAAAAATTTATTTTCTGTCTGACTCTCAGTTTTTTGAAAATCATGGACCCTGCTTGTCTTAGATTTCAGATCTGGATCGCTGTCATTTATACCTGATGGTATTAACTGAGCTTATAAATCTCCATTTGAAGATTGGGTGGAAAAGCGATAACCCTATTTGGAGAGTTATTTCTCCTTTGAGAAATGTATCTATTCAAAATCTTCAAGAGACGGACGATGAACAGGTAATCTTTGACTCAGGTGAAGGTATTTTGAGTATATGTGGAATATATCTATATTATATTTTTTTGATATGTTATAAAGCATCTGCTGAGGGACCAGAGATTGTACAGGGGGAAGATGCTTGCCTTGCATGCAGCTGACCTCCCAGTTCAATCTTCACCTACCTTACATGGCCCCTGAATACCGACAAGAGTAATCCTTGAGCACTGCTGCACGTGCCTCCCACCCTCCTCTTGTTCCCCAATCTGCTAAAATTTAATTGTAAAAATAATATTCAGTGTTCATAATATTTTCTGAATGCCTAGCATGCTATTAACTATATTTCAAAGGAACGTAAATATTATCTTAAAATTAGATTTTTATCAATTTTATCTTTTATGTAGACTTTTATCCATGCAGACTTTTATATATCAGTACAAGATACTTTAATGTACCCAAATTTATTAGGCTTCTGTAGCCCTTTATACTTGATTTTGTGCCTGTGTGTTGCCTAATCATTCACTGCCTTGATTCTTTTCCACAGTGCCCCTATGCTTCATTCAAAGAAGGCTGCCACACACACTTTACACAGATTATAAACCCATGTCATCTCCTTCCTCATTTAGGTTTATGTTCCATCTGGTCTTCCCTGTTTTCAAAAAAATACCTGTCAGTATCTGGGGGTCCCTCCTCCTGGTGACTTTCTGCAAACTGGGCCAGCAGCTTGAGGATCAGTCCCTCAGGGCACTGTGGTGCCAAGTATTCTCTGGGACATCTTGGTGGTGTCTGGGGGGCCTCCAATACATACATACCTGGAAATACTCAATAGGCGTCTGGGGCTGCATCTAATGATGTTTGGAGGATTATGTAGTGTGAGGGATCAAACTGAGGTCTGCCGCATGCAAGGCTCAAACCTTAACTCCTGTCCTACCTCTTCATCTCCATTTTGAAGCACTGCAGATCACATTTTCTTCTTGTGTGTATATCATTCTTTTCTTCATTTACCTATTGTTCTTTTAGTCTTAATATTAAAAAGTTTGCATTCACTGTCCAGGTACAGTAACTTCTCAGACTAGGAGCAAGGACAAAGCCAGGTAGCCTAACTCCAAAGCCTGTGTGCTCAGCCCCTACACTTTGTTGTCATGTTCCTTTTCCTCCTTGCAGGGGAATCCAGAATATCGGACAGTCAGGAGTGTGTGGTAGTGAGAAGTAAGCTCATAATGTCACTGAGCCATTGTCTAGGTGCTTTCTTACTGGGGATTTTTTTTAATCCTTTTTCCTACTCTTTCCCCTTTTCTTTCCTTCCCAGTTCTGTTCTAAACATTCTTTAGCTCAATAGTTAAAATAAGAATGACCTGTAGGAATGTTGTATCTAGTTTGTGTATGCAAGTGAAAAAGATTGAGAAGTACTGATTTGTATGCAGTCTGGGTTCTCTGTGTAGCCAGTCTACTGTATACTAATTCCAGGCACCCACCTGCATAATGAAGATATCAGACCATTTCTTAGTCTAAAATGCTGAATTTTTTTTACTAGGTTATAAATTTGTTGTAGATTTTACAAGTTTATATAGATTATGTATATATACTAGTTTGTGTAGGTTTTACTAGTTTATAAATTTGTAAATGATAAAAATAATGTGCACTGAATGCTCTTATATTGCCTTTGATGTTTATAGCCTACAGAATGAGGAAGGCATGAAATTTTTCAGAGATGACAGCTAACGTCCTTACTGCATGACATGCCTTTTAGTTCAGACTTGCTTCTGTTAAAGACTGTCCCATCTCCTCCTCAGGAACCGACACTTGGTAGACAGATTCAGAGAGTCATTAGTATGGCCTCCTTGGCCATGTTGTGTGAGACCACTGACCACAAGCCTGACATGCAGCTGGACCCCTTGGATGCAGGACCCACTGACAGGTTCCTTGCTTCTCTACAGTTCAATCAGACATTGCATAAACCCCACACAGAGGAGCAAAGCAGGTGTGTTCACCCCTCAGTGTGAAGCGTATATGAAGGGCATCTTATTGCTGATATTTAAAGATCCATTTTTGTATCAGTAATTAGATTAATTAGAGATTATTAAACATTACTTTTAGGTCTCTGAAAATTTGATAATGCATTATGACATTACTTATCTTTTACTGGAAACTCATCTGCCTTTTTTCATTTAGGTTTCACCATTTAAAGTGAATACTTAGAAGACTACTTTTTGTTTTGTTTTGTTTTTGGGCCACACCCAGTGATGCTCAGGCTCTGCACTCAGGAATTACTCTTGACTATGCTTGGAGGGCCATATGGGATGCTGGGAACAGAACTTAGGGTCAGCTGTGTGCAAGGCAAGCACCTTGTCCAGTGTACTATCTCTCTGGCCCCTTAATGGTTTATTTATTTATTTGGTTTTGGGGCTATACCCAGTGGTGCTCGGGGCTTATTCCTGGCTCTGCACTGAGAAATAACTCCTAGCAGGCTTGGGGGATCATATGGAATGCCAGAGATCTAATCCAGGTCAGCCATGTGCAATGCAAGTGCCCTACCCACTCACTGAACTATCACTCTGGCCCCCAAGATAACTTTTTAGAGTAATTGGAAAACTGAGAGCTATGTGATTTTCTTGATTTTGTGTGTGTGTGTGTGTGTGTGTGTGTGTGTGTGTGTGTGTATACACTGGGATCTTGACTGATAATGATTCTCTATTTTATAAAGATTGTGCAAAGAAAAATTAATACTTATGGAAGATAGAGTAGTGACTTTTTTTTTTGTTTGTTTATTTCAGTTTCTTTGAAGAATCTTTACCTTCCCAAGGATGGGGAAAAATAGTTGCACAGTATATTCATGATCAGTGGGTCTGCTTCTCTTTTCTGTTGAAAAGATATCACACTCTTATTCCAACATCAGAAGGTGAAATTCTGGAACCCATTTTACCTGCTGTTCAAATGCCAGTAAGGACTTTACAGTTTGCACTAGAAGCCCTCACAGTTCTTCCTTCTGATCACGTTTTACCTGTGTTCCATTGCATGAAAATTTTGGTTCCTAAGGTAAGTTAAGATGAGATAAAAATTGAACAGTGGGCTGGAGAAGTAGAGTGGGCAGTGTGCTTGCCTTGCATACACTGACCCAGTTCAAGATGCCATATGTGGTTACTGAGCCTACCAGGAGTGAACCCTGAGCTCAGAAGCAGGAGTAAACCCTGAGTACCACTGGGCATGGGCCCCAAACAAAACAAACCAAAAATGAAGAAGAAAAACACCTATAGGATTAGAAATCAGTTTCAAAAATTAAATAATAATTATCTTTTTTTTTTCTTTTTCTGCCAGCTTCTGACATCCTCTGAATCACTCTGCATCGAGTCTTTTGACATGGCTTGGAAAATTATATCTTCTTTAAGCAATACTCAGTTGATATTCTGGTCTAATTTAAAAGCTTTTGTTCATTTTGTTTTTGATATGAAAGTTCTTACCATTGCTGCAAAAATCAAGGGCCAGGTGTATTTCAAAATAAAAGAGGTAACTTTTGACATGGGGGGGCATTATAGTAAATTTATTATCTTAACCATTTGTGTGTGTGTGCACTCTTGCATATCTTTTTTATAATTTTTAAATTATTTTAAAAATTTTGTATTAAAGAACCATGATTTACAAAGTTATTCATATTTGGGTTTTAGACATACTATGTTCTAGCACCAATCCCAACACCAGTGTCTGCTTCCATCTATGAGGGTTGCCAGGCCTTCTCCCACCCCCTGTTCCCCCATTCTCTTTCTCTTGACAGGCACATTTTTAATTTTGGTTGTTGAAGTTTGGATCTCCTGTTTTCAGTGTTGACTCTGTGGTTGGATATTTAGCCCTATCACTCCTTGACACCGCCAGCCAGTGTTACACACCAAGGATCCCCTTGACCCCTGCTCCCCATTGCTTCTTTCTATCTATCTATCTATCTCTTCTTTCCCTCTCAATTTCTTAACCATTTTTAAGTATACATTTCATTAGTCTTACGTATATTCACTTTGTTGTAACATATCACCAGAACTTTTTTTTTCTTTCATAGTTTTAACTGAGTACCCATTAAAAATTTTTTTATAGCACCATATAAAAACAAATTCACTTTATTTTCTCCTCCCCAGTCCCTGGTTACGAGCACTTTTCCTTCTGTTTCTGACTTTGAGAACTAAAGGAACTTAACTTTTGTTATTAATGTTTGTGATTTGGACATGAAATAGGGACCGTCCAGTATGGTAGAGGAATGCTGACATGGAGTGTGGTGTTAGAACATTGCTTGTGAAATTGCTGGATGTTAAAATAATTTATGCCTAAAGCTCAACTATCAATAAGTCATAGTTCTTCAATAAAGAAATTTTTAAATAAAAACATTGCTTATAAAACTATCATTAACAGTATTATAAATTGCTGTACCTAAATAAAAATTGGGAGAAAGAAAGAAGTTACAACTATATACTTGGCCTGTTGATAATGTTTATTTTTCTGTTAGTCAATATGTTCTGAATCTTCTTCATTATCATGAATAGGAGTTAGAATATGTTAGATTATAAGAGTATGTGCAAAGCCATAGACTGTGAATCACATCTGCCTCACAGACTTATTTTATTTGGTTAAAGGAGATTAATTTTTTTTTTCCAATTGTTGGTTTTAAAGAATTGGGGAATTTGTATAAAGATTTTGGAAGAACTGACATAAGAACTGCCATTCTTATGTAATAACCTGTATGGCCCAAGTTCAGTGTCCATCCATCTAGGACATGTCCTCTTACAATTTTTTAATGACTTCTCCTTGTTACTGAAGGCACAAGTCTAGTACTACTTGTCATTGCAATTGTAATTCTTTCCTAGAAAAGTGTTTCTCTGAATATAGCCTTATTAAAAGGTCTTTATGGTTTTCTGGAGGCATCATAAAGTAATCTGCCTTCACAGCAATTAGTACATAGTCTGAATAATACCAGGATGAAATAATATCATGCCTAGAAATTCACATGTGCCTCCTTATCCAAAGAGGAAAATGGAAAGTTAAAGTCCTTTTCTTGACTGTCATTTACTCCCTCTCTGTTCTTTCCTGCCACACATCGCTTGTCAAAACTATACTCTTTCTGCCCCCAGAAAAGGATAACATTGGTAGCATGCAGAGAAAGCTGAACATATAAAGGATGAAGTGTTTTCTTTTCCTTCCATTCTCTTATTTGGGGCAGTTGTTTCTCTTGGAGAATTCAAAATATCACTGGGTGAATATCACTGTCATTAAAGTAATTGAGAAATGAAAACTTAGTATTCTGCAATCACTGATCATTTTGCAAAAGTTCTAGCAAAAGACTTTTGAAAAACTACTTATGGTTATGTTGAGAGTATCGTTTAAATCCATTCACATCGATTCTTAGTAGTACTTTTTAGTTGTTAAATAAATTGGTTCAAAGATAAAATGACCATTGCTTTTCATTTCAGATTATGTCCAATGTAATCGAAATGTCTGCTACAAAAACTGGCGTCTTCAATGTACTAATAAGTTATTGCTGCCAGTCTTGGATAGTTTCTGCTTCAGATGTGTCCCAAGTATCATTATCAAGTGCTAAAAATTATAGTGAACTTATCCTTGAGGCTTGTTTGTTTGGAACTGTGTTTAGGCATGATCAAAGGTAAAAAGACGCTGTTATTTCAACGTGTCATAACTTAAGTACATCCTTGGGTAGGGGGTTTCATTAGCAGAATGTTAAGTACTAGTTAGCTTTAAATTGGGGGTGATAATTTTTTTTCCTATCTAACACCCGTTATTTGTCTTTTTTTTTATGGAAAGACTTATTCAGGATATACATACCTTCGTAGAAAATCTTGGGCATGAATGTGCAGCTAACATTATTATTGAAAAGTAAGTATTCTAGGTTTTCTATGTCTTGACATAGATGAAATATATAAAATTTAACATGTGAAGCATTTATTTGTTAAATTTAATGAGAGCTTACAGTGATACTCAGGATATTGAACGAACCTTCAAAGTTATTTTAGAAAGTGTGTACCCTTGCTAGTACATTTTCAACACATTTTCTTCAGATTTCTCACTATTAATATGTGTTATACCTTACAAAATAGTAATGGACTACCATCTTAAACACAGTAACTTAACTATAATAAATTTTAAAAAATTAATCTAATCTGGATAATAAAGTCCAGCATAAATAAGGAAATAACATAGGGTATAATCTTTGGGGTGGTTGTGTGATTGTCAGCACACACATTTAATTTTTTTTTTTTTTACTAAAACTTACCATTTATAGTCAGTACACTACATTGAAAAAATAAAACCTCTATTGGAACAGACCCTAAAATTTTGCTGTCCAGGGTATAATTAAGCTTTTGGGATTTGTTTAATAGCATTTTTAATCATATTTTTTAAAGATCATTTTTAAAAATGCTTGTGTTCATAGAGAAGATAAAATGTTACAGTTTGATTTTAGAATTTAGGGCAACAAATGACAATTGTGTATAGTTATCACATAGCTTATTATTCTGAGTCATAGCTATAATTCCAAAACCTGACATCCGATTAGATTTTTTTTTTTCAGTTGTTTTCATTGGGATTTAATTTTTTGTTTGTTTTATTTTGTTTTGTTTTGGGGCCACATCCTGGCTCTGTTCAGGGATCACATCTGGTGGGCTCAGGGGACCATATGGGGTGTCAGGGATCAAGCTCAGATTGGCCACATGCAAGGCAAGTGCCCTACCTGCTGTGCTATCACTCTGACCCCATGGAATTTTATATTTTGACTGGTTTATGATAACAATAAAAGTGAATTAGTTGATAGCTTCTAAATTCTTTCATTCCTGCAGACAGATACTCTTGTTAAAATTACATTCAAGTTGTAAGAGCTGCAGTGCACTTGGAAATAGTTCTTAACAATTTGATTTAAATTACCTTTACACATTTGAATATTGAAAATGCTGGGTTAGAACATCCTGTGCTTCTAAGAAGCTAATCCCCCCCTCTGTTTCTCTCGCCCCCCTCCCCAGCATGGCCTCTTCCCCCCCGCCCCGCTATCATCTTCCCTGTCTCCATATCTCCTTTCTCTTGTCTCCCATTCTTCTCTTCTCCTCCTCCAGTCTCATTTGTACCCTCTCTCCTTTGCCTTCTCCTTAACTTTCCTTTCCTTCCTTTGTTGTTGCAATGACCAGAGTTTTGTATACTTGCACATTTTTTTCATCTAAGTTGCATAGTAGCAGCTGGTTGCACGTCAAGTGTTTCAAACTTGGGCAGGGTGCTCTCAGAGGTTTGCACCCCTTTAGTTGTGCTCGCACACATGGTAATTAGATTGCACTCAGCCGAGACACACAAGTTATGGTTGTGGGCTCACCAGAGGTTGCTAGTACTCAGCAGAGTTAACAGTTCTGACTTTGGAAACTGCACATTTTTTTAAAAATTTTTATTTGAATTTGCACGTCTTTTTAAAAATTTTTAAATTTTATTCATTTGTATGCTTTTGTTTTTTTTTAAGGTTATGGTGGTTGGTGGTGGTGAACCTTCTTTGTGTGTGTATGTGTTTAGTGCTTATACATACCTGACTGTAGAGTGATTGACAGTCACTTGCAGCCTTGGGGAATCACAGCGAACCAGACAGCATCACTCTCTGCATGTGGAAGTTATCTTGGGACTATAAGTTTGCAAGGCATGCATTCTAAGGGTTTTTCTTGTTACCTTTTATTTATCCTGAACTTAAAAAGCATTGTTAATAAGTGTGGACCTATACAATTTTATAACACTTTGAAAAGTTTTGATACTTGTTATGATACTTTTAAAATAATTCTGGATATATTTTTCTGTTTTGAAAATATATTAACACAGCCTCATTTTATATTTTTTTAGTACTAAAAGAGAAGACCATTATGTGAGAATTTGTGCAGTCAAATTCCTCTGTTTATTGGATGGATCAAATATGTCTCAGAAGTTGTTTATAGAAGACCTTGCAATCAAGCTCTTAGACAAAGTAAATATACTTTATTTCTTTTTAAGGTATCTTTGTCTTTATATATTAACAGATCAGAATCCAATACTCATTTTTATACATTCACAAAATTTGTATTTCTAAATCTTTTTGTGGGGCTGGAGTGATAACACAGTGGGTAGGGCATCTGCCTTGCACGTGGCCTATGAGGGTTCGATTCCTCCACCCCTCTCGGAGAGCCCAGCAAGCTACCGAGAGTATTTCGTCCTCAAGGCAAAGCCTGGCAAGCTCCTTGTGACTTATTCAATGTGCCAAAAGCAGTAACAAGTCTCCCAATTTGGTGTGAGACATTACTGGTGCCCACTCAAGCAAATCTATGAACAACAAAAGGACAGTGCTACAGTGCTAATATTTTTGTGAAGTAAAACATGAGGTTTGTAAAGTTCTATACATTTTCTTTGATTTTCCATGGTACTCTGCATGGATGTGCAGACCTGGGGGGTGGGTGCTTGGGCCTGAGCAGGCTTGTGGAACTGGAAGTCACCAGGCAATGCCTGGGCCGCCATTTAGACCTTGGAAATTGAATCCGGCTTGTGGGGCAGTGCTGGGGATCTAACTCCTGACCCCATTCTTGGAAAAAAGATACTTTACCACTGGACCATAGATAATCCATGTTATAACTCATATAAATAGTTAATCCATAGATAATCCATGTTATAATAGATAATTTTACTTTACTTACTATAATAGATAATCCATGTTATAACTCATATGAATAATCTTGTTTTATCTATTTCCCCAATACAAATTATTTTGAATTAAATCTCAGACCATAGTTTTATTTTTAAGTATTTCTGTATGTATCTACAAAAGATACAGATTAAGAACATTTTTTCTTTTTTTCCTCTTGAGGCAGGAAAGTGGTTTGGGCCACACCTGGAGGGCTTGGAGGCTTATTCTGGGATTTTTGCTCTGGGATTAAACTTGAGTTGGTCTCCTGCAAGGCAGGTTCCTTAATTCCTATACTGTCTCTCCTGATAAGGAATTTTTAAACAAAAATTTAAGCTATAAGTACACCATTTGTACTGCTAACTTAATAATTTGTTAGGTTTTTTTTTTTTTTTTTTTTTTTTTTTGCTTTTTGGGTCACACCCGGTGATGCACAGGGGTTACTCCTGGCTCTTCACTCAGGAATCACTCCTAGCTGTGCTAGGGGGACCATATGGGATGCTGGGAATCGAACCCAGGTCGGCTGTGTGCAAGGCAAATGCCCTACCCGCTGTGCTATCACTCCAGCCCTGATAATTTCTTAGTTTTTATCAGTTATTGACATCATGTTTAAACTTACCTGATTGTCTTAAATTTTTTTTTTTGTTTTTTGTTTTTGGGTCACACCCAGTGATGCACAGGGGTTACTCCCTACTCATGCACTCAGGAATTACTCCTGGCCGTGCTTGGGGGATCATATGGGATGCTGGGAATCAAACCCAGTCGGCTGTGTGCAAGGCAAACGTGCTACCCGCTGTGCTATCACTCCAGCCCCTGTCTGAAATTTTTTACCTAGCTTTGTTTGAAAGATGACCCAGGTAAAGTTCATAAACAGCAGTTGATTGAGATATCTCTAACATCTCATTTGCAACCCCCCCCCACCTTTTTTTTGTTTGTTTGTTTCTGTTTTGGGTGCATGGGTACCATGTACCAGGGAACATCATGCTCTTGCCTACAGAGCATGCGCTTCAGCCCTTTGAACTTCTCCCCAAGCCCTTCGCCTCTCTCTCTTTTTTTTTAAATTAATTTATTTTTTTTTTTATTAGTGAAACACCATGAGGTACACTTATAGACTTACAAAGTTTTGTGCTTGGGTTTCAGTTATACAATGATCAAGTACTCATCCCTCCACCAGCGACCATCCTCCACCAACACGGGTTGTATCAGTTTGCAGATTCCATTATTCCAGACTTACACAAGACATGCAGTTTTCACCTTATGTACTGTGCATTGTAATATGTCTGCCTAAAATCTCAGTTACCCCCTGGCTGTTTCTCTGCCTTAACTGGCCATGAAGAAATAACAGTGTATTACCAAAAACTTCTTGTAGTAAATACAGGTTTATGTTTCCTTTTTAATTTTAAAAGCAGACAATGTATACAAAAATAGCTAGTTTTTTAAAAAACTTTTCGGATAATGTTTTGAAAGGTTATGAAAATGATGTGCTTAGAAAATGCCTTATTCTCTTTCTCCCTTTGCAGAGAGTAGGCTGCTGTGGCATGTTTAAACTTTAAGTTGTGGTTGATTTTGTTCGTATTAATCACCCTTCTGCCCCTCAGGATGAATTTGTGTCTAAGTTTAGAACATGTTACTATGTAAATTCTCAACAACATCGAGTGAAAAATCGAATATGGCAGACTCTGCTCATCCTTTTCCCGAGATTTGATCAGGTATTTATTATATTTGTACCTTTAACCAGAATTTTTTCCTGTGAGTAAACTAAGAGGAACTCTCATGTCATGTGCCACTTTAAAATTTAGAATGTAATCTTAAAATTTATGCTTCAATTTTTAAAATGAACACTAAGAGAAAAAAATAAAATGAACACTAAGGCAGTTAGCTCCATAGATGTGAATTAGAAAGTGGGCTCGATGGTCCCATTAAATGCTCTGTTTTTGATATATTAATATATATTTAACTGTTTGAAATCTCATGTCACTGGTCTTCAGCAACGGGCCTATGGAGTTAGTATAAAAACTGCAGGTATAAAAAACATGAAAACTACTATGCTCGAGCGGGCCCATTGGAGACTTTGTTGTTACTGTGTCTGGCATATCGAATACTCTCGGTAGCTTAGTCTGCTTCAGGACCAGTATGCAGACAGATGCTGATCCACAGATATATCAGAGGTTGAAGAATGTACCCACTTTTATCACTATTTTTCAATCAATAATTTTAAGGGGTATTGACTGAAGAGGTTGAAGAATGCTATCATATGCCATTTGATTAAAAAATGTAAATACATTAAATTCTGATTTACTAAGTAAATTTGGAATATTATTTTGAATTACCTATATACCATAGAAAGGATGCAGATTGGGTCATTTAAAATAGTCATTCTGGGGGCTAGAAAGATAGGTCAGTGAGCAGGAGTTCAGGCAGGAAGCACTACGTGGTCCCCTGAGCACTGAGTGGGGAATAGTCCTCAACATAGTGCTGGGTGTGACCACCCTCAGCCTCCACCCCAAAATGTTGTCATTTCCCATAATTGATTTTCTACTCTCTATTAAATATTTGGGTGAAATTTAAGGACATATACTCTATTGATCTCCAAGCCTGCTCGGATTGGGGCTGAACATCCTCCACCCAGATCCTCCATCTTCCAGTAGGCAGGGGTCACACCCACCAACTGCTCCCCCCTCCCGGTGCCGTGTAATCCCATCAACAGCCAAGACCCAGAGACTATAAAACCCAGTTCCCGGAAGCGCGCGGCCACATTTGCAGCTGTGTGACATCTTATTATCTCATTCTTACTTTGAACAACCTGGCAGGCTACCGAATGTAACCTGCCCACACGGCAGAGTCTGGCAAACTCCCCGTGGTGTATGCAGTATGCCAAATACCAGCAATACTGATGGGTCTCATTCTCCTAACTCTGAAAGAACCTTGAATATGGCACTTTTTAAAATCTCAGGGCTAGGGCAAAGGAGACATTACTGGTGCCTGCTCAAGGCAATCGACGAACAATAGGATGATTGTGATCGTGATACTCTTTTGAAAAAAAAATTATGTATTTCACCTTTTTGTTTTGTTTTTGGGGGTCACACCCACCAGTTCTCAAGGATCACTCTTGATGATACTAGGGAACCCATATGGGATGCAAGAGATAGAGTCCATGTCAGTCACATGCGAGGCAAGTGGTTTACCCACTATACTGTCACTCAGGCTATGTTCTTTAATACAGTTTTACTGGAGGGCTGCTTATCTAGGGATTAAGGTGCTTTCCATACATACAGCCTCCCCTGGTTGGATACTTAGCACTGCATATGGTACCCTGAACACTGCCAAGAGTGATTGCTGAACACTGCCAGGCTCCAAACAAATAAAAACCAAAAGTCTTGTATCTGTGAGAGCTAGACAGTGACTAATTATATCAGTATATCCAAGTAAATTATTTAAGTTTTGTATAAATATAAGAGTAAATTGTTAGGAGAGTTCCTTCTGAAGATGTGTGGTGGCACTGCTGATTTTTATGATAGGTGTTATAATATGCGATTTTTAAATGCTACATATACCATACTTCATTCAACTTGAAAATATTTTCCAAAGAAACATTTTAATTTTATATATAGTAGGCTCAGATTTGATGCCAACATCACACAGTCCTCTTGAGCCAGAAGCACTGGAGGCTGTACAGGGCAGCAGGACAAAACAGTCCATGCTGACTTTGGCACCACTTGTCCTTTTAAACCCATCTCGGGGTTAGTATACCACTATAGTACAGTGGTATAGTCTAGAGGGTTATAGTACAGTGAATAGGGTTCTTTGCACGTAGTTGACCAGGTTCAACCCCAGCACTCCATATGGTTCCCCAAACCTCCAGGACTGATCCTTACAGAAGTAAGCTCCGAGCATCACTGGGTGTGGCCCCCAAACAGAAAGGAAAGCAAAAGAAGCATAGCATGTTGGCTCATCTTGATTTTAATCTGAATTCTGCCACTCAGTATGTATGTGACTTTGAAAAAATTCTTTTACTTTTTCTCAATCTTTTCCAGTAAAAATACACAGGCTATAATCCTTCCTCATAGAATTGATGTCAAACTAACATGTAAAATACCCAGTACCCACTTTTATCACTATTTTTTAATCAATAATTTTAAGGGGTATTGACTGAAGAGTCAAATTCAATAAGTACTGATAATAATGAAGTTATTTTTTACTATCTGTTATTGTCCAATTTAATAAACATTTGTAAAGTGACTAAGAGAATTCTCCAAATTGTTTTGATTCCTATAGCGAAAGAGAAATGTTGTGATAGAGATGTTAACTAATGCTGGGATGATATTACAATTTTTAAAGTATCAAACCAATAGGTTTGATGCTTTAAACTTATACAATGTTATATGTCTATTATAACTCTAAAAATGTTTAAAAGTAATCATAATAGTTTTAAATTGTGAACTTTATTTCTTCTCAGAATTTCTTGAATAGAATTATTGACAAGATTTTCGAGGCTGGTTTTGTCAGTAATCAAGCATCCGTAAAATATTTTATAGAATGGATTATTATATTGACTCTTCATAAATTTCCTCAGTTCCTTCCAAAGTTCTGGGATTGCTTTTCATATGTAAGTAAATGAAATATTTTACATATTTTTGAATTTGAAGCTAAAAAAATATGAGTTTCAGAGAAGTGTGGACTCTTGGGATGAGAGTTTTCGGTGGCTGGGAATTGTCTCCTGAAGCCAGTCGATGGCAACAGATGAAGAAACAGGAACCAAGACTGGTTGGTAGTCAGTTTATATCTCTCTCCTCCCCAATGTAGTTTGATCTCTCCCCTTACAGCAGAGTAATTTCTCCTCCTTTTTTCCCCAGAGTAGTTCAACCTCTTCTCTTACAGCATAATAACTTCTCCTCTTTTCCCCATTGTAGTATTTCTCTTTCCTTTTCCCTAGCCTAGTTAGATTTACACCCTTGCAGCATAATAATTTCTCTTTCTTTTTCTCATCATCATCCCATCTCTCCTCTTACAGCATAATAATATAGAAATCATGAAGGGTGGGGCTACACATAGGTGGGGTTGAACATTGTCATAACGACAAACAGAGCCTCTCCTTCAGGGGAAGTTCTAGGAGATTAACTCAAGGACAAAATCTCATCTGAGGGTTCAGCACTCTAGATTACTAGGTGATCTGCTCAAGGGCGGGATTCCATCTAAGGTGTATTGTTTTCTTCTTTCCTCAGCTAGTAATCCACTTAACCAATCTCAGTAAATTTACTGATTATTAATATTTCTAGGGTTGGAGTGATAGCACAGCAAGTAGGGCATTTGCCTTGCATGCGGCTGACCCGGGTTCAATTCTTCAGATAGCCCAGCAAGCTACCAAGTATATCTTGCCCACACGGCAAAGCCTGGCAGGCTCCCTGTGATGTATTAAGTATGCCAAAAACTGTATCACTGTATCACTGTCATCCTGTTGTTTGTTGATTTCCTCAAGCAGGCACCAGTAATGTTTCCTTCGTCCTAGCCCTGAGATTTTAGAAAGTGCTACATTCGAGGCTCTTTCAGGGTCAGGAGAATGAGACCCATCATTGTTACTGGTTTTTGGCATATTTAATATGCCACGGGGAGTGAAACCCAATTCTGAACAGCTTTGTAATGGTCTATCTTATGAATACTCAATTAAAAAATTTTTTTAAAAAGTAATGTGGAGTTCATGGTCAATTCAGTCAGCTTAATCAGTGGCTGAATAAATAGTACTCCTACATTAAAAGAGAGAAAGAGAGAGAGAGAGAGAGAGAGAGAGAGAGAGAGAGAGAGAGAGAGAGAGAGAGAGAGAGGCCTGCAAATCTTGTGTACTTCTTCGTCCTTTCATGTACTCACTTCTGCACTTCAAATACTCCAAACCTCAGGCCGGAGGGATAGTACAGCGGGTAGGGCGTTTGTCTTGCACTTGTCTTGTCTAGCCAACCCTGGTTCAATCCCTGGCACCCTTCTGTGTTCACTTGAGCACCACACCGCCTGAAGTAATTCCTGAGTGCAGAGCTAGGAATAATCCCTGAGCATCGTCAGGTGTGACACAAAAAAACAGAATAAAAACCACTCCCAAACTCAATGGTGTCAAGAACAGTGTTTTACTATTTTTTCATGATTTTCAGTTGACTGTGCATCCAGCTCGCTTCTTTGCTCATGTTAACTTCAGCTGCAGATTGGTTATGGTTGCTGGACTGAGCTCTCTTATATATCCATGGGGGTAGCAAGGTCCTTTTCCATAGTGGTTCTGGTTTTCAGGACTGAGACCTGCCTTGTACATGTGTTTATCCGGTCTCTGGATGCATCCTGCTTTCTATATCATGGGTCCAAAGCAGGTGGTAGGGGCCTTCCTGAACACCAGGATGCCTGGTCCCTAGGGTCCACACTCTTGACTTTGACCTCCTGATTTTCACTTTTATTCCAGGCCTTTCAGTCCTCAGGCTTTTTGTGGCCGCTATCTAAAATAGTCTTCTGCTTTATCACTCTGATTCTTTTCCTTTAGATCTAAACTTGTGCATCATTTGTCTTCTTTCTTAAAGGAAGTTACCTCCTTGAATAATTTGATCCTCTTTTTATGGATTTTTGTAGCCTTACAGAAGTAAGGCAATAGTTAAAATTTAAATTTACTGTTTAATTTGATTTTATGTTTACTCCCCACTGTCAGCTCCTTAAAAGATAGGGACCTTATTTATTACTTCTGGTTTTCCTTCTTTCTTATACTACACCCAGCACATAGTAGAAATTTAATCACTGCTGGTTAAAGGAGTTGCCCGTTTGATTTGCCTTTTGGAGCAGTTTCTGAACTAGTGTTCTTTCCAGTCTAGTATTCGTTAGTTTACTATCATTACTAATGTGGTCTGCGATTCCAGATCACTCTTAAGGGGAATGTTTCATACTCTTGGTGACTTTTCTTCTTTTTGATTAATTAATTTTAATTAAATTACCATTAAATACATCTTCATGATTGGGTTTCAGTCATACAATGTTCCAACCCCATGCCTCCATCAGTGTACATTTTCCGCCACCAATGACCCCAGTTTCCCTCCCACCAACCCTCTCCTCAGTCTGCCTTTATGGCAGGAAGCACTTATCTCTGTCTCTCTGTCTCTGTCTCTTTCTCTCTCTTTTTCCTTCTCTTCTTCTCGCCCTCAAATTTTGGCATTATGCTTTTCAGTACAGTTACTGAAGGGCTATCATGTTTGTCCCTTTATCTACTTTCAGCAGTGTTCTTTCCCAGCATGATCATTTCCAACTATCATTGTCATAAAAAAAATTTTTTTTCCTCTGAGTGCCTTTTCATCATGGCATTAAAAGTGGTCTACTTTAAGATCCCATTTCAAGGGAATGCCCTGCCACAGAGGCAGGGTGGGATGGGGAGGATGGGGGATGGGAGGGATACTGGGATCCCTGGTGGTGGAAAATGGGCACTGGTGGAGGGATGGGTATTTGATCATTGTATAATTGAAACCCAAGCACAAAAATGTGTAAGTCTGCAACTGTACCTCATGATGTCTCACTATTAAAAATAAATACAGAAATTAAGATCCCATTTCACAAATTAAAAAGCCTTAGCTCTGCCACTCCCCTGTCAGTCTCCCTTTGCCTGCCTTTTATCTCTGTCTCTGTGTCTCTTTTGGTTCTATCTATTTGGTGGCAACACTTGGCTGTGCTCAGGGACTATTCCTGGCTACAGGCTTGGTGGTTGTTCCCGGGGTTGCTCAGGGACAACTATGTAAAACTGAGGATGCAACCTGGAGCTCCCACATGCAAAGCATTTATTCCAGCTCTTTGAGCTGTCTCCTCAGTCCTGTCTTTGCTTATCTTTGTCTTATTTGCTTTCTCTCCCTTCTGCTCCTCTCTGCCCTCCCCTCGCATCAATAAAGGCCCAGTTGCACTGAGGTGAGTGTCACTCTTCCACTTCTCAGTTTAAGTATCTTCCATCTTCCAGTAGGCAGGGGTCACACCCAACTGACCTCCCGGTGCTGTGTAATTCCATCAATGGCCAAGACCCAGAGTCTATAAAACCCAGCTCCCGGAAGCCGCGCGACATCTTATCTCTTTCTTACTTTGGACAAGCTGGCAGGCTACCGAATGTAACCTGCCCACATGGCAGAGTCTGGCAAACTCCCCGTGGCGTACCCAATATGCCAAATTGGGTCTCATTCTCCTAACCCTGAAAGAGCCTTGAATATGGCACTTTTTAAAAATCTCAGGGCTAGGGCGAAGGAGATGTTACTGGTGCCTGCTCGAGGCAATCGACACAGGATGATCATGATCATGATAATATCTGCTAATTGCTGTCTTGGCATTTGGCTGTAGGACATTCCTGCCCTTTCTTCTATATTTCTGTGTAGGGAAAAAGACTGCTTCCCGTTCAGAGTCAGACCCATTGACTTCTGTGCTTGTTGGGTACACAAGAAGTCCTCAATAATTATTTTACCCCCTCCCCCCCTTTTTTTCAGGGTGAAGAAAACCTTAAAACAAGCATTTGCATATTTTTATCAGTTCTGTCACATTTTGACATCATTACTGAAAATATTCCAGAAAAGGTGAGTTTAAATTACCTGAGGAAGAGTTTAAACTTGACTTGCAGGAGAACTTTGTATATTTCTTGATCCCAAACACTGATGATTCTGAGAGGAAAGGAGACTGACATTCCCTGAGTCCATGGCACTTTAATCATGTTGAATCTTTGTAAAAATCCTGTGAAGTAGGTATAATGTTCACTTTACATAATAGAAAAACTGAAGAAATACAATTTTTGTTTTGGGGCAACACTCAATCAATGCTTAGGGCTTAATCCTAACTCTGTGCTCAGCGATACTCATAATCAGTTCATGGGACTATGGTGCCAGGGATAGTACCCAGTCTGTACAAAGCAAATAAATAACTTACCCACTATACTATCTCTCTGGTCCCTGAAGAAATAGAAATTGTCTTAACCTGGGTTGTACAGATCAGCGTTCCCCTTCAAATATTATACCACCCTTCTATAACCTTAATCCTCACTACAAGCTTTAATCAAATCTCTTTAGTTTTTACTAATTTCCTTTCCTGTTCCCATTGAGCATACCGTGCACTACATCTCAACTTTACCTTAGTCTTAGGCTTAGTGGCCTTAGTCTTCTCTACGCCTTGATTGTTCTTCAAACTTTCCTTGGTTTTTAGTGAGTTGGTCAGTTTTGAGACCCACATGACAGGCATTTTGTAGAATATCCTTTGATAGGGATTCAGCCCTGAGATTGTGATTAGACTGAAGTTATATTTTGGAAGGGAGACCACAGAGGAAAATAGTCATTTTCATCACATCATGTCAGGGTACATACTATCAGTATGATTTATTACTGTCTCAGGTTTCCCCAATTTAGAGTTGCTAGTTTTCTCTTCAAATGTACTGTAGATGAAATGTTACTTAGATAAATCTAAAAGAATAGAGCTTATATTAAGGGCGCTTACTATTTATTTTTTTTGGAGGGGGTACATTGGATCACACCCAGCAGTCCTCAGGGGTTACTCCTGGCTCTGAACTCAGGAATTAGTCCTCACTATGCTTGGGGGACCATATGGGATGCTGGGGAATTAATCTGGATCAGCCACGTGCCAGGCAAATACCTTCCCCACTGTACCATTGCACCAACCCTGCTAAGGGTCCTCCTTAAGGTTGTCTATGTGAATTATTCCATGGGTTGTGATCCAATAATGCTTAGTTTTGTTGTTCTAGTTGTTCAGCTTTATTCACTGGAGGTTTTTTTGTTTGGGGTGAGGTAGGATCAGTATATGTCTGTGTATATAAAGCATTTATTTACTTAGAATACTACTGGTCTCCAGACCTATATATTTGTTTTTGGTCCTAGTTCTAGAGTTAGCTATTTCTGCAGTAATCATTGATTCCTTTATTAGAAAATAATACCAGAAATTATGATTTTGGATCTAGTGTTCATTTCATGAGAATGGGGGAAAAATCCATTCTCTAGGGAATACAGTCCTTACATGACTGCTGTATTTGAAACATACTAGTATTGCTTCTGGTCATTTGTCTGGGCCTGGCTAGGATATTGGGCCCATTAAAACTCCTATCAGTACTAGAGAACTAGTATAGGAGTTTAGGCACTTGCCTTACATGTGACTGTGACAGCAGTGACCCTAGTCTGAATCTTTGGCACCACATAGGATCCTCCGAGCGATCACAGAACCAGGAATGGTCCCTGAGCACCTCCAGGAGTACCCGTAGAAAAAAAACAGTAGCTCACAATAGCACTCTGTGAGATTTCTTGCTTTAGGATCACCATCATGTTCATTACAAGTGGTACTCTTAATATTTCTAACTTTTCATCCAAGCTAAATTGATAAACGATGGAGGGAGTTTTTAAAACATGGTTATATAATGGTCATAGAGGATGAGGCAAATGGATTATAGCCTTTTAAAACTAAATAGCTGGTAGATTTTCTTTCTTGAGGAAATATTTAATGACATGCCTCTACTTTGAGAAGAAAGAGCTGCCAAAGCAAGCCAGCGAAATAGAGTTGATTCGCATTTTTAGCACTTGAGTACCTTGTTTTGGTCATAAGATCAAAGCTAAAAATGATCCAGGTTTACATTTGAAAAATGTTCTCTCTCTTATTTTTCAGAAACTAATTCTGAAGCAAGCCCTTATTATCACACTGAAGTGGTGCTTCAACCATAATTTTAGTGTACGTTTGTATGCACTAGTTGCGCTTAAGAAAATCTGGAGTATGTGCAAAATGTTGCATATTGAAGAATTCGATGCTTTGACTTCTGTTATTGAATCAAGCCTTAATCAGGTGGAAAATATGCATGGAGCTGGGTAAGTGAACCTTGTACCCTTCGTGTTCCTCCTTTCGAATACACAGGGAAGATGCAGCCAGTGCTGTGCTGTTGACTATCTCATCATACTATAGAACATATAGCTTGGATAGGCAAAGTTTAAACAGTTCACTATATGAGGTACAGAATTGCAATTCTTCGTATTGTCAGTTTCAGCTCTTCTTTTGATTGCCTTTTTAATTCTTTATACTTTATATTTTAAAATATGTCCTGGGACTGATGAGTAGTACAAGAGGTAGGGCACTTGCTTTACACAGTGCCGACCAGGGTTCTATCACTGGCACAACACATGGTCCCATAAGTCTGTCAGGAATGATTCCTGAGCATGGCTCTTTCCCCCCCCCCCCCCCCCCCAAAAAAAAAACCTCTGAAATTTTAGCTGCTTTTCAAAAAAAAAAGCTAGGTGCTTTTTTTCCTTCTTCTTCCCCACTCCCCCTGCTGCCCCCCACTCCAACCCACAAATTATGCAGTCGAGTTTCACACGTTTGGGGAAATCGCAGGGGTCAGTACATTCAGAGTGCAGTGGATAAACCTCGCCCTGGGAAAACCACCTTCATGATCATGGTATCTTCCCTGCCAAGTAAGCATAAAACTAGGTGCTTTTGTTTCCCCTTAGAGAACTCCATACCCCAAGCGAAATATATTGTCCAAAGCTCAGTATCAGAGATAAAGTACTGCAACCATGGATGGAGTGTAGGTGTAGGAGTGACCCAACATTTTTAAGGCCCCTTTTGTCTCACATCCATTCTGGGTGAAAATGACCATGCAAAAGCAGGCAAGCAGACATGTTCTGCATGTCTTCTAATATCTGAACTGCCTCATCTCCAAGGTGGTGTTTTGTTACTATACTATATTATTGTAATATATAATACTTACAACATTGTTAATATTTTTTATTGTAATTACAATTCACTGTGTTCAGAGACCTAGGCAGGTCTAATGTACATAAAAGGCTTTTCTTTAGAATGTGAAAAACATATACACAAACTGATAAAGCTTGGAAACAACTATTAGACATGAGAAATAACGGAAATTGGGAAAACCTGGAACAGTTAGGAGCTTTACCTGGAGCATCAAGTTAGCATGTGGTATCAGACTTATTTCTTTATTTTTTATGAGTCTTTACAGTTGCATGTGGTGGCACACCTGAAGGATATTCCATTGCCCCAAACTACGTGATAACTCTTTTTCTAAATTTTTGATGAAGTTGTTGAAAAAGCCCTATTTGAGTAATTAAGTGGGTAAGGGAGGTTTGGGCATCACAGGAGAAAGTGATTTGATTCCACAAATAGGAGACCAGAATATAATTACATAAGATAGCATCAGAAAAGAGAATAGAAGAAAGTTTGTTGGAAAGATAGGATGGATATTAGATGAGGAACACATGGCCAAAAGGAGTGAACACCTCACATCTGTCTTACATTGTTCACTATACTGGAAAACCATCTCAAATACTGGTCCCCACTAACACTGGTCATTATCATTGGTGATTTACCATCGCACTGCCTAGAATTCCTAACTTTCCAGGCATATCTTTGCCAGTTAGAATTCTTAATATTTTTCAAGTAGCCCCCTTGAAAATCTCATTTCTGTTTGGTATTTGTGTAAATTTTGACATGAATATTTTTTAAAATATATATTACTATGTAGTAATTCAAACTCAAAACTGCTGAAAAGTCTAATAATACTTTAATATGCATGTTAGTGAATTTATGTAAATATTTTACTGTAACATAGTAAAATACTACATACTATAACACAGACCTCTGTCTGTATAGTGTGCAACTCTATGTTTGACAGTTAAGAGTTAGTGACCAGGGGATGTCGCCCACAGTTAATTCATGAACTTCCATTTTTTAAAATTTTTGTTATTTTTAAATTTTTCTCTAGTCACAGTGAATAACAAAGTTATTCAGGATTGGGTTTTCGGCATATCATAGACTTTTAACCTTAGCTTAGTGGAAGGTTCTTGAGGGAAATGCTATGGTTTTTAACATGCGGATAGGTGCAGTTTATAGTTGTCTCTATGATTAAGTCACAGTTTATAGTGAATATTGAATTCTCTTATTTGATTATCCTCTTCAAAATGGGAGCTGCACTTTGACTTCCAAAAAGTGACTCAGCTCATATTTTCCGCGTGATAAAAAACTTCTTTGGGGGAAGAGGTGTCCTGTCAGCACTTAAGAGCCCTGGGGCCTTTCTGGGTGGTAGATACTTGGCTGGCAGTGCACAGCCCTCAGCCGCTGGGAAGATACCAGACAGTTCTGGGTGAAAAGTTCTGGGAAGATACCAGACAGTTCTGGGTATGAAGTTCCGTTCCAGGGATCAAACTCTTTGAGCTAACTCCCAGGTCTATAAACATTTTTTTTTTCAGTGCCAGGGATGGGCTGGAGCGATAGCACAGTAGGTAGGGTGTTTGCCTTGAACGCAGCCAACATGGCTGACCCAAGTTCGATTCCTCTGCCCCTCTCGGAGAGCCCGGCAAGCTACCGAGAGTATCTCGCCGGCATAGCAAAGCCTGGCAAACTACCTGTGACGTATTCGATATGCCAAACACAGTAACAACAAGTCTCACAATTTGTTGTGAGATGTTACTGGTGCCCACTTGAGCAAATTGATGAACAACGGAGGACAGTGCTACAGTGCCAGGGATCAAACTCAGGGTCTATCCGTGTAAAATGTGTGCTGTACCACTCAGCCACTGTACCACTCAAAACACTTACATGATCTTTTTCTCCCTAAGTTTTATTAAGACACTGTGATTTATAAAGTTATTCATAATGGAGTTACTTCAGGCATACAGTGTACCGACACCGTGTTTTCAGGCTTCCTACCACCCTTTAGCTTGCCCTCTTGGCAGGGATATACAAATTTTTTTCATATTACTTGCTCCAACATAGTGGATGGCAAATGGAAAATCAATAAATGCCAATTTATGATGATTCATTGCTATGTGATTTTAACCAGTGTAAATAAGACATTAATCCATTATTGAAAAATACATAAAATGCTTAGCAACCTAGGAATAAACATATCTTTCCTAATCTAGTAGAGGACAGCCATATGCACCATTTGACAGAGATAGATACTTGATGCCACGTGTTGGGAAGTTTGTCCTGTCATTTAGAGAAGGTCTTTTAACACTTCTTGCAAAAACCGGTTTCAAGCCTATGTTTTCCCTAAACTGTTGCCTTTCCATAAAGCTCTGTATCATCCCTTCAAATCTGAATGATAATCTAGCTGCATAGAATATTCTTGATGAGATGATCATTTTGTTAAGTTTTTGTACTCTGTCTCTCCACACTCTTTTGGCTTGAGTTTCATTTGATCTTGTGTACAAGATATGCTTTTCTTTGTATATTAGTTTCTTTTTTGATCTTGATGCTTTCAAGATTCTCTGTCTTTTTTTTATTTTGTCATTTTTAGTACAATATGCCTTGGAGTTTTCCTAGTAGAGTCTTTTTGCTTTTTGGGTCACACCTGACAATGCACAGGGGTTACTCCTGGCTCTGCACTCAGGAATTACCCTCACAGTCCTCAGCGGACCATATGGGATGCTAGGAATCAAACCCGGACCAGCCGCGTGCAAGGCAAACGCCCTACTGCTCCTGCCCCAGTAGAGTCTATTTTTTGTTGGGACCCTTTGGTCCTCTTGGATCTTGGTGCCTGTAATTCTCAAGTCTGGGAAGTTCTTATCAATGTTTTACCTATCATTTCTGCATCACATTTGCCTTCTTATTCTTCAGGGCCTCCTATGATTCTTACATAGTTTCTTTTGAGCTCATCCCAGAGTTCTCTGCTATGCTGTTCATATTTTTTACAGACTATTTTCTACCTTCTGCTGTTTCCTAGTGGATTCCTCCCTCAAATCTTGGAGCTTCTCGATCTTTTGCTCAGCTGGTGTTATTCTGTTGTTCTAAACTTATGTTTATTTTTTCCCTTTTATATCACCTATCATGTTCCTCATTTTTGTCATTTCTGATTGTAGTATTTTTCATTTCCACTCTTGTGCTTTCTTGTGCTTGGAACACCTCATCAAATCGTATTATTGTTTCTTAGAACATCCTCATCACAGTGTCTCTGAAGACATTGACGATTCACCAGTGTTATTTGTGTCTTCGATGATGCTGTTTTCACTCATTGAGCTTGGTGGTTATCTACATGTTTCCCCTCCTGGTTTTCTAGCATTCTTGCTGTGCTGGGCATGACTCTGTTGTTAGATCCTCTGGAAGCTATTGAGGGATTATACAGAGGTTGCTCTCTTTCTTCTCTGCCCCTCTTCATTAAATGACAGGAAGAATAACTCTGAGCAGTGCATAACTTGTTGAACTTCAAGAAGCTGTGGTGTGACCCATTTGTATGGTACAGGTCGAATGTAGAGGCTGCTGAAAGCTAGCTGGAGGGGATAGGCTGCACTAATCCTGTTCTGGATTAGATCTAGTGATGTCAGCCAGCAATAGCACAGCGGTAGGGTATTTGCCTTGCACGTGGCCGACCTGGGTTCGAGTCCTCCATCTCTCTCAGAGAGCCCGGCAGGCTCCCGAGGGTATCCCACCCACATAGCAGAGCCTGACAAGCTCCCCATGGCACATTTGATGTGCCAAAAACAGTAATGACAAGTTTCACAATGGGGACGTTACTGGTGCCCGCTCAAGCACATCAATGAACAGTGGGAGGACAGTGACAGTGATGTCAGCCAGAGGCATGCACACCTCATGTGGAATGGTTGAGCAGCAGGCAGAGGATCCAAAATAACATCATCTTTTAAAATCTTAGTACTGAGTTGGATAAACAGTAAATACAAAGTAAGGAGCCCTGAGCCACAACTCATCTCTTTTCTTAGAATACACATCTGCTAAGAATCAACTGAAAGGCAGGAATAGGCTATGTGCTGAGGTATCAGGGACGTAGACAAATGAAGTTAGGTGGAAATGAACAACAAATACCTAAGTGTTCCATTTAAAAGTATTAAATAATGGAGAGCACTGTAATGGAAAAATGAAGTTTGTAATGAGAAAATGCAGGCTCTTTAGTCTGGATGGTTTAGGAAAGTCTTTTCTAAACATTAATATACTATTTTAGTTGCATTATAAAGGATAAGTAGGAACAAGGTAAATGAAGAATCGAAGGGGAAATACTCTGGCTACAAAAGGAACATCCTGGTGTATGGAGACTGTTGGGGCGGGGTGGGTGTGTGTATCTGACTTAGGAAGAAGCAGAGCAGCATTGAGAAAGGTCGGGTCAGGCAAGCCGGATTCTGCTAAGTGAAGTGGGAAGCCAGTGAAGAGCAATGAGAGACCAATAGGAGGGATTAGGAGAGAAATTTTAAATTAGATTAGTGTGAGATTACTGAAAGGATTGAGAAATGTACAGGATTTTGAGGTAGGTATATTAAGAGCTGAAAACATTACTGAATTCAGCAAGAACATTTCCAGTAGTGTGGGGCAGAAACTAGATTAAAGTGAAACATGGTTGGGTTGGATGGGACAATATATTAACATTTAGTCTCATATTTATTCATCTCAAATTATTTTCTTTACTGAATACTTAAAATGCTTTATGTTATGTTTTGAAAACGGGTGATAAAGGCAAAACAGCTAACTTGCACAGATAATTTTTTCCAAAAAATTCTCTGGAAAAGATTGTAGGAAGAATAAAAGAGTTGCAGGTATACTGTCAAAGCCAAGACATATTTTTCAGTAACATTAGTTTTTTAATACGTGAGTGCTGTTGCTGTAATTTGTGTTACAAATTGTGTTACCCTAATTCAATGGGTCTGGAGTGACAGTACAGCGGGTAGGACATTTGCCTTGCACGCGGCTGACCTGGGTTCCATTCCCAGCACTTCATGGAGCACTGCCAGGAGTAATTCCTGAGTGCAGGGCCAGGAGTAACCCCTGTGCATAGCGAGATGTGACCCAAAAAGCCAAAAAAAAAAAAAAATAAAAACCAAAAACTTATTCAAATGTCGGCCATTGGTGGCATGTGTGTCATGTTTTAGATATTCATGAATAAAAAATTGAGTGTACATGAAGATGTCCTTACCTATCTGCCTTCCTTTCTCCCCCCTCCTCCCAACTGTCATTCTTGCAAATGGGCCTCTTTTTTTGGGGGCCCTCACTCTTCCACTATGCTCAGGGATCTCTCTTGGCAGTTTTCAGGGAGCCATATCTGGTGCTGGGGATCAAACTGGGTCTCAGCTGCATATAAGGCATGTGCTTGATCCCCTGTACTCTCTCTCCAACCTCGCATAGCTCCACCTAAAAGTTATCTCATAGTTTGACACTGATGCTTGATAAGGCTTTTGTCTAGTTTTCTTAAGATTGGACATTAAAGCCTTTAGAATAATAGGTTGAAGAAAAAGCTGGCATAGAGAAGAGGGGAGATGAAGCAAAACCCACGAAAATAGATTAGAGCAGTGATCAGGATCTTTTCCTTTGATGAAAGCCCCTGAAAGTGAAGAGGGGCCAGGGAGGTAGTACAGAGGTTAAAGTACATTCCGTGGACACTGCATATGGCCCCCTGAGCACCACCAGGAATTATGCCTGAGCATAGGCAGGGCAGAAGTAAACCTCGAACACTGCCTGATGTAGCCCCAACCAAACTAAACCAAAAAGTGAAGGGATAAAGAGGACAAGTGAATAAAGAGTTGACAGGTGATACAAAGATCTTCCACCCAAAATATTTTATTTCTCTCTTCAGTAATAGTTGATTAACCTGCTGGTGACTGGAGGTGAGGAGAAGCGCTAAGCACTTTTGGAAATGAAGAAGATACATTAGTGTTAGCAGGAAATTGATCTTGCTAGGAAAACGGTCTTTAAATAACTTGTTAACTTTTGGGTTGTTGATCGTCAATTAAATTGAAACCTGCTAGTCATGTGTCATTTTGATCCTACCACTCTGCCTTTTAAAACTTGATGGGTAGGTTAAGAATTTAAAATCTGCTTGTATTAGATTTGAGTTACAAAAGCTGAGTCTATTTGGTTATGTCTTATGAATCTCCATTGTAGAAGAAAGTGAATTATGTACAAATTTTTCAGCTTCTGGGGAAGAAAATTGCATTTTCTGCTCTGGAGAGTTTCAGGGATTCCAACCTAGATTTCTTTTGCAGTTTTCTTTCATAATTCTGCTTCTTCCCCAAGCATGTAACTTTTGTATTGGCAGATTTTTCCTGAGGTTTTTGTCATCTGATCAGCTGACAGCCACCTTTTTTCCTCTCACATTTGACAGAGCACAAGACTTCACACTCAGCTGTGTTCATCTACATTCTTATAATAACTGTTGAGAAATGTGTTAAATTCTGGTTGAATCCTTGTTTATGACTCTGGAATAGTTCTTTGTCTTTGAGAATCAAGTCAAAATCTCAAAGTCTCTGTCAGTTTTGAAAGTATGTTACTTTGAAAGTATGTTATTGGCATATAAATTCTTAAAATTTTGTTTTCTATACTCTGAAGTACTTTTAATATATAATTGACATATTCCCCCTTGTCAGAATTGTTTCAATTGTCCGTATGACGTACCTTATTTTCATTTATTAGGAATGCCAAGAAGAATTGGCAGCGCATTCAAGAACATTTCTTTTTTGCAACATTTCACCCACTTAAGGATTATTGTCTGGAGGTAAGCAAGGTTATCATGTATAAATTCTTTGTTATTTTCAGTGTACTCAGTCCTCCTGCTCCTTTTCTGCCATTAGTTGTTGAAGAGTTATGATCAGGTTAATTTTTTCCCCTGTACTACAAATGTCACCTTGATACTAATCTGTTCTCACATTAAAAGGAATAAGTGAGAACATTTGTGCAGGTGAGAAGCCCATTTTTAATGAAAGAATCAAAAGATCTTCTCTTTTGGTAATTGCATTTTTTAGGTTCTGAGTGACAAAAATATAGCAAATATACCACCTCATTAGCAGAATGTGTATATATATATATATCTATATATTACATAGATATATATATTACATAGATATATATGTTGTATAGATATATATAATTTTAAGAACCATAGCATGTTTGTTAGTTACATGCGAATTAATTTAATATATAAATTATAAAATTAAAAAATTTTTTTCAACTATAATTATAATTTTCATTTGAATTTAACACACTGACACTACTGCTGAAAGTTGTGCTAAACATGTAACAAGACTTTTTCAATAAAACAAATACCTGAAAGCATTGATAACTTTATGTAACTTTATGTAACTATATGTAAAAAGAGTGCTTCTTTGGGTTTTGATGGAATTCTGTTAAACTGACCTTTAAAACATGGATTCACATATTGTGAGATAAGCATCCTAGAACATTAATGTGTGCTTTTGTTGCTTCATTACAAAAATCTAGGAATTTTAAAAATATTTTAACATGTTCTGTTCTGTGTTCTTTACCACCCAGAATTCTTTGACATCTCTCTGAAGAACACTCTTAATAACTCTAGTGTTAAGTCAGCATTTTCTGTTCATTTCTGCAGCAGGAGTAAGTCCCTTGCTTCCCTCTTTTCCCCATCCTGCCTTTAATTGCCTTATTATCTTATATTTTACATCTTATTCCCCATTAATTACATGCATCATAACTATATAAATAAAATAATGACTTACAAGAACTCTGCACTTCAGGGCCAGAGCTATAGTACAGCAAGTAGGGAATTGGGTGTTTACCTTGCACTCAGCTGACCCAGGTTCGATTCCCAGCATCCCATATGGTGTAAAATGCCAGAAGTAATCCGTGTACAGAGCCAGGAGTAACCCTTGAGCATTGTGGATTGTGGCAAAACAAAAACAAACAAAAAATAACTCTGCTTTTGGAATTTGGAAGTATACTTAGCACATGTTTTATTTTATAAACTTCTAGTTGTAACCAGTATGCCCGTTTAAATTTTCACAAAACTGCTAGTATAAAGAAAACCACATTAATCCTTAAGACATATAATTTGCACATTATTATAAGCTTATGTCATTTAAAATTAGTTAGTATTTGCATGCTTTTTCACCTTTGATGGTGTTCTGGTAGTTTTCCTGTGTAGAGGACATAATGTGTATGTAATGACTAGATAGTTACCATTGACAATACTGTTATATTGTGCAGTTTAGGAAACACTTTCATGTGCTGTTTAATTTGATTTCATCCTCATTTTACAAATGAGGAAATTGACAGTAAGACTAAGTAGCTATCTAATAGCTAATATGTAGTCAAACCAAAATTTAAACTTGTCTGATGATAGAATTCAGTATCAAAAGAGCTTAAACTTTATTGTTATAGAGGTGTTTGGTTATCAGCAAGTAATATTTTTTCCAAATGCTCTCCCATACTGATACTGATTAATTCCAAAACACTTTTTGGCTTTATCAAAATGTTTAACAACATAGTTTGTTACATAGAGATGGAAATAAGTCATGAAAGACCAACCTGCTCTCAAGGATTTCCTAAGTTCTCATTTCTTAAGATAGGAAATAGATAGATAGATAGATAGATAGATACTTGATACGTGTTATAAATGAAAGTATGTAATGTGATTATTATGTGGATAGTATGAGACTTTCAGTAATAAGTTAAACTTAAACATGTATATTTGTTACTTTTAAGGAAAATATTTTAAATTTTACCTTTTGCTTTTCAGACTATATTTTACACCCTTCCACGCCTTTCAGGCCTTATTGAAGATGAATGGATCACCATTGGTAAATTTACCAAATTCACTGAAATTCCTTTAGATGCAGAATTTCAGTGGTACAATTCTTCAACTCAACTTTGTGAATTAAATGCAGGTGACTGGTCTCAGCAGGACATAGGTAAAAATAATTTGTTTTTTTCCTATTGACCTACTTAGGCTTATTGATTTACTTAGAATAGGTGGTTGCTAATAGCACTTTTTCATTGATATGATGACCCAAGCTCTACCATTCAGGAAAAAGACAGTGGGAAAAACTATATTTTTAACTAATGCTTTTAATTGAGGTAAATATTGCTATTTTAAAAATTACAAAGAGAGCTGAATCTGCTTTATTATATAAAGCAGGGGTTTCTCTTTTCTTTTAAAAATACTGCTAATTCACGATCATCCTGTTGTTCGTCGATTGCCTTGAGCAGGCACCAGTAACGTCTCCTTCGACCTAGCCCTGAGATTTTAAAAAGTGCCATATTCAAGGCTCTTTCAGGGTTAGGAGAATGAGACCCATCATTGTTACTGGTATTTGGCATATTGGGTATACCACGGGGAGTTTGCCAGAATCTCCCATGTGGGCAGGTTACATTTGGTAGCCTGCCAGGTTGTCCATAGTAGGAATGAGATAATAAGATGTCGCGCAGCCATGAATGCTCGGGGCGGGGAGGGAAACTTAACCCGCCCCCCTCCAAAGGGCCCGGGCGAGGACAGCCAGGCACAAGGGCAGGAAATTCGCTGTTCTTTGTTCTCTTCCGGGAGCTGGGTTTTTATAGTCTCTGGGTCTTGGCCATTGATGGGATTTACATGGCACGGGGGCGGGGGGGGGGGGGCGGGAGTTGGTGGGTGTGATCCCTGCCCTACTGGAAGATGGAGGATCTGGGTGGAGGATGCTCAGCCCCGATCCGAGCAGGCTTGGAGATCTCAGCCCCGGGACCCACATGCCTTTGTTCCTCTGCCAGTACCTTCACACGTGTGGAGAGTGGTCTCAGCATGGTTATGGCTGGTTCTGGAGATCTTCAACTGCCGGAGCTCTGCTTGGGGCGGGGAGGGAAACTCAACCCCGGCAAGGACAGCCAGGTGTGGCTGTACTTTTTTTTTTTTGGTATTATTTCTGTAAAAATATTTTAAGAGAGCCAAATTATAAAATTTCCCCTATTTTTCCTATTTTTATGGATATAGGAAGCTAAATGGAAGCAGATTTCTTTATTGCAATCCCTTCTTGCTGTGGACACCACTCATATGCTATCCCTTCTTTCCCCTTCAGCTTCAGCTCCTTCACAAACTCTGTCCCTTCGACTTTCATTGGGACTCACATTACCCTTGATTTCTCACCTCATCTTTCTCCTTCTCTTCATTAGTTAAATGCTCTTAAAAACAGCAAGATTTAAGTCCCTTTAGGTCACAGGTCATCTCAATTATTGGGAGTTGTGGTCTGCATTCTCACCATTTGTCACATTCTTTCCCTATTCTGGCTTTCCTTAACCCATAACATCACTGAAAACTCTTTGAAAAAATAAAAACTTTGCTTTCTTTAAAATCTAAATAGATGTTCTTATCATACCTACCTTAAAGTATACTAGCATTTATTTGCTATATTCTTATATTTTAATGGGCTGGAGCGATAGCACAGCGGTAGGGCATTCACCTTACAAGCGGCCAACATGGCCGACCTGAGTTCGATTCCTCCGCCCCTCTGGGAGAGCCCGGCAAGCTACACAGTAACAACAAAGTCTCCAATGGAGACGTTACTGGGCCCGCTCGAGCAAATCGACGATCAACGGGAGGGCCTTTACCTTTACCTTATATTTTATGTCCTGATTTTCCTCTAGATTTTCTTCTATGGCTTCTTATATTTTTATATATAAAATGCTCCAAAACTGAAAAATCAAAATTCCTTGGACATCTTATTGAAAGTACAGATCCCAGGGTAAAGTACAGCAGATAGGGCATTTGCTTTGTACACAGCTGACCCATGTTCAGTTCCTAGGACCCAGTATGGTCCCTGAGCCCACTCAGAGTGTTCCCTAAGATCAGAGCCAAAAGTAAGCCTTGTGCACTGCTGGATGTGACCCCCAAAAAACAACAGTCCAAAAGTACAGAGCCCAGGGGCTGGAGAGAGAGCACAGCGGGTAGGGTGTTTGCCTTGCACACGGCTGACCCGTGTTCGATTCCCAGCATCCCATATGGTCCCCTGAGCACTGCCAGGAGTAACTCCTGTGTGCAGAGCCAGGAGTAACCCCTGTGTGTTGCCAGGTGTGACCCAAAAAGCAAAAAAAAAAAACAGTACAGAGCCCACCCTTAGATATTAAATCAGTGTGTCTAGTGTAGAGTTCTTGGCAGGTGGTGTTTGTTTTCCTTTACTTTCCAGTCAAACAGATAAGGTAAAGGTAAAGGTCCTCCCGTTGTTCATCGATTTGCTCGAGTGGGCCCAGTAACGTCTCCATTGGAGATTTTGTTGTTACTGTGTTTGGCATATCGAATACATCACGGGTGGCTTGCCAAGCTCTGCTGTGTGGGCGAGATACTCTCGGTAGCTTGCTGGGCTCTCCGAGAGGGGCGGAGGAATCGAACTCGGGTCGGCCATGTTGGCTGCATGCAAGGCAAACGCCCTACCGCTGTGCTATTGCTCCAGCCCCTGGGCTCTGTATCTGTATCTGTATCTGGAGCCTACTCGGATTTGGGCCGAGCATCCTCCACCCAGATCCTCCAAATTCCAGTAGTCGGGGGTCACACCCACCAACTGGCCCCCTGGCGCTGTGTAATCCCATCAGCGGCCAAGACTCAGAGACTATAAAAACCAGCTCCCGGAAGAAGAACAGTGCAGTCTCCTACCCCCGCGCCTGACTGTCCTAGACGCCGGGGCCCCTTGGAGGGGAGCGGGTTGAGTTTTCCTCCCCGCCCTGACCAGGGCTCCGGCAGCCAAAGACCTCCAGGACCAGCCACCACCATGCTGAGACCACTCTCCGCACACATGAAGGTACTGGCAGAGGGACAAAGTCACGCAGGTTCCGGGGCCGAGATCTCCAAGCCTACTTGGATTTGGGCCGAGCATCCTCCACCCAGATCCTCCAAATTCCAGTAGGTGGGGGTCACACCCACCACCTGGCCCCCTGGCGCCGTGTAATCCCATCAGTGGCCAAGACTCAGAGACTATAAAAACCAGCTCCCGGAACCGCGTGGCCGCATTCGCGGCTGTGCGACATCTTATTATGACATCTTATTATCTCATTCCTACTTTGGACAAACTGGCAGGCTACCGAATGTAGCCTGCCCACACGGCAGAGTTTGGCAAACTCCCTTGGCGTACCCAGTATGCCAAATACCAGTAACAATGACGGGTCTCATTCTCCTAAAGAGCCTTGAATATAATCTCAGGGCTAGGATGAAGGAGACGTTACTGGGGCCTGCTCGAGGCAATCGACGAGTAACAGGTTGATTTGTGATTTGTGATTTTTGTGTGTCTACTGTGCGCTGGAGCGATAACACAGTGGGTAGGGCGTTTACCTTGCACGTGACCAACCCAGGTGATTCAGGTTCCATTCCTCCGCTCCTCTCAGAGAGCCCGGCAAGCTACCAAGAGTATCTCGCCCGCACGGCAAAGCCTGGCAACCTACCCATGACGTAGTCGATATGCCAAAAACAGTAACAAGTCTCATAATGGAGACATTACTGAGCCCGTTCGAGCAAATCAATGAACAATGGGAGGACAATGACAGTGGACAGTGTCTAGTGCAGATGCTTGGAAAAGTATTTTTTGTTTAAATCAAATATGAGGAAGGTTCATTAATGCTATGTAACTTTCACGATATAACTTACTTTCACACTTTTTCTCTGCCCAGCCTCTTTTCTGAACCTATTGGATATTTGTGTCCTGGTAGTTCATATGCCTGATTGTTTTTAAACTTCATTTGAGGCACCTTGATTTATAGTACTGTTAATTATAGAGTTCAGTTCATATCTCTTAACCGTTAACATAATTTAGATCTAATCTTTTTGCACAAACAGGCCTGCTCTATAAACCCTTTTGTTTTCACCTGGTTGTTGTAGAAGTCTTATCTTCCCCAGTTTTCTCTCTCGCTGTTTGTTTCATATATTATTAAATCATCTTATTCTGCTTCCCAAATCTGGTTTCTACTCTTTCCCACTTGCCATGACTTAATTTAGACAGTCTTTGCCTGGACTCATACAAAAATGTACTAAAGGCATTCCAGCCCTGGCTTAATCTCCACATTGCTTTTAAGACGGTTGCCCCCCCCCCCACACACACATAAATCCAAGTAAAGAATTTTCTCTCCTTCTACTGGGCTTATGAGTACATAACATAACATAAACATGTTATTAGTTGAAAGTACACTGTCAGGAATACTGACTGAAGACTGCAGCTCTTGCCTGCTATCCCTTGTATTGTAAGAGAGTATTGTACAGGATCTCTACCAAATCCGTATCTCCTTCACTAGCTTGAAGGCAAAAAATCTTAAGTTAAAGCACTGTTAAGTTGGAAACCGTCATAGCTGATCTCTCCTAAAAACTCTGTGGTTCCTGTCTTTAGAATAAATTCTATCCGTTGCATGCTGTGAGTTACTATGATGCTCGGCTAGCGTGATAGCTAAAGGGGCTGCACTCATGCTTTACACACAGGCGACCCAGGTTCAGTCACTCACACTGCATGGGCCCCTGAACATTGAGCCGGGAGTAGCCCAAGAACACTAGGTATGGCCCCAAATCAAAACAACAAAGTACCACTGTTGTCTCAGCTGTTTTCTTCCATATCCTGTTGCATGTGCATATACTTATCGCATCTACACTGTTCTTCCTCTCTCTGCCTTGACAACTGCAGAGTCCCTTGAACCCTTTAGGTCCCACTTCATATATTAATTTTTTTTTTTTTTTTGTGCGTGAGCATACCTCACTCCAATACTGCCATGTTAGTTACTTGCATGTCTCTCCATCCCTCGTGGGCTCGGTGCTCCTGGATTGATCATTTGCTACTCTGGAGTGGAACAGAATTGAGTAGGAGTCTGAAAGGACAGCCTGAGTCCTGTGCTAGAAATTACAACACTCCAGCTAGAAAGGTCAATCACATTGTGGGTGTCCATCAGGTTCAGACACCGTTTCTTCAGAGGCTATCTTTCACTTAAGAAAGTTCCACCAAATACTTGTGTAGTAATTTAAGATAAGGATTGTATGGTTTTTAGGAATGTAATTTTTCTACAGGAAATTCTAATCAAATGCATTATTGTTTGGACCAAAAAAGTTTTAAGAACAAATATTTATTTATTTATTTATTTTCTTTTTGGGTCGCACCTGGCAATACACAGGGGTTACTCCTGGCTCATGCACTCAGGAACTACTCCTAGCGGTGCTCAGGGGACCATATGGGATGCTGGGAATCGAACCCGGGTTGGCCGCATGCAAGGCAAACGCCCTACCTCTGTGCTATCGCCCCAGCCCCAAGGACCAATATTTTTAAATTATAAAAATAAATATAGAAATGACCAAAAATGTAAAATTAACAATAAAATTAAAAATTTTAGAGAAATTTAATATCTACTCGAGCGGGCCCAGTAACGTCTCCATTGGAGACTTTTGTTGTTACTGTGTTTGGCATATCAAATACGTCACGGGGGGCTTGCCAGGCTCTGCCGTGCGGGCGAGATACTATTTTTTTTTAATTGAATCACTGTGGGAAAAGTTACAAAGCTTTCAGGTTTAGTCTCGGTCATGCAAATATCAAACACATTTCCCTTTACCAGTACTTATTTTTCACCACGAAGAACCCCAATAAACCCCCACCCCCCCACCCCTCCCAATGCCTGTGAGGTAGATGAATTCTAGTTAACACTCTATCTACTTTGACTAGATTCATTGTTTCGATAATAGATGCACCATTATTATTTAGAGTTTACCCCCCAAATCACACATGCTGAAAAAGCATTGTGAAATGATTTGCTTTCTACAGCTGGGTTCAAGAATTAAATGATGTCGCTCGATAGCGGCCACGTGGTTTTGGATTTCTGCTATTTTACTTTTTAACCCTGGAAGTATTTCTGCGGAGAGTCAGATAATTAAGAGATTGGTTTCTGTGCTATGGAGCCATGGCTGTGCCGCAGAGCTGCTTGTGGGGGGCAACTGGTGACCTCGGTAGGGCATGAAGGACGAGCCGGAAACGCCCCCCTTCCCATGAGGTTTTAGTCGCACCGTCACCACCGGCTCATACCTGGCTTTCCACAAAGCTCCCAAGCGGCTGCCATCTTTCTTTCCAGAGGGAAGAAGGCGGAAGGGACCAACACCCTTTCCCCTCCGGTCAGACATGGTGGCGTGGATTAACACATAGTCCGTTCACTTCTCTGCTGCAAGCTGCTGGGCTCTGCATTAAGTCCTTGTGCTTCTAGAGCCATGGCTGTGCCTGAGAGTCTCATGGGGGGCAACTGGTGACCTCGGTAGGGTGTGAAGGACGAGCCGGGTTAATATCTACTATTTGTAAGATAAGTCTGTATTTTATATGCTTTAAGAAAAAATTATACCAAACAATTATACCATATCTATAAATTCTAACACAGGTATTTTTTTAGTTTAAATATTAATTTTTTTAAATGAAAATTTTGTGAAATTTTCATGTGGTTATAGAACTTGAATTTAAAAACTTAAAATTACTGTTGAAATGCTAATTGTGTCCATTTGCAATAGTAGTTAATGTCTTTCTAATATATTTAAATACTTAAAATATGTGTATAATAAGTATACATACATATTTATATTGGATTTTTTTTCCTTTCCTAGGTTCTAACTCAGGAGAAGCAGATAACCAATCAGACTGGACTGATGTTCAGAAGAAGATTATCCCATGGAAAAATTATGTTCCAGAGTTAGATCTGGAGTTAGTTCTTCAGGATCGTGCTGCCAGACTTGGAAAGTTGATTACCAGACTGATTGTTGTAGCCTCACTCATTGATAAGCCAACCAATTTGGGAGGTAAAAGTCTAGTTTACTGTGGAACTTGCTTCAAACCTTTGATCCTGAAAGTTTTTACTTCTTCCATTGTAATGTTTGCTCTCCCCCCCACCCCACACACACACATACATTTAGCCCTCTTTAGGATCTTCAGAGGAACGTATAGAACCTTACCAAGCTTAATATACTAGAAACAGTAATTGCATTTTGTTGTGTGTAGGACTGTGCCGGACCTGTGAGGTTTTTGGGGCCTCAGTGCTCGTTGTTGGTAGTCTGCACTATATCAAGGATAAACAGTTTCAGCACCTCAGCGTTTCAGCAGAACACTGGCTTCCTTTAGTGGAGGTGCGTGCAATATGATTATTAAAATTTGTGTTTGTTAAAATCTTTTGGAGTACTCTATCTTCATGTATCAGCCTTTTTTGGGGTAGAATTTATAGTAAAATACTTTTAGAATAATACATAGACTATAACTCTCTTTTGTTCTGCCATTTTTTTATTATCTTTCACATCGTGTGTTCTTATAAGTCATCAGTAACAAGAATTCCTTTCAGTAAAATCTGTATCATTGAATCTGACTTTTTATTTAAGAATTATTTCCACTATCATGATGGGAGGTTTAACTGAAAACTTCTGTTCTTTTCCTTTTTTTCCCCTTTTCCTTAACAAGCTTAATTTGCTTTTTGCAGATTTTGTTCAAAGCAGGATTGTAATTAAGTCATCTGTTCTTTTTGAACTTTAAGGTAAAACCACCTCAATTGCTTGATTATCTGCAGCAGAAAAAAGCAGAAGGTTATACTATCATTGGTGTGGAACAAACTGCCAGAAGTGTAGATCTGACTCAATACTGCTTTCCTGAGAAATCTCTACTTTTGTTGGGGTAAGAAAATTCTCTTAATGGGTATTTATTTTGTGAGTCTTGGACTAGAAAATATTTCAGAAATCCTGCAGTTTGCTAAGAGCTATACACATAATACAGCTTCACTTTTGATTTGTGAAATCAAGTTTTTACTACATTTTAGATGACGAGGTCAACACAAATAAACATACAGAATTGACCTATAAATCTTTTTTGTTACACTTACTTTCCTGGTACCATAGACATTGGTATTGTCACTTTCAGTAACATTCAGAATCTAAGAAAAAGTAGAATTATAAGAAAAATAACCTACTTCATTTTTTTTTTAATCAGAAATGAACATGAAGGAATTGCAGCAAATCTGATCCAACAATTGGATGTCTGTGTGGAAATTCCTCAACAGGGAATTATTCGCTCACTTAATGTCCATGTGAGTGGAGCTCTCCTGATTTGGGAATATACCAGACAACAGCTGCTTAAGCATGCAGACAATGTATGATGAAGTGTGTGCTTTATGTGAGACGAATTATTGGTGCTATTGGAACATTTTTGGAAATGCTTTGGACTAACAATTATGACATTTACTAGGAAGAACTTTATTTTATTTTTTTGCAGTGTGATGCCAAAACTTTTTCATGTGCCTTAAATATAAGATGTCCAATTTAATAAACATTTATTTAGCTAAATTGTATTGCTATTTGAATAAAGTATTTTAAACAATCATGGAACATTATTAAAAGGTATTGACTTCCTTTGAAACTAGTATTGTCAAAACTATAGAGTACCCAGGAATATGGTAAAATTAAGACAGATTTAATCTATGAAATAAAATACTGCACTATTAAGTCATAAGGAAGCATGGTGAGCTGGAAGCAAAGGTTTCACATGAAAAGGAATTATTAACATCCTTTTGCTGCTGTGATCTACTTACTCTTAGGTAGAAACATGCTTGGCAAGATTCTGAGCCAGCTTTTCTAAAAATTTCATAATATTCAGTCTCAGATTTTTTATTTCATTGGGAGAGGGTTAGAATGTCCGTGCTCTGGGCTTATTCCTAGCTCTGGTCTCAGGGGTCACTTCTGGCACATAGGTTTTGACGTGACCATAGGTTTTCATTTAAAACCATGAGAAGTATATCATAATCATTCAAATGGAGTAGTTAAGAAGATTTCCATATATCATCTTTGCTCACCAGTTCAAATAGTAGTTTAAAAGTCTCTGTTCAGGGACTGAAGAGATAATACATGAAAAAGCACTTGCGTTACACACAGTCAACCCAGGTTTGAGCCATGGCACCTGGTATGGTCCACTGAGCTCCACTAGGAGTGAGCCCTGAGCACTAAGCCAGAAGTAAGTCTTGAGCACAGCTGGGAGTGGCCTCAAACCAAAAATGAAAATGTCTAGATTTACACAACTCTTGACATAGATCCAAAAAAGGCTAATTGCTCTTATGCATCATTACTATAAGTGAGTTTGTTAACTCAAAAGGGATGAATTTCTGTTCTCTTCATTTTTGATATTTGTATTACATTACATTTGATAATTATTTATCACCATTTAAATGAGTAGATGAACCTCACTTATGTCTTCAGTTATAGTTTAAATAATATTTAAATTTTCAGTGTATTACCTATATATTTTTTTATTTGCAGTTTTATTGAAATAATTTGTTTCAGAGAAGAGTGCAAAGATCATGTACAGTTACTAAATGCCTTTCACTCTGATACCTCTATAGGATTTTTTTTTTTTAGGACACAGCTTATGATGCTCAGGGCAGGCTTGGGGAATGTGGGATACTGGGTATTGAACCTGGGTCAGTTGTGTGCAAGGCAAATGCCCTACCTGCTGTACTGTCACTTCAACCCCTTCTATAGAATAAAGAACCAGCAATTTACCAAAATTAAGAAATTGATATTGATTCTGGTACTGTTTACTCAATTATAGACTTTGATATGATTAATTTTAGATTTCCTACTTCCCACCAATCTCCTTTTTTTCTGATCCAGGACACTACTCTGCATTTAGTCATGTCTCCTTAGTCTCTTCTGATTTCTGACAGTCTGTTTTTCCTTGTCTTTCACGATCTTGACACTTGAAAAGTATTGATACGCCTGACTGTCTGATCATTTGAATTTGGTATTTCCTAGTGAGGTTATCAGAAGAGATGAAGTGTCCATCTGATAACATATCAATCAACAGGACTTCTGACATACATCATTATGGCAGTGTTTATCATATTCTCTAAAGCTGCTAGTTTCCATTTTTCCCATAGTTTAAGTCCACTGACCTATACACCAGGGGAAATAAGCTTTCACTTCTTAGAGGTTGAGTGTCAAAGAATTTCTTAGAACTGCCACAGTAATAAATATGTTGGTGGATTATCTATAGGCTGTACTGATACACTGTTCCTCTTGAGCTTTTTGGCCACTATTTTTACATTTAATTTACTATTGGATAACAGAATTATATGAATTTCAGGGGTGGAGGTGTATATCTTCATAGATGTAAATACCAAATACCACACTGCACCCAGCAACAGGTCTACGATTCAGCACTATAAAGTTCATTAACCTTAACATTCACCAACGAATAAATACTGCCTATATTTTCTACAGGATATTGCCTGTAGAAAAAATTACAGTAGTTTTTCTATTGCTGATACTCAATATTTACCTCATAATTCTTTATACATTTATTACTTGGAATTCTATCAGGACTTTTTCTTATTCAGTTATCTCTATATTAAGTGCAGATGGTTGGCTCCTTTGTCTTTTGTTTTTGATTTTAGTGCCACAACCAATAAGGGGAACCTCTAGTGGTGCTCAGGGTACCATGCAGTGCTGGGGGGGCAGGGGGTCAAATGTAGATTTCCTGTATGCTCAACTTGTTAAGCTCTTTGGCCCTCTGGTGTCATGCTCCCCCATCCCTGCCTTAAAAAAAATTGTACTTTCTGACATTACATAATGTTCCAGTCTTATCTTTTATTTTCTCTATCCCAGTTCTACAATCAGACATTACTCCAAGGTGCACTGGTTTAATTTTTTGTAGAACAGATACGGAAACAAAGTTTTGGGTGCTCAGTGTGCCTGTTGCTACAGAAGTGGAATGGGAAATACAGGTGTCTGCTGATGTATGTAAATGTCAGTACGATATCTAGATAAACATGCTGTTATCCCTGACAAGCCACACTTCAAGATTCTAACATTAACCAAGAGGTGAATGCTTATTTTTAACTGATTTTTTTTTCTGTTGTCATAGTTTCAGAGCTGTAACAAAATTATCAATTTGTGTGGTTCTTTTTGTCTTTAGCCTTACTTACAGTATCCTGTCAAAAACCATTTATAAAAAGTTATTTACATCAGCCTCTTTCTTACCCATCCCTTTTATGAGTCTGTCATAATATATATTCCAAACAGGAATCTCTCCAAAATCTGAGCTCTTATTTTAATGTGTATTCTTTTTTTTTTCCTTTTTTATTTATTTATTTATTGAATCACCGTGGGAAAGGTTACAAAGCTTTCAGGTTTAGGTCTCAGTCATGCAAATATCAAACACATTTCCCTTTACCAATACTTATTTTTTACCATGAAGAACCCCAATAAAACCCCACCCCCACCCCTCCCAGTCCCTGTGGGGCAGATGAATTCTAGTTAACACTATCTGCTTTGATTAGATTCATTGTTTCAATAAAAGATTCACCACTTTTTTTTAATTAATTTATTTATTGAATCACCATGGGAAAGGTTACAAAGCTTTCAGGTTTAGGTCTCAGTCATGCAAATATCAAGCACATTTCCCTTTACCAAAACTTATTTTTTACCATGAAGAACCCCAATAAAACCCCACCCCCCACCCCTCCCAGTCCCTATGGGGCAGATGAATTCTAGTTAACACTCTATCTGCTTTGATTAGATTGTTTCAATAAAAGATTCACCACTATTATTTAGAGTTTACCCCCCCCCCCCCCCCGAATCAGACATGCTGACAAAGCATTGTGAAGTGATTTGCTTTCTACAGCTGGGTTCAAGAATTATATGTTGGTTTTGGATTTCTGCTATTTTACTTATTGACCCTGGAAGTATTTCTACTGAAAGTCAGATAGTTAAGAAATTGGTTTCTGTGCTCTGGAGTCGTGGCCATGCTGGAGAGCCGCTACTGGGGGGCAACTGGTGGCCTCGGTAGGGCGTGAAGGGCGGAGCGAAACGCCCCCCTTCCCATGAGGTTTTAGTCGCCCCCACTCCCCCGGCTCATACCTGCTGTCCACAAGGCTCCCATGCGGCCGCCATCTTTCTTTCCAGAGAGGAGAAGGCGACTGGGGCAACACCCTTTCCCCTCCGGACAGACATGATGGCCTGGATTAACACATAGTCCGTTCACTTTTCTGCTCCAAGCTGCCGGGTTCTGCATTAAGTCCTTGTGCTTCTGGGGCCATGGCCGTGCTGGAGAGCCGCTCGCGGGGGGCAACTGGTGACCTCGGTAGGGCGTGAAGGACGGATCGGAACGCCCCCCTTCCCATGAGGTTTTAGTCGCCCCCACACCTCCGGCTCATACCTGCTGTCCACAAGGCTCCCATGTGGCCGTCATCTTTCTTTCCAGAGGGAGGAGGGCGGAAGGGACAAACACCCTTTCCCCTCCGGGCAGACTTGATGGCCTGGATTAACGCATAATCCTTTCACTTTTCTGCTCCAAGCTGCTGGGTTCTGCATTAAGTCCTTGTGCTTCTGGGGCTGTGGCCGTGCTGGAGAGCCACTCGTGGAGGGCAACTGGTGGCCTCGGTAGGGCGTGAAGGACAGACCGGACCGCCCCCCTTCCCATGAGGTTTCAGTCGCCCCCACACCCCCAGCTCATGCCTGCTGTCCACAAGGCTCCCATGTGGCCGCCATCTTTCTTTCCAGAGAGGAGAGGGCGAATGGAGCAACACCCTTTCCCCTCCAGCAGACTTGATGGCCTGGATTAACACATAGTCCGTTCACTTTTCTGCTCCAAGCTGCTGGGTTCTGCATTAAATCCCTGTGTTTCTGGGGCTGTGGCCGTGCTGGAGAGCCGCTCGTGGGGGGCAACTGGTGGCCTCGGTAGGGCGTGAAGGACGGACCGGAACGCCCCCCTTCCCATGAGGTTTTAGTCGCCCCCACACTCCCGGCTCATACCTGCTGTCCACAAGGCTCCCATGCGGCCACCATCTTTCTTTCCAGAGAAGAGAGGGCGAATGGGGCAACACCCTTTCCCCTCCGGAGAGACATGATGACCTGGATTAACGCATAGCCCGTTCACTTTTCTGCTCCAAGCTTCTGGGTTATGCATTAAGTCCTTGTGTTTCTGGGGCTGTGGCCGTGCTCCAAACTTAACTCTGATTTTCAGAGAGAAACGTTGGGTGGTTTACTTCCCATGGTTCACTTTGGATATAGAGAGATGTCTTATGCGGCCGCACGGTTTTGAGGAAAAGTCCTAGTTCCCGCATACTTGAGCTGTGCTTGTAGAGGCTTCTAGTCACCGGGGTTCCATCTGGGGGAGGCGGGATGCGGTACCTAGGTACCTACCCCATCTGGGACTTCCCGATGATCTCGGCTCTTTTTGGAACCTTTTTTTTTTTTCTCTTCAGGATCTGTGGATACCGCCCTCCATGTAGTCCTTCTCTTCGGCTGAATGCTGTAAAGATGGCACTGGGGGGCGGGCTGTGGGCGTGACTTCTGGAATCTGAGGTTACCTGGGAGTTGTAGTCCCGGCAGATTTGAGGAAAAGTCCTAGTTCCCGCATACTCGAGCTGTGCTTGTAGAGGCTTCTGGTCACCGGGGTTCCATCTGGGGGAGGCGGGATGCGGTACCTAGGTACCTACCCCATCTGGGACTTCCCGATGATCTCGGCTCTTTTTGGAACCTGTTTTTTTTTTTTTTCCTTCGGGATCTGTGGATCCCGCCCTCCATGTAGTCCTTCTCTTCGGCTGAATCTAATGTGCATTCTTTATAGCATAGTTTTATGGGGTTCCACAAATCTAGTGAAACTTTTTCTTTCATAGCCATTTTCCCATTCACCACCCCTCATCTACTTTGTTATTTTTTTTGCCTTTTCCATATTCATAAACAGGTGGTCTCCCACTTAATAATAGTTCAGATACCAAATTTATAATTTTATATCTTTGTAAAAGTGATAATCTTCAGTAGAAACCAAAGTTTGAATTTTGGTCTTTGCCTGGACTAGCAAAGTGAAGTACCAAATTTATCATACTGGGCAGCAGCACTAAACTGTGGTTCTCAGTTAGCCACTCAGGGTAAACAACAGAACTATGGATACTAGCTGTGTAAGTGTTCTGAGCACATGTATGGCAAGGCAGGTTATGCTTTCCTGTCCAGTAGGTTAGTGTATTCAGTGCAATTTTGACTGATCATATTTTAAACTTACTGTGTCTGGCATATTGAATACGTCACGGGGAGCTTGCCATGCTCTGCCGTGCGGGCGAGATACTCTTGGTAGCTTGCCAGGCTCTCCGAGAGGGGCGGAGGAATCGAACTCGGGTCGGACATGTTGGCTGCGTGCAAGGCAAACGCCCTACCTGCTGTGCTATTGCTACAGATACAGATATAGAGCCCAGGGGCTGGAGCGAAAACATATAAAATCCCCTAGCAAGTTAAGACTAAACATAGCACAGCGTTAGGGCGTATGGCAGTATCTCGCCCGCACGGCAGAGCCTGGCAAGCTACCCGTGATGTATTCAATATGCCAGACACAGTAACAACAAGTCTCATGATAGAGACGTTACTGGGCCTGCTCAAGCAAATCGATGAACAACAGGAAGACCTTTACCTTTACCTTATATTTTAAACTTATGCCAGGTTTAGTGGTACATAAATTAATTGAATAGAGGAAAAGATGTATGTGGAAGCCCATAGAAGGTGGCCTTTTAGATCTTTTTTTTTTTAATCTAGGCACTATGATTTTACAGTAACGCATGATTCTTAGGCAAAATGCATTTAAGTCCCATCCATAGTGCATGAATCCATATCAAAGCATGGTATTATATTGCATAGATGTATTGTTTATTTTTCTCTTGTAGACATCTGAGTTGCTTCCAGGCTTCCAGGGAATTATAAGTAAAGCTACAGTAAACATTCATTCAAGTTATTTGGTGAAATATATAGAATTCGGATTATTGGATCATAAGATAAGCATATTTAAATTTATAAGAATCTTCCAGAATTATTTTCTAAAGGGGCCTTATTTTGCTTTTTTTTTTAGCTTTTTGGGTGACATCCAGCAATGCACAGGGGTTACTCCTGGCTCTGCACTTGGGAATTACTCCTGGTGGTGCTCGGGGTACCATATGGGATGCTGGGAATTGAACCCCGGTTGGTTATGTGCAAGGCAAACGCCCTACCTGCAGTGCTATCACTCCAGCCCAGTATTTTGCATTCTTATTCTATTAATAGTATCTTTCACAGATTAAGAAGTCTTAGTTTTTATAAAGTCTATCTTAGCTTTATTTTATTTTTATTATAATCTGATGTCGGGCTGGAGCTATAGTACAGTGGGTAGGGCATTTGCCTTGCACGTGACTGACCCAGCTTCAGTTCCTCCACCCTTCTCGGAGAGCCCGACAAGCTACCAAGAGTATCTCTCCTGTACGGCAGAGCCTGGGAAGCTCCCCATGGTGTATTTGATAAGCCAAAAACAGTAACAAGTCTCACAATGGAGATATTACTCGTGCCCGCTTGAGCAAATCGATGAACAACAGGAGGACGGTGCTACAGTGCTATAATCTGATGTTATCTAGTCTCACATTTTCAAGCCCTATGTCAAAGATTCATTACTTTCTATGTTTTGTTTTTTTGGGGAGGTCACACCTAGCATACTCAGGGCTTATTCCTAACTTTGGCAATGCTTGGGATACCATATGGGGTGCCAGGGATCAAACTTACACCAGCTGCATGTAAGGCAAGTGCCCTACCCACTGTACTATTGCTCTTGGCCAACATCATCATTTGCCTCTAAAAGTTTATTATATTTTTTTTAGTTTTACAGTCGGTTGTGAGGTTTTAGGTTTTGTTTTCATTAAGGTGGGTATGAAGTATATGTAAGGGCTCACTGTTCAGAGGCATCAATATTTGCTAATAAGAAACCACTGAATTGCTTTGAAGCTCTGTTCAAACTCTTATTTTTGTGGGTATATTACTAGATTCTGTTTTTTACTGTGCCACTACTTTTGCCACTACACAGTCTTTAGCTTTATGATAAGTCTTTAAATCATCTAATAGTTCTCCATTTTTTCTTTTTTAAAAAAAAAATTTTTTTTTTTTTTTGGCTATCTTAGCTCTTTTGCCATTTCATACAAATTTTAGAATCAGCTGGTTAGTCACTGTCACTGTTCTCCCATTGTTCATCGATTTGCTGAGCGGGCCCAGAAACGTCTCCATTGTGACACTTGTTACTGTGTTGGCATATCGAGTATGTCAAAGGTAGCTTGCCAGGCATTGCTGTACAGGCGAGATACTCTTGGTAGCTTGCCGGGCTCTCCAAAAGGGGCGGAGGAATGGAATCTGGGTTGACCAGGTCAGCAGCGTGTAAGGCAAATGCCCTACCCAATGCGCTATTGCTCCAACCCAGCTGGTTAGTATGTAACAAAAAGCTTGTTAGGGTTTGATTGGAACTGTTTAACTGACAGAACAAATTAGGAACTTAGTATTATCATAACAAGACTAAGTCTTCTAATCTATGAAGGTTTTATTTTTTCAATAAATATATCTGATTTTAAGTGTTTGGTAGTTCACAGCATATAGCTCCTGCACATATTGTTAGACTTATACCTGTCTTTTATTTTTTTAAATGCTAATGTAAATGGTATACTTTAGAATTCTTTTTTAAGGCAGATGCTTTAAATAATAAAAGATGCACTGTACTGTCATTTCATTTTGCATATATTTTGCATCCGTTTTATTATTTATTTTTATCATTTCAACTATATATATATATATATTTTATGCTTTTTGGGTCACACCCGGCAATGCTCAGGGGTTACTCCTGGCTCTGCACTCAGGAATTACTCCTGGCGGTGCTCAGGAGACCATATGGGATGCTGGGAATCGAATCTGGGTAGGCCGTGTGCAAGGCAAACGCCCTACCCGCGGTGCTGTCGCTCCAGCCCCTCAGCCTATAATTTTAAATTACTATTTAAATTTTAATTTACTAGTCCAGTTACTATTATCTGTTATATAGGAATGATTTTCTTCTGTATTCCTTAATTCCAACCAAGAGTACAGTTCACTTAATATTTCTAAGTTTTATGGCAGTACTTTGGAATTTTCCACAGAGATAATCATCAGTTACTAGAGCCAGTTTTGTTTTTTCCTTCCCAATTTGTATGCACTTTATTCTTTTGTCTTAGTTGAAAAAGCTAGGAACCCAGTACAGTGTTAAATAGGTAGAAATGGAGGACATTCTTACCTTGTCAACAATTTTAGGGAAAAAGAACTCATTGTTGCCATATGTTATGATTTTTGGTTTTTTGCAGATGGCTTTCATTTTACCACTATATTTATATATTCAACTTTCTTTCAGTCCTCATTTTTTGGTACTTGTGTTAAAATGCTAACTCTGAGGATCGCGATCACGATCACGACCACCCTGTTGTTCGTCGATTGCCTCGAGCAGGTGCCAGTAACGTCTTCTTCGTCCTAGCCCTGAGATTTTTTTTTTTTTAAAGTGCCATATTCAAGGCTTTTTCAGGGTTAGGAGAATGAGACCCATCATTGTTACTGGTATTTGGCATATTGGGTATACCACGGGGAGTTTGCCAGACTCTGCCGTGTGGAAACTCTGAGGATACATATTGAAAAAAATAAGTATTTTCAGCATCTACATTTACATTGTTACATTTATCACCCAATCTCTAAACAAATGAGTCTATATTTTCACAATAGGCTTTAATTTATTTTCTTAATATACACATTTCGTTCCTAATGAAAAATATGCATATCTTATACCATTTATTTTAGTTCTTCATACTTTGAATAATGGACTCTCGTTACTTGGTCAGTTTTAATTATTAAGAATTATGCATATGGAAACCAATATTGATTTTACCATGATTCAATCTAGTATTGTCCCAGTCAGTGGATCATTCTTGGATGTCCAGAAAGAAGAGTTCCAACCTTTCTAAAAAGTTCAGCAATAGCCTAGGACTTTGTAGGTGCTTTTGAAGGGTCAAACTCTCCTGCTTCAAATTTTTCTTTGAATTTTAAGTAGTCTCTTCGTTTATCAAAATATTTTATCTGTTGAGAAAATGTTTGAAATATGAGCAAGTTATGCATCTTTGCTAACAGCACTTAAATATTAAAAAGTATTCAATATAAAGACATAAGCAAATTATATTCTAGAATATAAGCAAACTCTTATAAAAAATTTTTAGTGGATGTAGACTGGAGGCTTCCAAAGTATTTGGTCTACTTCCCTCTTAAATTACTCTGAACCCTCTGGAAATCTTCCTTCTTTATGCAACAACAGAAAGCCCACCCCTCCCTCAGGACATCTATTCCGTCCCTCCCCCAGACAGTATTGCCTACTTTGGGTAGTAAGTGGCGTAGATGGTTGTATCTTAACCTTTTTGGGTTTATGTATCCCGTTGAGCACTTAGTAAATCAGGAACCTTCCTGAGAAATGTACACAAGACCCCCAGCGCCCGCTTGCCACACTCAGCAGTGAAGAATCCCGGCAGGCACCACAATACCGGGGAGTTCTCTTGGCCACATACCGAGCTGATATCTCTGGGACCCCCCCGATGGACCAGGTGCATTCTCCCCACCTTCTCCAGATGGAATCCCGGTGACCATGAGCTTCTGCAAGCATGGCCCATGGTATGTGGCTATCAGGACTATTCCTACAAAGTGCGTGGCTGCTGCATGAGCTTTCCTGATAATGCAAAGTGAGCAATGGAAAATAAATGATCTAGCGTCTGACCCTGGAAGACAGGCTTGAATGATGGTGGGAATATCGGAGCAAAATATAATGCCCAAAACTAGAGAGAGTATCTGACCAGTTGTCTGAAGAGGCAGGGTAAGGACTGGGATGAAAGTGGAGGGGATAATGGGGATATTGCTGGTGGAAAGTTTGCACTGGTGTGATCAATCATTGTATAGCTGAATATCAAACATGAAAGCTTTGTAACTATCTCACGGTGGATCAATAAAAAAATTTTAAAAAAGAAATATACATAAGAAACATGCCATGTTAAGTTCATAGTGTGGTTTTAAAGACACGGTACACATTTTTGTTATCAGGTGTCTGGATGAAGTATTCTATTGCACCACTTTGAGTGATTGCTTTCTTACTCACCAAGAAGCCTTGTTGTCTATAATAACAGATCATCAGAAAATTTACTCTTTGAAGCAGTGAGAATGAAACACCCATGTTTTCAAAGAGGATCTAAGAAACCTGGTACAGAGAAGCAGCCCTGCTTTCTAATCCAGGTGCAGGACTTAAAGTTAGGGATTTGGGGTGGTGGTGGGGGGGCTGGAACAATAGCACAGCGGGTAGGGCATTTGCCTTGCACTCAGCCAACCCCAGGTTCGATCCCCAGCATCCCATAAGGTCCCGAGCACTGCTAGGAGTAATCCCTGAGTGCAGAGCCAGGACTATCCCCTGTGCATCGCTCGGTATGACCCAAAAAGCAAAAAATAAGGTTAGGAACTCTGAACCTTCTACATATATACCTTCAGTATATATGTGGAAAATGGGACTTAAATCCAATTTAGTTTTTTGTTTAAACTCCAGCCTTCCCAAATTCCCTCCCTTTGATGAGAAGCCCATAGTTCCTCTGCTGTGCAGTTACCCTGCTAATCTGTTGAGCTACAGACTTACCTCCAAGTGGTCTGAGGCAAACTGCGATGGCACAGGTGTATAAAAGCGACCAGAGAAATGTGGTCATTGTAACTCTTATCATTTCTCTAATGGACAATTTTTGTAGAATTCCTATTGATATTTCCATCCCACCCTGTCATACTTTGCTCCTCACCAGTTTTCTTCTATAGTTTCTACTTCAATAATTTTAACTATCTACTCAGACCGGGATCTTCTCCCCCTCTCAACCCCCACCCCCACTACTATAGTACAACATTACTTAAGTGTTGTAACAGCTTGTAAATTCACATTATTGCCAAGTACAATGGCAGCAGCCTTTTAGAAGCCAAAAAAGAGAGGCTTTTCTTATCTGCAGAAAGGTTTCCTATGAGGGCCAAAGTACAGTGGGCAGGGCACTTGCTTTGCATGTATCTGACACAGGTTTGATCCCCAACATTCCATATGGTCCCCTGAGCCTTTGCCAGCAGTAAGCCCTGAGCACTGCTGGGTATATGTAAACACATACACACACACACACACACACACACACACACACACACACACACACAAGTTTCTCTAAGAGCAGAAGTAAGGCTGTTGAGAAGGACATGGAATATGGTGCAGAGAAGATGAGACTGGTGAAAGGATCTTGCACTTTGGTGGTGGGTATGTAAACCAATTTTATATCCATACCATATATATATGTGTATATATATAATAAACACACACACATATATACATATAACATATATATTACGTTATATATATGTATATATATATATATGTCCTCTGAATGAGCCAAATCAATGAATGCCAAAATACTGGGAATTTAGGAACATTTTGAAGGTATGTAGGGAAAAAATTTGAAGTTCATATCAGTATAAAATATACTACATGTTGTTTAATTTTGAAAGACTTGAATGATGCTAAAATTCAATAAAATTTTTTTAAAAAGTGATCCAATAAAAAAGAAATATACCCCCCCCCCCCAAAAAAAAAAAGAATCCTTGCTTTTTCTTCCTCTTCTTAAGCTATGACTTGGTGGGAACTTCAAATTAGACCATTAATCAGGCAGGGCATAGAGTCCAAGAGATAGAATAAGTCTTGAATGTGTGAGGCCCTGGGTTCTATGCAGAGCACATGACCCCACCCAGCACCACTTGTGGCCCTAATGACAATCAAAATTTTTTTAAAACTGGATTTTAGTTCAAATTAGTCTAATGAGTGCCCTACAGGAAATAAAGTGCTAGAGAAGAATAAATCCTTTCTTGTGACAGCACATTAGTTAAGTCTATGTAAAAAAATAACATAATGTTTCATGATTCAACTATTGATTATAAATCTCAATGGTTTTGTTGATAGCCTTATTTTTTGTGACTGTTATATATAAAAAAACAAACTTTGGAACAATAAAGACCTGCATCAAAACTCTACCCTATCGCTATGCTGGTTAGTTAATATTGAACAATTTTGCCTTTCTAAGCAGATACAGTAGTAGTTCACAAGAGCCCATGAAAATCAAAGCAAATGAAAACAAAATGTCTCACACAGAATACACCCAAATGAAGCTTTTTTTCCTCTTCCTATCTAGCTGTCGATCTTCTCATATAAAAATTTTAAATGGCAAAGTGGCTATCATCAAATACTACAGAAGCAAAAGAAAATATCTGTTGTAATACCACTAACCATCTTTGTTGGACTCATTCATAATTTTGCTGGCTTCTGGCTTCCATTTTCTCCAGCAGTACCCATTAATTCTTGGGTACCCAGAATCATATATAATGTACTAAATCACCCTTCTATTACACTTTTCTCCAAGTTTTCAAGAGACAGTCATTTTACTTCACTAGTCTTGTCTTCCAACCAGTTTTACTCCCAAGGTCAAGGCCTAGATCTTGTACTCATCAACAACTACGATCACAATCATCCTGTTGTTCGTCAATTGCCTCGAGCAGGCACCAGTAACATGTCCTTCTTCCTAGCCCTGAGATTTTAAAAGAGCCATTTCAATGCTCTTTCAGGGTTAGGAGAATGAGACCCATCATTGTTACTGGTATTTGGCATATTGAGTACGACAGGGAAGTTTGCCAGACTCTGCCGTGCAGGCAGGATACTTTTGGTAGCCTGCCAGGTTCTCCAAAGGAAAAAAGTGATAAAAAAAAATAAATAATGTCGTGCAGCCGCAAATGTGGCCGCACGCTTCCGGGAGGTGGGTCTCTGGGTCTTGGCCGTTGATGGGACCAACCTGGCACTGGCGGCAGCTGGTGGGTGTGATGCCTACCGACTGGAAGATGGGGGGTCTGGGTGGAGAACTACAACCACAATTCTTTCATGATCCCAATTCTGAACATTTCATGTTCCAATGGGCTGGAGCAATAGCACAGCGGGTAGGGTATTTGCCTTGCACGCAGCCAACATGGCCGACCCGAGTTCGATTCCTCCGCCCCTCTCGAGAGCCTGGCAAGCTACCGAGAGTGTCTCGCCCGCACAACAAAGCCTGGCAAGCTACCTGTGACGTGTTCAATATGCCAAACGGTAACAGTTGTCACAATGGAGACGTTACTGGGCCCGCTCAAGCAAATCAATGAACAATGGGAGGACAGTGACAGTGACATGTTCCAATCACTACTTTTTCACTTTCCCTCTTGGTTTCTTATTGGTGCCAAAAACTCACTGACTCCACCATCTTTCAACTGTTATCCTAGTCTCCTCAGTCCCAAAATCAGGAGCTGGAGAGACAGTACAGTGAATAATGCATTTTGCCTTGCTTGTGGCCAACCTAGGTTTGATCCCTGGCACCACATGTTTCCTCAAGCTCCACCAGGAGCTGGAGATAACAACTGGGCATTAAATGTTCAAGGGATTGCTAGAGAAAAAAATTACACTGGAAGAGTGTGTAGCACTGGGAAAAAAAATAAAACGAGCAAGAAAAGACAAAAAACTCAAAATTGGCACTGACTGACATTTGACAAACACAGGGAATTATTTCAGAACATCAGTGGCTGCTAGAGATGAAGCAGCTAGGGTAGTGAATTACAATGGCATGCATAGAGAAAGGGCCTTAGTATTAAGTCGACTTGGTTTATGATAAAGTTTCTGGTACATGAGGCTGAAGACAAGTTATCCCAAATCCGTTATCTTGCATGACAGGCACAGGAAGCATATGTGAAGGGCAAAAGTATGTGGAGGAGCATGAATCTGGTGACCTGCAGCGCTCCTGTCCAGGCTTTGAACAAACTCAACAGACTTACCCACTGTTGGGGACAACTTGACTCAAATGAACTTCTTAACTTCTTGCACTTAGAAGTGTCTTCTGAATTTTCATCTAAACACTTCCAGTACTCATCCCGAGCTCCCCAGCAAACCTGCCTTTCTTTCATTGATGGTGCTGCCATTCCTGCTGCGATCAAGCTGTTGGCCAAAACAACATTTGCCATTAACAATGCCCTAGAAATCTGGGTTAAAATCTTCCCTCCAACAATCCTTTTTTTTTTTTTTTTTGATGTTGGACTCCGGGACTCTCATGATGTAGCTGAAATACGTTACCCTAAAAATCCATTTGAAGCTCATTCGCTACACCCATGCAAATCGAATATCTAAGAAAGCGTGAGTTAGGATCACAGTCCTCCTTGACTGTCGCTTTTTAAAAAACCCTGTGTCCCCCTCGGTGTTTAACCAGAGGACGGCGCCCCGTTCTCCACGTTTTTGTTTGTACCGAAGTAGTTCAAACAAATGCACGGGGGTTAGTGTTGCAGGGCAGGAAAAAAAATGCTACCAGGTTTTCCCAGAAGCCGAGGCTCGCTGAGCCAAAGACCTCCTGGGTCCAAGTTCCACGCCTGCCTCGCGGGCACCCGCCAGCCAGCCTATTCAGCCCCAGCCCCTCCAGAGCCGCCGTTCCCTTCCGCACCGGGCGTCCAACAGACAAACAAGGGAGGGTGCAGTGCCCACTGCCGGCACCGCAGGGTCACCTCGCCGGCGTGAAGTTCGTACTCTCCCACTTCGACAGAGCAACGCCCCCCGCCCCGGAATGACCCTAACGAGATACCGTCTGCAGTTCAGGGGGCGGTACTTCCGGTCCTACTCCCGCCCGGGGCACGGTAGCTTCCGTGTCTCCTGCGAAGGAGGCGGAGCTTGAGGACGTGAGGTGGAGACTGGCGGAGACCGGCTCACTTCGGGGAAGGCGTTGATCTGGATGTGCCGGTTCCTCCGCCCTTCGTTTTCACTGCTTTGACGATTCAGTGATTATTTTTTTTTTGGGGGGGGGTCACACCCAGTGATACACAGGAGTCACTCCTGGCTCTGCGCTCAGGTGGACCATATGGGATGCTGGGAATCGAACCCGGGTTGACAAACGCCCTACCAGCTGTGCTATCGCTCCGGCCCGGATTCAGTAAATTTAATGCTAATTTTTCACACAGCGCAGCCTGAAAGACTTTATGTGCCCAACAAAGCGACTTTAAGAGTTTCCAGCTGAGGAAACTGGAGTAAGCTGTCGAGTCATGAACGTTTAGCTCCTTGCATCTTAGAAAAATAAATAAAAGAAACGGTTCCAGAACAAAGCAGTGACCCAGGCAAGACCCCGGGAGGCTGATCTCCCAGATCCCACTTTGAAATTTCATCCTCGTCCATTTCCCGCCATCAGCTTTCCTTCCTCCCTTAACAGGGAGGAAGGAAAGTCATTTCCTTCGTCTCTCTCATCGGTACATGGAAAAGTCATTTAAGTTATCTTGGAGACCTCTAACAAAGGAGTATAAAGGCAGAGCTACAGTCCTCTGACATGAGTATTTGCGGGGGCTGACCCTGGTTTAGGATTCCCAGCTAGAATCTGTGGACTTGCAGCTGAAATTTGCCAGAGGTAGTACAAATTGCCCAGGAAAGTGGGGGAGGATTAATATTTGTAGTACTTGCAAGGCAAGCGCCCTCTTCGCTGTACTGTTTTATTTATTTATTTATTTTAGGCTGTTTTGCTTTTGGGGTCACACCTGGAGATGCTCAGGGGTTACTCTGGCTCTGCACTTAGGAGTTACTCCTGGTGATGCTTAGGGCACCATATGGGATGCTGAGGATCAAATCCGGCTTGGCTGCATGCAAGGCAAATTCCCTACCCACTGCACAATCGCTTGGGCCCCTGTTTATTTTAAAGCACGTTTATGATAAAGGCCAGTCTTTTGGCGTCTAATTTAACAGTTTCCGACTACTTCATCTAGTCCTCCTAAATGCTTGTCAAACTCAATCAATTACAGCTCTTCACATAGTGCTAGTGTTGGATCCTTTCTAAATTCAATGTTACTGATTTCAGTGTAATTGTATGAAGTACCATCAACGAACTACAATGTGGAAAGTATTTTTTGTAATAGTTAATGGGCTCAAGTGTTGGATTGCATTGGTTACCAGAGTTTACTCATTACCTCTAAAATATATCTATAAAGGGAAGCTTGATATAAAGAGTCTGATGATTTCTGAGTTAGGAAAACTATACTTGAAGTTAAATAATTGTAAGTTTATATGTTTTATTTGTATGTTGGGTGGGTTTTTGTTTTTTAGGTGCTGAGGGACCAAATCTAGGCCTCCTACATAAAAACATGCCCCTAACCCTTTGATCTATCTCCCCAGCTCCCATGTTGGGTGATATTAACAAAGTTTTTTTTTTTTCTGTACTTACGATGAGAAAAAGAGGTGCCAAAAAGATAGTTCAACAAACAAGGTGCTTGCCTCGCAAGCAACTGACCCAGGTTTAATCACTGGCACCCCATGTAATCTCCCAAACCCACCATAAGTGATCCCTCAGCAAGGAATCAGGAGCACCACCAACTGTTGCCCAAACACCAAAAAAAGAATAAAAAAGAGGGGGTTGGAATTGATAGTACAGTGGATAGAAGTTTGCTTTGCACAAAACAACCAGGTTCTATCTACAACAAACTATATGGTCCCCTTAGCCAGCCAGAAGTGATCCTGACCAGAGTGATCCCAGAGCTCAAAGCCATTGAATAGCTTGAATCAGTAGTAAATTATCGTCATTCACACTTTTACAGTTCCAGGTTTCACCATTAAGTTCCTCCTAACTTTGAAATAATACTGTTGGTATCAATAATACCAATATGAGTTTAATTTATTTTATTTTTACTAACTACAAAAACCCTAGTCCTCCAAAGCACCAATGTTAGAACTCATTTGATGAAAAATAGGATTCAGTAAAAAGTTGCTATTTATGTATCACTTACATGACTATATATTTTCCTGCAGGACTAGTTAATATATGGTTGTGGGAGCTTTCCCAGTTGTTCAGAGTATTACAGATATATGTTGTATGTTCCACAGTAACTTTCCAATAGTTTAAAATAGTCTCTGTTTCAAAACATCTGACTGGTTCCAAGGATTTCCAGTCAATTATGTGGACCTAGAAGGAAGACTGTTTTTGTGACTTTTGGGTTAAGAAGAATTTTTTTTAGCCATAAAGAAAAGATAAATTATTTCAGCTGCATTGCAGTTGTGTACCATAAAGTGGGAGAAGAAAATTGAGAAATATAAAACAAATGGGTACTCCAAATATATAAACATCACCCCAAAATCAAAAAGAAATGGAGAGCCTAACTTTAAAAATGGTCCTAAATGATCAATCTAAAAAAATACACATCCAAACCAGTAATCACAGAAATAACATGAAAATCACAGTCCAGTATGATTAGAGACCTACCAAACCAAGGTATAATGAAAAGTCTCACAGTAATAAGATGAAGCAAAAAGAAAACTCATACATAAGATTCTAGTAAGATTCTAGTAAACTAAAAACTAGTTCACTAAGACTCATACTTTCTATAAAATCTCTTGGATATCTTGTAAAACTCTTAATCTCAGTGTAATAGCTAAGAACATGAAGCACCCCAAACTCATAAAAAAATAGCATGGGTACACTGTGTATAATCATACTGTAAAATATGATGCAGCAATGACCAGAAGTTACATAATGCCATTGCATGTTACATATATTATTATTATAACATGTTGAGTCTTAATATTAAAAAAACAAAGCAATTCAACCTAAGAACTGATACCATAGATTTCCACTCCTGTAAGTTTAAAACTGAAAAACTAATAAATAAAAATATTGTTCCCTTCCCAATTGTCCTAGAGTTCCCTTTTCTAACTCATCCCCCTACCCTTCCCCAGTGACAACTTCCTACTGAAGACCAGTTCTGCTCTTTGTTTCTATTGCCTTTGAGCTTTTGACATTCCCTTGGGACTTTTCTTTATATCTCACATACTGAGATTAAAAAAAAATGCCAGAGGTAATTGTAAAGACCAAATCTACCTTATACAATCCCAAAGATTATGGGCAAATGAAAAAATGTGGGTGCCACAGGCAATTTCAAATGTGCCGTCTTGATACAGAGAGGGTGTAATCTCCCAGCCTATGTTTGGAGGAGAGAGGAGGCGAAGAGAAGTCAGCATGAAGAGGTGGAAGACGTGCTGGCTGTTGGCATCCAGAGGAAATTTTGTGTGGGTGTTCTGTAGTCTGAACTAAGTAGATCCCCAAACCACTGGTGGGCAGGGCCAGACAGACTCAGTAGCACTGAAAACGTATGTGTTGTTTTTCTGTTGCTGCCCACAGACTTTTATTTATAAGCTGTACTGTTTTACAAAGCAATTATCACAGACACCTACTCAGGGACACAATCAGGAGAAATTCCTTTGACTTCAGTGTCACAGAAGTGATCCTTCTGAATTTGTATCTGCTACCTCCTTGCCTTTTTCCTTTCATTAACTTTAGTCATGGTCCAAAAGCTCTCTCTCTCTCTCTCTCTCTCTCTCTCTCTCTCTCTCTCTCTGTCTCTCTCTCTCTTTCTTTCTCTCCTCTCTCCTCTCTTTCTCATCTCTTTTGTTCTTTTTCTCTTTCCTTCCTCTGTTTTCTGTTTTCTTTGCTGAGTTAATATACTGTCATGCTTCAGCTTGTAATACCAATATCAGAAAGATGAAAAGCATCTTAGTCCTAAGAGAACCTTTATGTCAGATTTTTGTTTTCAAGCCCCCAGTGGATCTCCACGTGTTTGCATTCCCTGATTCCAATAACTTCAAAACTGAATGCATAACTTATTTTGCCTCATAATAGCTTCTCTTTCTAAATTCTTCCTTTTCACCTGTTTTATGAGTTTTGTCTGTTAGTTAGAAACCTTGAATTCCAATTTCATGCTTCCTGCTCTTTATTTCACTTCATCTTAAAGGAAGTCATTTAAATTAAATATTGCTGTATTCACCAATGCATAGATTATAATTTGCACCAGTGTTTTGTGAACCATCAAGAAAGGAAAAAAAACTGCCAATTAAATCATAACACATTCATCTTAAACTTATTAAGACATTAAAACACTTGATTTTTAAAAATCAACTCACCTATATA